ATAAATCTAGTTATTTTTTTTATTCTTCTTTTTAAAAAATTCTTTTTTACTTAATTTACAAGATAAACTCTTTCTAAATATTAATTTTTATTATTATTAATTATTCTTTTTATTACTCTTATTTTCTTATTTATTTATTAATTATTAAATTATTTATAATTAATTATTTTAATAAAGTATAAAATTATAAGAAATTTAAGATTATATATAATTAAGTCTTAAAAAAATTCTAGAAGCTAAAAAAGATAAAAAAAAATATTATTATAATTATTATATTTTTTATAAACTAATTATAAGTAAAGATTTCAAGTTATATATAAACTTATAACTTATAATATTATATTTAATATTTATATTTATAATAACTTGAATTCATTTATTAAATATTATCTAATAATTAATCTAAATCTTATTATCTATATTAATAATATAAGCTTAGTAATTAAAGGTTTTAGTATTATTAAGATAATATTAACTAATTAATACTTTTATAATATTATTAAGCTAACTTGAACTACTTATATACTTAATTTTTATATTAATATTATATTTATAAGCAGGGCTAAACAGGCAGGTATTTTCTTTAATTAATATCTTAATTATATTAAAACATGCGACTTTAAAATTATTTATATAATTAAGTAATTATATAAAATTATTTTAGTAAAATAGGATTCTCTTACAAACTAATTAATTAATAATTATTTATTCTTTTTAATTATAACTTAAATAATAATTTTAATTATAATAAAAAATTCTTCTAATTATTATTTTTAAGCTTAATCTAACTAATTAAAAACTCTTATATATTTATAATATTATTAAATAATTATTTAAATAAATAAATTATTAATTATCTTTCTAAAGCAGTAAAAGAACTATAAATTTTTAAAAAAAGAAAATTAAAAAAATTAAATATTACTTTATATATCAAATCTCTAATATTAATAATTAATTAAAATACTCTATTAGAATCTTATTTATATAATTAAAGTATATAATAATAAGTAATATATTAGTTATATATATTATCTAGTCACTAAATATTATTATAAAATTAATATTTAATAAAAATTAGAAATTATTTACTTAATTAAAATAATTATTAATTTTTTTAAAAATTATTTTAATATTTATCTGAAGATTATTTACTTTAATAATAATATTACTTTACTAAGTAAATCCAATAAATTCTATAATAAAAAAGAACTTTAATATAATTAATTATTATTATATTAGTTTAAGTAGAATCTCTTCATAAAAAGATTAAAGAATATAATTCTAAATAATTAAGTATTTAATTAAATAATTACTAATCTTAAATCTAATAATCTTATTAAAAGCCTTATTAAGAACTTTAATATTATTATTTTTAACTCTAAACTAGTTACTTAATAATTCTATATTATAAAATAATAATAATTTTAAATAAATTATTAAATTAAGTAATAAAGAGATAGAGAATTAAATAAGTTAATTATAAAATCTATATTAATAAATAAAATTATTATAAAAAGCCTGTTTAATTAAATAATAATTTTTATGAATAATATAAATTTTAATATCTTAAGATATTATAATCTAGAAAAAAATTAATCTTTCTTACTTAACTTATTAAATAAATATTATAAGACTTTTTACTTAGCTTTATTACAGGTTATATTTATTAATAAAAAGAAAATTTATTAAAAAAATCTTCTAGATTCTTCTTTTAATTAATAAATAATATTAAGTTATTCTTATTCTTATAGTTTTAAATATATAATAAATATTAAATTTAACTAGTTATTATAAATAAAATTATTTACTTTATTTCTTTAATAAAAATATATAAATTATATTTTTTAAATAAGTATTTATTTATAAATTTACTTAAACTAATTATTTAAATAAATATAAGATATAATTTTATATTAGAAATAATTTATAAAAAATATTTAATAAAAAAAATTAAGATTATAATTCTAGTAGCTTATATCTTATAAATTATTCTAGCTTTAATAACTACTTTTAATCTAGAAAAAAAATAATAGGATATAATAAATATATATCTTAATAATCTTATAAAAAAGATTATATATATTTATTACTTAATTAAGTATAATTATAAAAATTATATATTATAATTAAATTATATCTTATATAAACTCTGTAACTTAAAGAATTTATAATATAATAAACTTATTAGAATACTTATTATTTTATAATTAAATCTTAACCTTAAGAAGTCTTATTTATTTATTAATAAATATATAATTATTATTATTTTTATTATTAATATAATTTTATTTTATTATAAGAGAAATATAGATAAGACTATAAAATTTAAAAAGATCTTTTTTAAATAATATAAAATAAAGAATATAAATAAATTAACTTAATTCTTAAATATTTAAGTAATATAAGATTACTTAAATAAGAAGATATAGATTATATAAGATTTATATATTAAGAAAATTATTTATAAATTTAATATTTACCAAAAGTCTTTAAAAATCCTATTATCTAATAAAAATCTATTTACTAAATTAGCTAATTTTAGAATAAATATATTAATAAAAATATATAAAGAATTTATAAATCTTTATTAATAAAAGACTAAATTAATAATATATTTAATAATAATTAATTATCTTAATATCTTAAAAGTCTTATAAATTTTAAGAAAAGTATATAAAAGTTATTAATTATATAATTACTTATTTAAATAAAATTAAATATCTTATAATTATATATTCTAATTTTAATAAAATAATTTAAAAGATTTTTATTCTAGTATTTCTTATTATAAGTAATATTTTTTTTATAAATAATTCTTAAAAAAAAAGTATTAAGAGATTTTTAATTACTTTATTTAATAATTTTATTGACTAGTAATTATATAAATAAAAGATAATAATTATATTAATTATTAAAACTAGATTATTAAGCTTGTCTAATCTTATTAAATAAATTTATTAATAAAAATAATTTTTTAGTATAATATAATTCAACTTTTATTATAAGATTATTATTTTATATAATAATTATTAGATTATTAACTTAATAATAAAGCTAAATTTAATATTTATTATTAAATTAAAATATATTAATATTTATTATTACTATATTTAACAAGAGATTATATAAGATAATATTTAAATTAATAAGATACTTATAAATAGTTTTATAAAAGTAATAGTTATATAAAATTAATAAAATTTCTTAATTATCTTAATATAAAAAATATTATTAATTAAATTATATAACTTTAGAATAAGAATATTGCAAGAGTTAAGAAAATATATTAAAATTTCTTATAATAATTAATCTAAATAAGCTTATTAAAAAATTTAATTTTTTAATAATTACTTTTTCTTATTCCTGAATTTATATAATAAATTACTTAAACTTATTTAATTATTTATTAATATCTAATTACTTCTCAAATATATAATTACTAGCTCTCTTAAAATAAAAAATTAGATTTTTTTTTTTAAAAAATATTTTTTTTTCTTCTTAATTTAGTTAAAATTATCTAGTCTTATTCTTATTACTTGACTTAGTTTATTTACTTAAATTAAGCTAAGTTATATTTCTTTTAGACCTAGTCTAAAAAGGTCTCCTTCTTATAGATCCTATTTATCACAGGATCTGATATTAAATAAGATATTTTTTTTATTTTTTAAAATAATAAAACTTTATTTTCTTATTAAAGATCTTTAAGAAGCTTAAGATTTATTTTAATATAAAAACTAAGTATATTATTATACTTAGTAATATTTTTTTCTTATTACTAATTATTAATAAGATATTATTAGTTAAACTAATATTATTAATTACTAGAAATCTTATTATAATTAATTTTTAATTCTTTATTATATAGTATAAGACTTTCTTATAATTATAATTAATAATATTAATATTAAATATCTCTTTAATAGCTTTTAAGATATTTATTATTATTATTATAATTAATTATATTTTAATATAATTAAGACTATTATATTATAAATATATATTAATTATTTTATTATTAATAAGAAATATCAGGATATTTTTAATAAGATTAATTAAAACTTTATTATTTTTATACTTAAAAAAGAAAGATTATAATATAATAAAAATATTATTTTATATTAATAATATAAATAATAATATAAATAGAGATTAGGAGGAATTATTATTAAAATTTATATATATTATTTAAATAATTAAAAAAATATAATCTTTTTAATCTTATTAATAATATAAAAAATAATATAAAAAATAAATAATAAATTATAAAATTTATTCTTTTTTAAAACTTAAATATTTAGATAACTTAATTATAAGTAATCAGAAAATTAAAAAAAAAAATTTATAAGATTAATAATTATTAATTAAGAAAATATTAATATTATATTATAAATATATAATATTTATAATAGATTATAAAGATAATATAAATATATTAATTACTAATTAACTAGTAGTTATTAATTTACTTATTATAATTTAGTCTTTCTAGCTAGTGATTAATAATAAGTAAATTAGATCTTAAGCTTTAACCTGGCCTGGCTATAATAATTAATTAGAAATCTATATCTTAACCTGACTAGTAGTTAATAGTCAGGTTAACCCACTCTAGAATTCAATTATTTACTCAAATATTCAATCACATGTTTACTAGTATTTTATAAATTATATTTAGTTACTAGTTTTCTATTTTCTATATCTTATATATGATTCTCAATAGTAATAATATTTTAATATTGAGTTATATCAATTATTATTACTATTCAACTCCTTGTAAATTTGCAATAATAGATATATATTTGCTAGTGCGGGCGCTTGCACATGGCTGTCAGATATTCAGTAATTAATGCAAAATTTATTGCAAGGTCTGTAACACCCGTCCTATCATACCAGCCAGCGCTACTAATTTGAGAACTAATCACAAGCATTACAACAGAACAGAAACAAAGAGAAGGAAGACCTAAGTATAACTACTACTAGTGTATGATCTTGCTCCCGTCCCTAAACAACATATCCTGGAATATACTTGAACAACTTCTAATTTCCAGGTTGTCTACAGAGTATATGTCGAAATCGTCTTGTACATGTTTTCAACTTTGATGATAATAAATACACATGGGTCAATCACAGTCAAGAAACCAACAACATGGCAGCTCAGATGGTGGCACACATGAGAATAAGACTGATTATTATGAACTTCTGCATATAACACCAGATGCTTCTAGTGATGAGTGAGTACTCCCTGAAAAGATACATTTGATACCTCCCCTAAGTTCTCTTTCTCCCCTTCCTCCATTCCTCCATCCCGTCTTTCCGCTATGTCTTTTTTTTCTTTTTCTTTTTGTTTCTTACTGCCCCCCTGGACGAATGATGCTAACATCTGTAAAGTATCAAAAAGGCTTATAGGAAGAGAGCTCTAGAACTTCACCCCGATAGGAATTATGGCAATGTGGAAGAATCCACGAAATTATTTGCAGAGGTTCAGTCGGCCTATGAGGTCCTTTCTGACCCCCAGGAGCGAATGTGGTATGATTCTCACTCTGAAGCCTTCCTAGGGACAGATGGAGCTTCCGCGACATTTAATTCTACGCATGCTACTCAAACAACAGCAGAAGATGTCATGGGACTCTTCTCTCAGTTTAGCCCGCGCATGGCCTTTTCGGACGCAGAAGATGGATTTTATGGGGGACTTCGTGGTGTTTTCTCACGACTCGCCCAAGAAGAAGAGATGGCCTGTCGTAAGGACAACATCGAACATATCCGATACCCAGCGTTTGGATCCCGCGATGACGATTTTGACCAAGTGGTACGCCCGTTCTATGTCGCTTGGAGTAACTTCTCTACGAGGAAATCCTTTGCTTGGAAAGACGCCTATCGCTATTCCGAGGCCCCCGATCGGCGAGTTCGTAGGCTCATGGAGAAGGAGAACAAACGCCTAAGAGACGAGGGCATGCGCGAGTTCAATGAGGCGGTCAGGTCGCTTGTGGCTTTTGTTAAAAAAAGGGATGTGCGATACAAAATCAACGCCAAGGATGAAGCCCAAAGACAGGAAACTCTTCGCCAGGCAGCTGCGGCGCAGGCTGCTAGGTCCCGGGCTATGAACCAGTCGAACCTCCGAGAGCATATCACCCAGGACTGGGCGAAATCGGGTGACGTTGAAGAAGATGTAGCGACCAGCAGCGACGAGGAAAAAGTTCACTTTGAATGCGTCGTGTGTCACAAGAGTTTCAAGAGTGGGAAACAATACGAGGCGCACGAACGTAGCAAGAAACACACAAAGGCCGTTAAACAACTGCAATGGGAGATGAGAGCTGAAGATAGGCTATTCGCCTTACAGGATGATTTCCCCCAACAGCAAGGCGAACCCGAAGCGGTCAATCCGACCCAGAGCAGCACCCCCGAGCCTCAACAAGCCCTTCCTGCACTGTCCAGGTGTCCATCATATAGCCAGGAACCTAACGACATTACTCCAAATTCCGAGGGTCACGACCGCCTTCCCTCTGGAAACCAGGATGGCGCCAGTGAAATCATTGACAAACAGTTCACGGAGCTCCAAAGTGAAACCCCCGAAACCATTCCATCCTCCGAGGAAGCCGATTACACCACTAGGGAGGCGGTTGAACGGCGTCTAAGTCCAACACACGGCGCAGATATGCTAGACACCTTGTCCGAGCACTTTCCAGACCTTGGGCTGGAAAGCTCGCCACAGCCAGCAGTGAAGCAAAAAGGAAAGGCCAAGCAAAAACGCGCCAAGAAAGCCCAACAAGCTGAAAAGCCGTCCCTGGGCATGAGGTGTACAACCTGCGATGCTGTTTTCCCTTCCAGAACTAAACTGTTTTCTCATATTAGAGAATCGGGTCACGCGCGGGCTGTACATTCGTAGCATGCATATCTACCTCAACTTGGAATATTATCAACTTAGAATATTAACACGCTATTTTCAGTAAAGCTATGATCTAGGCAGCACAACTAGCATTGGTACCATTTGAAATATACTAGCGTATCATATGACAACAAAAGGGGGGTTCCTCTGGCTATGGGCCCCGATGCGACGAAGGCTGCTGATCTGTAACAAATGCCAGACATAAGGAAAGGTCCTCTGTTATCCTAGGCCAGTTTTCGAGTTCTTGACGACATGTGCAACGGGCAGAAGAATCCCTTTGTTATCACCCGCACCGAGCGGGGTGCCCATGCTCCACCCCATTCTTTCTAGCATAGCTCGGCCTTTATTTTCAGCACCAATTTCGGGAGCTGAGCCGCCAACAACATCTCCGTCGGCGTATGTGGCGGACTTCTCTAAACGACGAGCTCCATGTCTTGTCGGCTTATTTGCACTCGGATCCCAATATTTTATTGCACGATGAGTGAACCTTCCTTGTAAAAACACCTGGTCGACACGAGAGATCGTCTTCTGTGAATAGTTTGGTGTCTTGGAAGTCTTGTTTAGGACAGTGAAGCGAGACACCCCTTTCCCACGAGACTGGGATTTGAGAGAGAGGGGATTGGCCAGGTCATGAATCAATTTCCTGCGGTGTTTAGGCATAGGGGGAAGAGCCAAGCTGGAAGCGTCTTTGTTAGACATGCACGGGGGGAAATCAAGTGGGGAATTACCTGTTCTTTGGCGATAATAGAAAGAGGCGTAATTCTGTTTTCAGGTCATCGAGGCCCATTTCGTTTGAATATTTCTGTTTCAGATCTGGGTAGGTTACACCCCGACCAAGAAGTCCTTGGGTCCGAAGTTCCTCTCGTCTCAGCTTGCGGGCCTTCTTCTTCTGTCTATCGTTGTGCCACACCTGTTCGAAGTGCTGCCCAAGTTCATCGTCGGAAAATACCATATCTAGGGCATGCTGCTTCACCTTGCCCTTTTTCTTCTGAGAGACGACCCTATCCATCAAGTCAAGATTATAGTAGGGATCATGTTCTAAGGTATCAACGAATGCAGTTGCCGAAGTATATCCCTTGGTGCCATTCCATGCCGATTTCTGCTGAGATTCGTACAAGAGAGCAAGAATCTCTTCTGGCGACTCATGGTCCGGTGAACTGCCCTTCGCGCATTCGAGAGTGGAATCGGAATCGCTGTCTTCGGGACTATGGGACCTCTCATCGTAGAGGGTACCATTCGCGGTGACATAAGGTCCCGTAAACCGTACATCCAGGTGTTCCTCATCATCGGTAACTGCTGGCGGGCTGTAGCCTGGATAGATCGCTGTTAGTAGACCGATGCCAAACAAAAGGATGGCATTGTACTAACTTGACATGGCTGTTATCTCGGGGCCTAGTGTATCATCCAATGGTGATATGTTTACATCCAGTGGATGTTCCACGACGCTGCGGAATCATATCAGTAACAACGCTATAGTGAGCGGTTCACGAGGTAGCACTTACGCTTCGGGCCTAAGATCGTCAGAATTGTCTGGCTCATCGTCGCTCGATTCTCCATAGTCCTGGTCCATGTTTGCTATATAATCGGCTAACATATCATGGTCTTCGTCTGAGGAATCCGCTCGATTTCTGCCCCGTGCACTCCGATAGGTCAAACCTATAAAGTCGGCGTTTTCCATTGACATTCTGTTACCGCTGGACGGGGTCGTTTTGGCGTGGCTCGGAATCGATGACTTGCTTCGGTTGCGTCCGCGTGCAGCACACTCTCGGGCCGATAAAGATTCCCTGCGGTTTGCTGGCGCTCGTGGGGATGCGTTTGGTGGACACTGGTATTCATTTGTGTCGTGGAGGTGACGGAACGAGTTTTTCCCCTGCTGGCGACCACGAAATACAATTTCATCTTCGCTAGAGTCGCATGGACTGGTGTTTTGTGAAGGCAAATTCCTTGCCGGGGTGCTTTTGGGAAGTGATGGCTCTCCCGCCACGTCGACTGGAAATGACATATGTGCTTGCTTGTCGTGTTCTACTGGTATTGCCTCTTCAAGCTTCGCGGTTTCCTGTTGTTCGTCCGAGATTGTGGATTCTCCAACTGGTTCGAAAACGTTTTCTTGGTCTGGTTGCAGACCACCTGCGCTCACGAAGTGGACTGCCTGGTGGCGAAGGTTCTGCCCAACCTTCCATGAATGCCGCCCCTCGGTATTCCGTGCTTCTTGCTGCATTGTCAGGTGGCTATATGGGTTGGCTATAGTAGTCGGTTCAATCAGTTGTGTTGTTCGCCTAATTGGACCGACAATTACAGCACCTTCGTGGCTTTTCGGCATGGATCTGCCCTTATTCCGAGCCTTTGCCTTGCTCGAACGAGCCATAATCGCGGTCTGGGTAGAAATTTGTTTCCTCCTTTTATGAGCGGATACTTGACGAAGCACAGAAAGACGTGGCGAAAAATTGGAAGATTTGCGATGTTATGTCATGTTAGGTGGTGCGGTTTCACGGAGATGATAGTAAGTTATTCGGACGCAGTTCCTTCCAGGTATCAATACTTTTTTTATATGGGCAGTGTAAAGAGTACCTACCGCTAACTTGATAGGATGATCTTATTAGTCATCACTGCTGACGTCGGGTGGCCAGTGGGTCCTCATGACTGATCAATGGAATTCACCACCTCCGCTTGTCTATTGTTCAACATTGGGCACTTTCTGCGTGGTTCTACCCGTAGTTATACATAACTCCCTAGTGCATTGTTGTTGAACTTGGCGTATTCTGCATTTAGCTTGTGGTTTTACGAAATATTACATATGTATAGTTAGATTGGTTTATGATGTGTCGTTGGGTACTCGGGTGGTATGCTACATACAGGCACATACCAGTTCCCCTTGATTGATGACGTCTGCCGGCTTTCATTCAAGCTATCTCGTGACTACCCCCGCGGCTCGACGAGCAGCGGCCGCTCAAACGATACTACTTACTTTGTAGGTCTCACCTGGTAGCTTGCTCACCCATCTTGTTGTTCTCGCTTTTGCATCCCTCTTTCGTTGAACCCTCTGTATATGTTTCGGATGCTCCACTCGTACTAATATATATATCCGGTTGTCAAAGAAACAACACTCCTCTCTCTACGTGGTTTAAACAAGGGAAACATCCCAGAAACACACACATACCAAAGCTGCATTAGCCAAAACGAAGCGAATAATTTCCGACCAATAACTCCCTACCCTTTCTTCCCACAAAACCCAAACACAAAAGACTAGGACAGACCAGGACGACCACCCTTCGATAGAGCCATGAATAATGTGGACATAGGAAGATACAGCAAGCGCATCATGCAGTATATCTGGGACCCGGAACCACAGAATGACCAAGAGCCTACGATGCCTATCTGGTGTTTAGGGGAAAAATACATCACTCATAGTACGAGCGACGCTTTGCCTACGGGCCACGACGAACAAGTCATAGCAGACGGCCACGAACATTCACACGGCAGAAATGAGCACTCCGCAGAGTCAGAGTCAGACCAGACCTCCCAACCCAAACGCCAAGAAGACCGAGCCACGCTCCACCCCACGGCGCATCATGGCTGGCCAGAAGAGTTCCTGAAAGATTTCGAGTCCAAGGTCTGGATGACTTACCGATATAATTTCCATCCAATACCAAGATCCGACGACCGTGATAGTGCCCAGTCCCTGACACTGAGAGTCCGCATAAGAAATCAGCTCGTGGACTCTCAGGGTTTCACATCGGACGCCGGATGGGGATGTATGATCCGATCGGGACAGAGCCTTTTAGCCAATACATTGTTATTATTACAACTGGATCGCGGTACGAACTGTGCATTTGAAACGAGTAAATGATGTGCTACTAACAACACCCCAGACTGGCGATATGGACAAAAGGTCGAAGAAGAAGCGAAAGTACTGAGTCTGTTTGCGGACCACCCAAATGCACCATTCTCAATACACCAGTTCGTTAAGCACGGCGCCGAGTCCTGTGGTAAGCATCCGGGGGAATGGTTCGGGCCCTCGGCAACAGCTAGATGTATAGAGTATGCACCCCACCAAGCGGCTTGAGTGGAAGCACGGGCTTACAACGAAGCAGAGCATTATCAAGCCGATGTGACAGCCCTAACATTAGGGTGTACGCCCTTAATGATACTTCGGAAGTTTTCGAAGAGAGGTTCATGAGTATCGCTTGTGATGATTCGGGTGCCGTGCAGCCAACGCTCATACTTCTGGGGACGATGTTGGGCATTGGTCGTGTCAATCCTGTTTACTGGGACGGGCTAAAGGCCTCATTGCAGGTGCCCCAATCAGTTGGCATAGCAGGGTACGTATTATAACACCAAATTCGAAACATCCTAGAACAACACTGATCCGACAGCGCAACAGAGGGCGCCCGTCAGCTTCGCATTATTTCGTCGGGGTCCAAGGCTCATACCTATTTTACCTCGATCCACACAGTAACCAGCCCTCGTTGCCTTGTAATGAGCATGGAGGGCCATACTCGAAGAAGGATGTCGAATCTTATCATACTCGCCGGCTTAGACGGCTCCACGTTGAGAACATGGACCCAAGCATGCTCATAGGGTTCCTGATCAGAAACCGGGAGGATTGGGAGGACTGGAGCAGCCGCATGTCGTCTGTACAAGGGAAGCCGATCATCCACGTGGTCCACCAAACGGCACCTGGATGTCACCAGACCCGAGAAGAAGCCCTGGACGAAGTGGAGGTGCTCGACGATGAATGATCTCTCAACCAATACAAATCTCAATAGCATATACCTCAACAATCAATTTGTTGTAACAACCAAGTAGATCGTATGATCGATGAGCGGTTCGGAGCCAATCGTGCATTAAAAAGGAGGTTATCGCATTCTAATGGAGGAGTTGATATTCACCAACAAACCCCCAAAGCCCGAGTTATGATACACCACATTCACGTCACGAATAAAACCATGAAGACATTCGGCCCAAGGGGTAAAAAATAAAAAAAGATAAAAAGATAAAATCAAGCCATCCCATGACGCATTAGAAATCCCGCGAACACCCGGTAACCCACCACCTCACTCATAAGACAGAGGCAGCAAAAATAAGAAAAGAAAAGCCCGGCAAAGGAAAACAAAAGCCTATTTGGCGGAAGAAGAGTACTTCGTAACAGCCTTGGTGCCTTCCGACACGGCGTGCTTGGCCAGCTCACCGGGCAGGATCAACCTCACAGAGGTCTGGATCTCCCGGGACGAGATGGTCGACTTCTTGTTGTAAGCAGCCAGCTTGGAAGCCTCCGTAGCGACACGCTCGAAGATATCTGCCAATGATAATTAGACATGTGTTGAAATTCATTACAGACAGTCGCAACATACCGTTGACAAACGAGTTCAGGATCGACATGGCACGGGTCGAGATACCAGTGTCGGGGTGGACCTGCTTGAGGACTGCGATAAATTAGCAACCGGTTCGAAGGACCTTCTTCCTGGACGATCCAATACTACATACCCTTGTAGATGTACGAAGAGTAGGTCTCCTTCCTGGTCTTGCCACGCTTCTTCTTGTCGCCAGACGCGGCGGCGGCGGTCTTCTTGCCAGCTTCCTTCTTCTCAGCAGGAACCTTGCCGCCAGCGGGGGCCTTGCCTCCGGTGGAGGGCTTCTTCTCGGCAGCCTTGGGGGGCATTTTGACGATTTAAAATTTAGAGATTAAAAAAGGACGAGAATTGGCGTCGGAGTTGATGAATGGGTATTCGAAGTGGTTGGTGTCGCGGTGTTAGTTGAAATTAACTGGAATGAGGAGAGGAATAGAAATAAGCAGGACGCGGTGATGAGGGAGGCGCGCTACTTATACTAGGCCGCGAAAGTCTGGTTGATCCTGAAGTGCACAAAAAAAGCAGAATTTCAATACCGTCACGCTATTGTATGATCTGTATGATTTGATGACGGAAGACGCGTCAGATACAGCAAATTGTCGCGCGGAGGCGGCTAAGATCACGCCAAGATCGGTGTATTGGCCATTACACAGCATTAGTTACGCAGCTTACCCCGATCTGGAAAGGGACCAGATTCTGGCAGCCAGGGTGCCCGCCGGCCCGCGGCTTATGCAGTACAATACAGAGTACAAGAACGGAGCTCCTTGGAAGTTCCATCCAGTCAGCCCGCTGGACAAGGGTATGCCGAAAAATGATCTCCACTGTGATTGGCCTGCCCCGCTAAGCGAGAGGGTGATCTAAAGAGCGTTTACGCCGCCCAACGTCACCCTCACCGCGTCTTTATAAATATCCTTCGTTCCCACAGGCCAGGCACTCAGATACCAGACCCTTAACCCGATCTTACTCATCGCCGATTTATCACGACCTTCGCGTCCGCTTCAATTCATAACCAACCCAACTTTCTAAAATCACCTCGCAAAAATGACTGGAGGCAAATCTGGCGGCAAGGCTAGCGGTAGCAAGAACTCGCAATCGTATGGCTCCCTTGTTTATCTATCATGGTGATATGATTCTAACATGCAACTTTAGCCGCTCGTCCAAGGCCGGTCTCGCGTTCCCCGTTGGTCGTGTTCACCGTCTCCTCCGCAAGGGCAACTACGCCCAGCGTGTCGGTGCTGGTAAGTGTACCTATTATTGGTTTCTAGGGGATATCTTTACTGACCCACATCAGGTGCTCCCGTCTACTTGGCTGCTGTCCTTGAGTACCTCGCTGCTGAGATCCTCGAACTGGCGGGTAACGCTGCCCGCGACAACAAGAAGACCCGTATCATCCCTCGTCACCTCCAGCTCGCCATCCGTAACGATGAGGAGTTGAACAAGCTGTTGGGCCATGTCACCATCGCACAGGGTGGTGTCTTGCCGAACATCCACCAGAGTATGTTTAGTCCGATCATACTGAAAAGTATACACCCCACTGACTGTTCTAGACCTGCTCCCCAAGAAGACTCCCAAGAGTGGCAAGGGCGCCGGTAGCCAGGAGCTGTGAGCGGTTTTTTGTTTGGGTTTATCTTTCGGCGTGGTTTGGTTCTCTTATTGATGTGATAACGGGGTTCTGGACTGGGCACCTTTACGGCTCTGCGTTTATGCTTTAATTTTCTTTTACCTTTTCATTTTTTTTTTTTATGGTTGTACATTATGTCCACGGACATGGATTGATACCGGCAGTTTCCAATTGAAGCCAATATGCACACAATCTCTACGATGAAATATGTAAATGCTCCCATTTGGTCTAAATTTTGGACTTTTCCTTTTTTCTCTTTCGAGAATTCAGTTTACTATTAAGCAACTCTAAATAACAAGATCGATATAGCCGCACCGGGTCGCAAATCCCCCATAGTTCAATGGCCCTCGGAGTGCGCCCCCGCATCTGTTTTATATTAGTTTGGTGGGGGAACTTGGTCACAGGCATGCGAGCGACGTACAGGGTAATTGAGGTGCAGGAAGGTTTCTCTCGTATTTGCTGCCTTGTTTGTAGTCAGTACAAGATTTAACATCAGGATGGAGTTGGCCGTTCTGATGTCACATACCTCCCGGCGCAGTTGGTGCTTTGTAAGGGTCAGGATGCTTCCATGTTTCGAGTAGCTTCTCTGTTTCGCGCAGTAGCACCTGTAGTAATCCACATCAGCAAGCTGCCAGGGAAATTGGGGCAGGTCTCAGGATGTAGGAGAGGTTTGCGAACCTTTTGCTGGCGAGGATCGCGAACGTGCTTGTTAGCATCAAAAAGCGATCTGATGTACACTGCCTGGCCTCGCCAGATACTTCTGTGGACAGCCCAATCAAGCGACAGCTTCAGCGAGCGCCGGTAGAGTGATCTGGATATATGCTTAGGACGTCTCCAATGGCTTGTTCGTTATTGGACGGCCAACTTACGTGGCAACGTTGGCGGACATTGTGGGCAATCAGAGATCTCCCTCGGAGTTATAACAATGCCACAGTTCGTATACCAATTCGAAGATGGTTGGTCTCTGGATTGGAGCTTTTCGGTCGGAGTGGTGTTTTCGTGGGTCGGACTCGCTATGCGCGAGTTGCGGTTCCGTACAGACGCGGGTGTTGAAACTCCAGAAGTACCAAGTTGGTCTTCCCCGGGAGCCGAACTAGTGTAAGAACAATATTCCGACCGTCTGTTGAATAATATTCCGTCAGTTGCCGGGCGCAGCCAAAGTGTAGGCCTCCCTAAGGAAATCCCGGTTGTCCGGCCCGGGCTCAAGCTCCTAGTCGTACTCTGCTAAAACTTTCGTCACTCCATCCTCCCTCGTTGTATCTGCAGGCGTTTTCAACCGCAAATCAGCCTCAAGGAATTTAGTTCAACATTTTCGCCCGAAGCTAGCATTATTGTCCAAATAATTGCTGCTTGTCTCCCAATTCATTTATTTTATACTATTGTCTTTTAAATCGCGAACCTCCCGGATTCGCATACTCCCTGCTTGGGCTTATCACTATGGCTTCCCGGTTGCCATTCCACCGTTTCTCCCAACAAAGCCTCAAATCGGCCCCTCGAATCAACTATGTCTCCTGTAACCGATGGCTAGGAAGTCGCCGGGGTGTCTCGTCGTTGACGCTTCGGAATCACCCTAAGGGTGTCGCTTGGTCTTCGTCTGGTCTAACGAGCGTGTAAGTATTGCCGTAGGAATTCGTGGAAATCATGGGATTGACTGCGTTGTTTTTGCCATGTACTTACGACATCTTAGTTCCAACGTATCTCGCACCGCCCTGTCCCCTGTTGGGAGATTTCAAGTTCGCACTTATGGTAAAGCAACCCGCCTTGTTCGTTACAAAGAATGGGGCTGATTTGAGAATGACAGCGGACTCCGTGGTGAAGGTCCCGCAGATGGCGGAATCGATCACTGAGGGCACTTTGAAACAGTTTTCTAAACGTAATGATCCAACATGCCCTTCGCCAATTGAATCTAGCTGACAACGCAGCCAGAGATTGGGGATTTTGTCGAGCGGGATGAGGAAATCGCTACTATCGAGACCGACAAGGTATTAACAAGAGCTCTGAGCTTGTCACTATCCTAATACTCTTTCGGACATGGGGCTCACATGTTTCAGATCGACGTGTCTGTCAATGCTCCCGAATCAGGTACCATTAAAGAGTTCCTTGCGAATGAAGAGGACACCGTAACGGTCGGACAAGAGCTTGTCAAATTAGAACTTGGCGGCGCCCCCGAACCCAAGGAAGAGTCCGCTGAAAAGCCCAAGGAGGCAGACAAGCCAAAGTCTCCAGCTCCGGAAGAGACCAAGAAACCCGAGCAGGCAAAGCCTTCGAAGCCAGAGACCGAGGCTCCCAAACAACCTTCAGCCCCCAAGCAGCAACCCCCGGCCTCTAAGCAGCAACCTGCCGAGGAATCTAAGCCCAGCATCGGCGGGCGTGAGGAGAGAAGGGTTTGTTCCTCCGCCTCTTCCACATGCTCTTCACCTTATTTTAGGAATGAAGCTGATTTGCGTCCTTCTATGTCATAGGTGAAAATGAACAGAATGAGGTTGAGGATCGCCGAGCGCTTGAAGCAGTCTCAAAACACCGCCGCCTCCCTGACCACATTCAACGAGGTCGATATGTCGTCTTTGATGGAATTCCGGAAACTGTACAAGGATGACGTTCTGAAGAAGACGGGTGTCAAGCTCGGATTCATGAGCGCGTTTTCCAGAGCCTGCGTTTTGGCCATGAACGATGTCCCTGCGGTCAATGCTTCGATTGAAGGTCCCAACGGTGGTGATACTATTGTCTACCGTGATTATGTCGATATCAGCGTTGCTGTGGCTACTGAAAAGGGCCTCGTTACGCCCGTGGTGCGCAACGCGGAAACCATGAACCTGGTGGGGATTGAGAAGGCTATTGCGGAACTTGGAAAGAAGGTAAGCCGAGTCGCAGCGAACTCCTTCGCCGTCCCAGCAACACCCTCAAGAGACCCAAGATTTCTCGGAAAAATTACGTCTGACTGTATGGCTTGTTCTAGGCTCGTGACAACAAATTGACCATTGAGGATATGGCCGGTGGCTCTTTCACTATCAGCAATGTGAGCATACGTTCTTACCCGCTGGGAATGTACTTATATGCTAACGTTGTTTTAGGGTGGTGTTTTCGGCTCTTTGATGGGCACCCCCATCATCAACCTGCCGCAGACTGGTATGATTACTTTTTCTCTCTTTGCTTGAAAACATCTAACTTTTTGCAGCTGTTCTTGGGCTCCACGCCATCAAGGACAAGGCGGTGGTCGTGAATGGCAAGATCGAGATTCGCCCTGTATGTTTTCTTTTCCCATATTCTCTTCGAGGGTTGCACTAATACTTTGTTAGATGATGTATCTTGCCCTGACTTATGATCACCGACTTTTGGATGGCCGAGAGGCAGTTACCTTCCTTGTTAAGGTTAGTTACACCCACCCCACTACGTTCCAACCTTTTGATTCCGCTGCTTACCACGAACGCCCTACAGATCAAGGAGTACATCGAGGATCCGCGTCGCATGTTGCTCATCTAGGTTGGGCCAGTTCGACTCATCATGCTAGGCATATTGGAACCCAGGTTTCTTTTGTCTACAGAAGGGATTCCCGATCAATTTTGTAGATTAATATCGTGTAAAGAAGTTTTGAACTCCAGAGCCATGTCACTGTCACAGGGGGCATTGTTCAAATGGGGGGGCTGTTGCTGGTGAAATTGCAAGTTCGATGTCACAATTCTGTTCTCATACATAGTATATAACCTTTATGTATGCATATAAAACTGTGTCCTTATCGCATTCCTACCTTGTGTTTCAAGAATCGTGTCTCTTCGCGGCTCAGTCCAGATAGTGCCCCTCTTTCGAGCTGGATGAGGATTGGCGGTTCCAAAACCTGCATCAAATCTGACACAAAGTCTAACAGATAGGCCTCAAGTTGGCGGGCGCCAGGTTCCGTGAATAGGCCCTCCTGGTCGTCCGCACATGAGCCTTTGTCTACTAGGGAAGCCACAAACTCAACAGTCGACTGTCGCAATCCGGGTGTCTGGCTTAGCGCCTCAGAAGCCCAGGTAAGATATTTGCTCGGATCCACTCCCCCGGAGAGTTGATACTCCTCGAGTGCGGCTTGTGCGATGAATTGGGCCGTTATCTCCGCTTTTCTTGATTCCGACACTATGGCGTGCGCGACGTTACATAGGGTTTCGAATTCTGCGGCGGCCTTTGAGGCAACACCGTAATCACCCGTCGCTGTTGTTGATTGGAGCTTTGCTGTGAGAGGGTATGAGTATTGCCGGCGGCTTTGGGTCTCCAGTGTTGCGGGGTTCCCACTGTGTGATTGCGACGCTTGAGCATCTGAGGCGATGTTTTGATCCGGCCCTGTGTCGCGGTAGAATGTAGTTATAACATTCAGAAGCTGGATCTTGATTCGTAGGTCATTGGGAATTTCTTCGGAAGACGAGGCTGAGGATATGGGTTGGTCAGCGATACTAGAATGCCAAATCAACCTGGGCAGGAAGCTCGTGGGGATTGCCTCAGTTCCGAAACATACTCTCAATCGTATCGATCAGCCACCCGATATTGAGATCCCAAGCACAGTCCAGTTCTTCGTTCTCTACTTTCTTGGAGTGGAGGATTCTAGATACGTTGATGCACAGGAGATAGTCCAATAACATGACATGGACATCGTGTTGGGTATCCGGATCGGCTGTTGCAGGTTGCATACTGTACGATGGAAGTTGACTGATGAGCCGCAGCCATTGGGGCCGAGGGTCGTGAATCTCTTCTGCTACTGCATGCCGTAGCGGGTTATTCGGGTGTGGTTGGGATTTGTTGATTCTAGGTGTAGTCAATGGCGATTGTTGCTCTGTACCTTTTTTTTGGTGGGCACTGGTGTTTGTTCGCGACCACCGATTGATCTGCCGTTTCCAGGTTAGGTCACCCGCGGTCCGTCCCACTCTGCCTGTGCTTCTATGCAGCTAATTCCTCTACTACTTTTTGGACTTGGCCGATTTACGCAAATATCACTTGTAGCAGATTCTATTATGATGATGATTAGGTGGGGTATCATGCAAGAGCTGTATTTGCTGGTGGGTAATTAGACTTGATCGTTGGCTTGTGTGAAGTTCGAAAATTGTACTTGTAGGAGGGACATGGTGTATTATATAGCTCCATCTTGCTATAGCTGTAGAAGTACTACCACCATATATCTGGATGTCTGAAATCTCCTATGATTTTGGGCAGATACGGTATCTGACATTGTCTACATTATTATTGGGTTGTTTGTTATCGTCCATGCTTTGGCATATGGTGGTGGTATAACCATCCGCTCCATACATGTATATACACTAGAGATATATATATCTCGAGGTTCAGTATAGTAGGCAGCTAACCACTTTGAATCAACACAGTATATTTTTAGTCTCCTCTATTGAAAATCCACATATTGGATATATGTATATGTACACAGCCAGACATACCACAAAAAATGTATCCTAAACGGACATGACACCTAGAAAGACGCCCTGCCCTACACCCAAACACAAGAGAGAGTTTAGGAAACCCACGGTGACCCGGAGATGACTAACTACTCACCACCAACCACCATGCTAACCCCGAGGGGCAAGACCATGGCTCTGTACAAACCATGAGGGGTTGCATCAATGGAGCATGTGACACCTGATATCAGGTTGACGTCACACGCGCTGGCAGCCACTCGAGCTCACAACTCTGGAGCAGAATATCAATCGACGCCCGATGAACAATATGTTGGCATAGTGTATTGCATCTCCAAATAACGTGCTTAAATCAGTACTCGCACTACTTTACCGATTTCCACTCACAGTGTCGGAAGTCGCGACTGCTACATGCTCAAGAAAGCCATCCACCGTGCCAAAAGATTGTACAGCACAAAAAGAACAAACCACACGATGGCGTGGTACTGTTCAGGGTCCAGCAACACGGAGATGATCGAAAACCTGTACAGAACCGGATTGATCAAGAATGAACGGGTGAAAGACGCCATGCTCAAGGTGAGGGTCCTACAGCCCAGGCGATGGTCCCAAGTGCCAGCAGCACAGGCTGGCAGCACAGATCCCGCCCGTGGGGGCGAGCATCTGCCACACCTCGGTGTACGTATGGTATTCTGATCCCGTGATTCCAGGTTGACAGGGGCCACTATGCCCCTTCAAGGCCATACTCGGACTCCCCGCAGTCGATCGGACACAGTGCGACGATATCTGCCCCGCACATGCACGGACACGCGTGCGAATACCTCATTGATTTCATCAGGCCTGGCTCTCGGGTGCTGGACATTGGATCCGGATCTGGCTACTTGACGCACGTTCTCGCTAACCTTGCCACCGGGCCAGCGGACACCGATGGCGGGTGTGTGATTGGGGTAGATCATATACAGGAGCTCGTTGATCTGGCAAATCACAATATGCGCAAGTCGGAGCAGGGCCGCAGCTTACTAGACAGCGGCAAGGTGGAGTTTATTACTGCGGATGGTCGCTTGGGGTGGAAAGATGGCGCGCCGTATGATGCCATCCATGTTGGCGCGGCGGCAGAAGAGCTCCATCCTGTGTTGATGGAACAACTTCGGGCTCCGGGGCGGATGTTTATTCCTGTTGCCGCTGCCGGTGAAGGGGGACGGCGAGGGAGTCTTGGTTTTGGCGGTGGGCAGTATATCTGGGTAGTGGATAAAAAGGAGGACGGTTCGGTGCATAAGGAGAAGGTACTGCAAGTTAGTTACGTTCCTCTGACGGATCCACCGAGGAGATAGGTTATGGAGTTAGTGTTTCGCTACTTGAATGAACTAAGACTGGAATGCCATATAGTAAACATGCCAACAATTAAGTGGTGCAAACAGGTAACTAGCCAACATGAACGCCCAAGGTAATATGGCAAAAGAAACAAAGCCACAAAGACACCGGCCCGACCCACATCAGGAGTGTCATCGGAAAGGAAAACCACCCCGGAAGTTGAATCCCTGACCCGAATACTTGAACTGGGGGCCACCCTGCTGATAAAAGAATTGCTGACCACCCCCGCCACCAAACGGACTCCCTTGGAACGGATTCCCCCGTTGAGACTCCGGATCGTTTGGATCGTCGCCGTTGTCGTAACGCTCCCTGAGTTCCGCACTCGACAGGACTTCGTAAGCTTCGTTGATAGAAGCCATTTTTTTCTCGGCTTCCTCCTTCGGGACACCCTGGGAGGTCGTCTTGTCGGGGTGATGCTGTTTTGTCAACTGCCGATAGGCCTTCTTGATTGTTCGGTCATCAGCGTCGCGGCTAACACCCAAGACCTTGTAGTAGTCCTTTTGCTTTGCACGCCTCTGTAGAGTATGTGCTTTTTGTAGAAGTGTCTGGCATTCCTTGCAGCTTGGATGGTGTTCCCGCGCCTGATTGAGGATGTTCATGGCCTCATCAAAGCGATCCTCATCGATGGCCACCTGTCCTTTGTATAATAGCGCTGGCAGGGAATGGGGGTTTAACTCAAGGGCCTCAGAACAGTACCCAGAAGCCTTCTTCATCATGTGTGTCTTCATAGAAGATTAGCCTCGGTTAATCAACTTTGCCCGTTACAAGGAAGGGGATTACAAACCTCACGGTAAGCCTCGCAAGTCCGTTCGACCAAGGAGGCATATAGATTGTTAGGGGCATTGGGATGAATATGTCCGGCTGTCCTTGCTTCTGCGACATCCTCCTTCACATCCTCGAGGAGCCCACTTTCTCCGCCCGCCCCGACTATCAGATTGATGACGTTGTTGAATTTCCGGGATTCCACAAAGTCTCCTAGTCGCTGTATCCGCTTGGCCAGCTGCTTCTCTCTCCGATAGAGTTTATTGCACGGTTTCGAATCAGGGTCCGAGTGTAAGCACTTGCGAATCTGCGCGAGACCACGATCGTTGTCCCCGATGGCATAGAACAGAGTCGACGATATTTGTAGATGGGGTTCTACCAAACCAGGAGAGATATGTAGCGCACGAACAAGATCACTGAGCCCTTCCTCAATCTCACCCCTCTCAATATGGCAGTGTGCCCGAGCTTGTCGCAAGGGGAGATACGAGTTTGCTCTCATGATGGCCACGTTTGCTTGACTGACGCAGGTTTCCCAGGCGCCCTGTTTCTCGGCGTTTAGCGCAGAGACCATCGCGTCTCGAGCCTCCTGGATTTCCCTCGATTCGTCCGATGACTTTTTGCCGGCATTCTCAAGATCACTCAAAGCACCTTCCCAGTTCGCGGAACTGGCCCTGAGGCGAGCTCGTTGAACCAGGGCGCTTTCGAAATCCGGCTTCAGCTGTAGGACCCGGTCGAAATCACCGAGAGCTTGTGTGTTCTTTCCGAGGGATAGGTAGGCGGCGGCTCGTTGGAAGACGGTCAGATAGTTCTTAGGATCCCTGGAGACGGCGGCGTCGAAATATAGAAGAGCTTCGCTGGGGGAACCGCCCGCAAGGTGTGTCTTTGCGGAAGCGATCAAGGACGCAAGCGGAGTGTCGGGGGGTATCGAAGATGCCTGCAGGCCGTGCGCAGTTGACAGACACCCGAGGACAACGACGAGGGATCCCAGCGAGATATGCATGCTGAATATGATATTTGGTGTACTGGCTTCGAAGGGGACAAGTTCAGCGCAGAGAGAGCATAGTATTGATAAACCACCTGGAGATAATACCAGAAAAGAATGATGAAGGTTTCAAGCTCATAAATTAGAATTGCAGTGGCAGCGACGAGACCATTAAGAGGCCATAGATCAAGTTACATGGTCAAATGGCAGCCACCACAGCATCAAGTAGTGAAGATAGATAAAGAAGTCCTAGCGGCTGGCGGAACTATCCAGTCTGGCCTTTACGCCGTCATACGTGTACTGTCTTACTCCTGTGTACAGGATTACCTGTCCTTTTCATACCAGATGACTAAAATACATGATTGATTACGCCGGGGTCTTCCGCATCGTACAGCAGTTCATCGCCCATATTGTATGGGAATCTGCTGCTCTTGATACGTTGGTATTCAGTGCTATATACATCTACAACAAATTGCGATGTGGAATCTACCATGCAGTACAGAGTAGTCGTTTGTCGACCGATAAATCCCCGCCTGCGCAGCCAATGTCAATAGAGTTCGGCCACCGATTGCGGTTTCTATAATACAGGAAACGCCCCCAAAAATACAGCCGTAATTTTCCCAATATATACCAAGTATGTGAACCATAAGCACCGCTCAATAACTATCTTCAGTAAGTTATTCTCTTCTCAGGGCTATGCGTGCTTAGAAGATCAAGAATCATATGGGTTCGAGAGTTTTAAAGGTCTAGTATTGCACACGTGCTACAGGCCCGAGCTTCCTCGGTAAGACTGGCTGCTAGGTACATGTTATACTCACTCCGCTTATAGACTTGCCTGGCACACCAGACTGCTATATAGACACGTAACGCATGTTGCTTACCGACTGACCTACAATGGGTGAGGATGGTGTTCTTATCTGGGAAAGCGACATTTCTTTCGCGTTCCACTAGTTTGCGGATGGATAGATGTACACATATGGTAATTGAATTCTATTGGCATGGTAGAAACATGAATAAACCTTGCCTCAACACCAGTGGAATATTTGGCACACCATCCAGAACATTAGATGTATCGTTTCTCAGGGTCTAAGGTGTCGAGGAGCTCCATGGATTTTTCGTACCTGTCAACAGTCAGTTAGTGTACGGTTCGTCAAAAGGTAAGGTAGGCAGCAAGACGAACATGGTGAATACGATGCCCCCACTCAGGATGAGCCGTGCAAGACGAGGAACAGCGCCGGACCATAAAGTCGTAAACCCTTCATCTTTGAAAATCTTGGTTGCACAGACGAAACTGTTTCGATAGAATTTACTGGCTTCGAGAGATTGCATCCTGTTATCGTGTTAGCTGCTATCGTCGTGCTTATCGGTTTGATATCGGGACTGACCTAGTCTTGACCGTATCGAGCGGTTGTGTGACGTAGCTATGGTAGATAGATGTCAGCGTCTCCTGTTTCCTGGCGAGTTGCAGTCTCCAGCTGGGAAATCATCTTACACCGTGATAAGACCAGCCATTCCACCCAGGGCGAAAGTGCTCATCGTTCCTAACTTCTCGCCGGGCGCGACATAGCCCTCGGCCATCTGCCTCAACATGGTGTAGCTCGAGAATCGCGTGGCCGAATTGGCGGCTTGCCTTGCAGTCGTAGGAACAAACCCTTGGAAGAATCCTTTCACACCTCGCTCCTGGAATATGAGCTTGCTGCCGTGTAAGAACCCGCGCATGCGAGGCTTAGCCGACTTCCGGTCGTCAATACTGCGCGCGTTCCCTGTTAGCATCAAGTCCAAACGGGCGTAGTCGTGGTCTCAACCGGTGTGGACGAACATTTGCGTTTTAATGCTTTCGAATGGCGTGACTGCCAAAAGAGACTCTGTAAAACCAGCTCCAAAGCCCGCAACCACAGTCTTCGGGCCCGAAATCTTGCCATTTTCGTCTTGGAGGAGGGACTTGAGGAAGTCAAAGGCGACAAAACCTGGATTGAAATGACGGTAAGCGGGGATCTACCCATAGTGTATACATTGGCCAGTTGATAAGTGACTTACGGATGCCTGCCTTCGCAGAGTTTCCGATAATCAATGTAGTACACCCGGCGTACCATTGGCTTCCGAACGGGGGCCATGGTAGCTTCTTGCCATCTGGCAACCTCCGGTTTAGTTGCGTGCGAGTTTTGGCAACTGGTTGCGTGATTAGCTTTGTCGGGTTTGAATCCGGTCAGGACGTACACTCAGCGGGGTATGTGATCGCTGATTCAAATGTTAGCGATCCCGTGCGACTGAGATAAGATGTCATTTGGTAGGAACGAGTCATTACCAATTTCCACCGCTCCTGCAGACGAGCCCGCGAGGATGGAGCGCAAACTGCTAGGCTATCAATTAGTTAGTGGACATTCACCGGGGGGTTGAGAGTCCTTTACTTTTTGCGTCTGATTCTTTTCTGTGGTCGCCATTGTGTAATAATCCCAATTGGCAACAATGGGAGGTTGTGTTTTATATTGAAGACAGTCGTTCCTCTGGGTCGAAGTTTAAGATCAGAGAGGTCCGATAGCGCAATTGCAGCTAACCGGGTCGGGTCGGTGGCTCAGGCTCCGGGTCCGAGGTCTGTGAAGAACTAGAGGGATTCCGGGAGACCCCGACTTAGCGAATCACTATTATCGGCGCGACATACCCCGGACCCACCGACTTTTATCGGCAACTAGATACTTGATGGTCTTGATAGCATTCAGGTTGTTGATTGACCTAGTTGCTGTTTAGATATTGGCATAACATAAATTATGGATGTCTTTGGTGGGATGTGCCGTCTTCAATCATGTTATACTCGCTTCTAATAGTCATCCATCAAGCACTCCTACTAGAGAATCTGCGTGCGTGCCCTTAGCTAGTGAAACAAGATAACTGTATTGCCCCACGTATGTGTCTGTTGTCTGTAGGTATGTGGTGATCTGTGTAATTGCCAATGTGATAATGCATGTTGTATCGAGGGTTCAATAGATAATTGTTTGGGGAACGACGTCAGGTATCCTTCACAATCGTAGTTTACAGAAGAGGAGGATATTACGAGGCATGTCAGTGCAATTTATTGACAGCACTGGCATCCGACACAGACAGCTGCGCGGTTTCCTGTGGAGGGGATAATTCATTGTCAATTTGAAGATGCTAACAGTACCACTATTGTTGCTGGATGTAGCCATCTCTTATCCCCTCGCATTTCTCACATTTTCTCTAGTCCTGCGTCCCCATTCTCGAAGACCACCACTTCGAGGCTTCGTGCGATTCCATACCCCCAATTCATCATCTGTTTTCTCTAATATATTTCCCCCCTTCTTTTTTTTTGTTTTTTCTTTTCTTTTTTTTTATACTTCCTCCTTTCTCCTTTTTCCTTCCCCCCTCTCCTTCTTTTCCTTTTTCTTTTCTTCATTTTCACTTTGTTCTTCATCTTTCCCTTTCGTTCCCTCCCCAAATGGCTTGGGATCTGGGTTCTCGTCATTGTTGCCCGCTGTCCACTGCCGAGAAAATGAACCCAAAGGACACCCATTCTGACATAGACACGGAAACCACACATGGACAGAGACAGGACCAGAGACAGAGATAGAGAAAACATAGAAACAAAGTTGAGGTCGCCATGGGGTGTTTTGACCATGCAGACTCATATACGGACAACGATTGAGACCGTGACACAATCGAAAGAGGAGATGGTCTTGCGCAACATCTGCAAGCAAGCATTTGATGCACTGTGAGCCCAACCTTTGAGGGCCCAAAGAGGAAAAAATGACGCATCAAGCAAAAGAGAGAAAAAAACAACGAGCAGAAAGAAAAAAATACAGTCCAGAGAAGGACGAATTCGGACTGTCCGAGCGATCTGGATGATATCGAATTCCCAACTCCACCCACGGGAATATAGGGTTGTCATGAAGCAAAAGAGAACATCATCTGCTCCCCGATGAACAAGTCGGCTCGTAGCAGTCCACAAAGATTATAACAAAGAGCTGCACCGCTGACTCCGATGCTCGAAAACGCCATTATCCGTAAGTAAAAAACCGAAGGATGTAGTCGTAGGTAATCGTATGTACAAGAAGGTGGATTGTCGAGATAAGGAGGAAAGACGAGCATGCATAACGCAGAAACTGGGGTCGAGGACGTTAGTTGAACGCTAATGGAGGCACAAGCAAGGACATCATCAATCAGAAGTCACAAGCCAGCCCCTAGAATGAAATTGAGATACGACACCGATGCCGAAACACTGTTAAGACATCGTGTTACCGAAATAACTGAACACGGCGCGAAAGAAGAGCAAAGGAGGCGCATAATCAGCTCCATGGAACGTAGAGATAGCGCATTTGTCGAAGATTTTGTTAAGAAGATAGGAAGGCGGAAGAGGGAGGGACACCATCGTGATAAACACATGCACAAGAGAAATCGAGGATGACTAGAAGCTGCAGGGCAAGAGACACCAATAACAAGCCGAATTTATTGATCAACAAATTATAATGCTTGTGCAGCTTGGGAGTTGCCGCCTTGATGACCCTGGGAAGGACCAAATCGGTCTCCTTGACCGTGAGCGCCGCGACGTTGACCCTGACCCTGTCCCCGGCCCCGATACGAGCCCCGCCCGCGATTGAATTGCTGGTTGCCACCACCTGGATGATGGTTGCGGCGTTCTCCGGGGCCTGCGCTGGTGTTGGTTTGCTGTGTTAGGGCCGGGTTGGAGATTGGGCGCGGGATGGTATCCGGAGACTCGTAGACGTAGAGCTTCTTATCGATATTCTGGGGGATAGGCTGGATTTCTGTTCCCAGCTCCTGTTCGATCTTGTACAAGTTGAAGCGATCTTCCCAGTTGATCAGATTGATTGCAAGACCAAGGTGCCCGAAACGACCGGATCGGCCGATTCGATGAAGATAGGTCTCGGCATTTTTCGGGAAATCGAAGTTGATGACAACGTTCACGGCTTGGATGTCAATACCCCGAGTAAGCAGATCCGAACAGACCAGATTACGGCATACGCCGTTCCGGAAATCGTGGAAAACCCGGTTACGATGTTGCTGGAGCATTCTGGCGTGTGAATAGAAGCATGAATAGCCCAATTCCGTAATCTTCTTCGCAAGTAATTCCACACGGTTTGTAGAGTTGCAGAAGATAATCGACTGGTTGATTTGAAGTTTGGAGAAGAGAGTGTTCAGGCAGTGAACTTTTTGCTTCTCTTCCACGAAAGCGTAGTACTGAGTTATGCCGCGGAGTGTAAGTTCATCCATAAGGTTGATTTCATAAGGATTGCGCATGTGCCGATCCTGTAGACGATGTTAGCCACACATTCTGGACAGATGGCCGAACGCGGATATGACGGTTGTACCTTGAAAGACTTGACAATCATAGGGAATGTCGCACTAAACAGCATCACCTGGCGGTCTTTGGGGTGGAATGACAACAGCTGTTCAATGACCGGGGTGAATTCGGGAGACAGCAGCTTGTCAGCCTCATCCATGACGAAAGTAGGGCACTCAGTAAGTTCTGCTACGCCCTTGCTCGCTAGATCAAGGACTCTGCCAGGAGTTCCGACGAGAATGTGGACCGCATCGTTCAGTCTGATGATATCATCCATCAACCCAGTTCCACCGGTGGTAACCATCACGTTGATTCCCAGATGTTTACCGAGTGTCTTGCAGACGTGAGATGTCTGAAGTGCAAGCTCTCTCGTAGGAACAAGGATAAGAGCTTGAGTTTTTGTGCTCTTGGGATTGATGCGCTCCAAAGTAGGGATGACGAAGGCAGCTGTTTTGCCAGTGCCGTTCTTTGCTCGAGCCAAGATGTCTCTGCCAGTAAGGGCAACCGGTATCGTTTCTTCTTGGATAGGGGATGGCTTTTCGAACCCAGCCTCGAAGATACCCATCATAAGCTCACGTTTGATGTAGAAATCCTCAAATTCAAGACCTTTCGTAGCTGTTACATCCTAGATTCATGTTAGACCTCGCGGAATAGTCAGCGAAGGTAGCCGAGGACAAACCTCAGTTTGTGGCCTTCCATCCTTAATAGGTGCATTGATTTGTTCTTTCCATTTTGCATCCGTATTTGCTCCCCTAACACAAGAAACCGTGAGTACATTGAAAGCGTACAACGCCAATGGAACACCAAAGGCCAACATACCCCAAACTAGTGTTGTTGAGCTGCGAGGCAAGAGCGTCGGCCATGGTGATCAACTATTTCAAATAACGGGGACCAGTGATTGTATTGTCTTCACGTCCCGCCCTCGACCGAATGCGGTGGATTTTGGAGATTATTATCGAGTGTGCAAGGGAATATTGATGCACACAAAGTGTCGAGTCCAGGTGGTTGGGCAAGTAAAAAAAGGCTCGAGTATAGAGGGAGATAGTAGGTTTGGTGTTTCGACACAGGCAATCGGCTGTGGTAGCGGCTGGCGATCTTGAAAAGCCCAAGATTGAATTCCAAGTTTGGTATTTGGAAGTGGACCCCAGGCGGTGTGGGCGGAGATTCCTTCTTTCACACCAGGAGGAGACGAGAATGGACAGGGCGAAGGAGAAATATGTTGAGATTGTCTTGCTATTAGGTGCAAGCTGTTGATTGATAATAAGTGTCAACTGATTTAAGTGAGGTAAAGAAGTATGTTCCAGGTTCTGAGAGGAGAAGTTATCGAGGAAGTTTGAGACCAGAGTAATCTTCAGAGGGTTTTTTTGCAGGCAAATTTCTCTCTGCGGGGGAGGGTAGTGGAGAGCAGCCAGTGGTTCAAACGATCAGGCAAAGAAAAAGAAAATCAAACTAGCGTGGCTTATCTCACAATGGAGTGCAACAGTGCAAGGTTATCATCAAGGAATTGGGGGTTTTGTTACGAGAGGGTGTCGAATGAGACTTGGAACACAACAGACAGATCTTCCATCATACCATCTCCAGTCGCCATTAGTCATTATTACTAGGCCAGGTACAGCCTGTGTGTAATGTGTATAGTGCCCGCCGGAGTCGCCGGGGCCACAGGGTTGGCCCTCGCCCTTACCGCAGCGAGTACTACTACTGCCTGTGCAGTACTTGGGAGTACGTGTAGATACCAGACACTCTTGTATTAACTGCTTGGGATTCTGATGATATTATTATTGGGTCTGTTTTACCATTTTTTGATTCTATTGTATCGGATATGGTTCCTCCGGCTTGTTTGGTCCTATGTGGGTTTCCAAACATGACTCCCAGAGTAGGAGTCTCGCTCATCGAAGTGGTACGCTAAATTACAAAAGCAGTTGCTCACACTAAAAAGGCATCGCGCTTTGACAATGCCCAATGAACAAAGAATGGCGAGATGCCATTGATCGTTTATGTCTAAAATGCCAACCTTGTCTGTCCTCGTTCCGGTTCTGCCAATCTAAAGGGGGAACGTTAGTTATGACTTTCGCCGTATGCGCGCATCTGGGACTTACTCTTTCACTCGAACATCAGGGGCTAAACTGATCTCACTCCTCGATCCTGGTGTGATGAGTATGAATTGCCGTCCAATCGAGCGCCGGGCCGCGAGCATCTATCCGGAATTAGCAAATACCTCACGGATTGAGGTTAAGACGGAGGGGTCTTACGAGCATATCGATAGCCATTTTTCTGTTAATGTGATCCATGTAAACGTCACTGCAGATTTGGTGTTAGTTATTGTGTATTTAAAAAAGGGCCTCATCCACATACAACTCGTCTAAGCAGCGTATTGGAGAACCCATGGCTTCCCAAAGGGCCAATAGAAGGCAAACTTGTGAGAATGACTTTTCGCCGCCGGACAGCGTTCTTGCGCCACGCCCAGTACTGTTGTCTTTCGTTATATCAGGCTCCACCTATGGGATTGTTAGGCTGCGGAGACATAGAACAGGTTTACAAGATAACATACCTGAAGGTCAAGAAGTTTACCCTCATGGTCAGTCAGAAGACGACCCCGGAAGCTTCTTTCGCTCAAAAGGTACGTAAACTGAGCCTTCGCGCGAGATGAGATGTGCGATCTAAAGATTTTCCAGCGTTTTTGCCGATGTTCCAGAGTGGCCTTGAGGACCTGTGCGCATTGGAGTTTAGCATAAAAGACCAAGCATAACCGAAAAGCTGCGAAGGGAGACGAAGGTAAACAAAAACATACATCAGCAAGCAACCTGAATTCTTCTACTTGTTTCAATGCACGTTCGTAAGCAGTGGCCGCCTCTGTGGCGTCGGCAGCAATTGCCTCTCGCGAAGCTCCCAATCTGACAAAGAAGAAAAAAAGGCAATTAGCAAAAGATCGGAGATAGTTGCGTTCTTACTTACTGCTGATTGCAACGCTCGATATCTTTATGAAGCCGCTCGAGCTTCTTGTCTAGACTGGCAGCGGTTTCACCCTCATCGATCGGGACCCTTGGTGAAACCAAACTGGCCTTCTCGATAAACTCGACAATACGCGCAGAAGTCTCCTCTTTCTCGCGTGATAACTTGTCCCTGTGTTCCTTGAGGCTCCGAAGTTGTTCGATCGCCTGATTTTTCTGACTGAAAATCTTTCGGCGCTTATCAGAAACCATCAGTTCTTCACTCTGAGCAACACGAAGTTCTTCCTGCAATGCAGCGATGTTGGCATCTTTAGCGGCAAGTTCCTGCTTTATCGCTTTCAATTTCTTCATCATATCATCCATAGCGTCAGCACTATCTTTCAATGAATTTTCATTCAGCTGCTTTTCTTCTTCAGCTTCCTTTAGAGTCGTTCGCAGCAAATCCATTTGCCCATCCTCGACATTATCTTTGTCAAACGCTTCGGTCAGTGCGTCGACATGGTCCTCTTTTCGCTGCATCGCGTCTCGCAGTGAACTCGACTCTCTTTCGTGCCTCACTTTTTGCTGTTTGCAAGTTTCTAGACGAGACCGGGCGGAACGGAGCTGCTGCTCTAGATTGCCAACCATGCGTCGAAGGTCCGCAACTACATCACGTTGGACCCTGAGGGCGGCTGTCAGTATAATGGCAAACAGTCGGGGGTACAATCCAAAAGAATCACCTGATTTGATCAGCCAGATCGGATTTCATCCGTGGGCTTCCGGTATAAACAGAAACAGGTGCTTGACTTGGTTCACCTGACCGGCTGTATGACAGATGGATGCCTCTTCTTCGGTCTGTTTGATCAATGCAATAGCACCGCTTCACATTTCTCGGGCGCGGCCCATCAAAGAGAACTGATGTTGCTTCCTCCAAGTTCTCAATAAGTAGCATTTGCTCGATACCATGATTGATGATAAGTTGTCGACGGACCAGATCATTGTCGATCTAAAAATATTCAAATTAGATTACGACTTAGGTACACACGGGGGCACTAACCTGCAGGACACGCAACGTTGTATTGAACTGAGCGTCAGGTTCATGCTCCGATGTATCAATGTGACCATTGCTTCCGATGAAGATGGGACACACACTTCCGAATGTTAGAACACACCACGTATGACAGGGCAAAAGAGATGGATACTAACCAATTAACCCTTTGCATGACATTTGACAAAATATTCATGTCTCTCTTGGAGGTGACAATGAAACTGTTCAAGGTCCCTCCAAGTGAATTCTCGAGGATAGATGACCATTCAGGCTTCAGCAGGGTTATGTGATTCCCAATGGGGCCCACAGGTGACACTGTAAATGACCTTTCTTGTTGAAGCGCTCGAAGGAGCGCTGGCATCTTTTCATGATATCCTGACCTTTGGGCTCCACCTTCTTTATTCAGATTGCGAAGGACGGTTTCCGCCTGCTCAACGTCGGCTTTAGCTTTATTGACTGGAATGGTAGCGGATTTGACGCCCGCTTCAGCATCTGCTACTTCACGCGATAGACGATCCGTATCAAGCTGATGCTCTTCCGACCGTGTACGGGCTTCAAGCATTTCTGCTTTGGCTTGTTCAAGCTCTTCCTGCTTCTGTGTGACACTGCCACCACTGATATCAGCTAGCCGCTGGTTTTCCTGGTCGATCTTCTCTTGCGCTTCACTAAGCCGTGTTTCCGCTGCCTTGAGATAATCTCTTATTTGACGTTGCTCGGCCTAACGATGTTGGTTAATGCGAGCCGTAAAAATCGCGTACTGGAAAGCAGACCTGCAAATCATGACGCCCACTCATTTGCTCATTCCATTTTGTCTTGATTTCTTCCTTTTCACTTTCGGCCCGCTCGACCGCTGAAGTGGCTTGTCGAACATATTCTGCTGCAGTTTCATTTTCCCCTGCTGCATCCTGAATTTCGACATCATACTGTTCGAGTCCAGCTTCATCAGTAGAAATTTTGGCGTCGATATTTGCAAGTTCGTGGTCAAAGGCGTCCCTTGCCTATTTTTTTTATCAGAGATACAGACAAACGTTATGATTGATGGATAAATCCTTACCCTCTCTTGCTCCTCGACCTGAGCCCAAGCCATTTGATTACGAACCTCTCTAACTCGACCCCTCAAGGACTCATGCTGATCAGACACGTCCAGTCTGTGCCGGGCGTCATCTCTGCGTCGCTCTAAAACACCTATGTCCTGCTCCCTGTTCCTGAGTTTCTCCAGAATCTGGTCGGCAGATTCCTCAATGAGCCGGTAGTCTTGGTCTAGTTGTTCTAGCTGGACTCCCTTCACGAAGAATTTGTACTTTTCGGCAGGACTTGACGAGCTGAGGAATTGTCGAGCCATGTCCTGTGAAAGGACGTTCATAGGGTTGTCGAATTGCAATGTAAAAAAATCAATGATGGAGTCCAGCTCAGCCTTCTTGGTTGAAACAATGCGGCCATTTTCCGCCTTTATTTTGAAACCACTTGCACCGCTTTTTGTGAAGTTGCGCTCTATGATGATTGAATTCCCGTAATCATCCGGCAAATATGCCCCTTCTCCTCTATTCTTGATGCGGACAACGATAGTAGCGCTCCTGGAAAGACGACATCAGAGATTGTAGACCCCAAGGTAGACTACCATGACTTACTCCCGGCCCTCCTTGATGAAGCTTTTAAGACTTTGTCCACGATTGGTGGCAGATGCCTTACCTCCCAAGCAGAGAGTTATTCCGGTGAGTACCGCGCTCTTTCCGCTGCCATTCTTGCCCACAATGAAGTTGATCAACGGCCCAAGTTCGACGCAGAAGTGGTCATGGCACATGAAATTGTAACATTCGACGCGCTCAAGGATTCCATGCTCGGCGGGAACATTTGGCTCATCGCTTGCAAACGAGTATTTCTCCTGGATCCCCTGCGTCGCCCTTAACTCCAGAGCGTCTTCATTATCGTCGAGAGATTCGGCTATCGAGGGCGGTCTCTGCTCGGATTCGTCGTTGCTGGTTCCGGTGTCGTCCACGCTGCTCCGGGAACCTGACCTGCGTCGCTTTCGCTTGATATCCAAGTCAGCTCAAGCCATCTTTTTTCCTTGCCACGGGGATTTTCTGCTCACAGAATGAGAGGCGTTAGCGACCGAACCCCTACCGTCTTCATCGGTATCACCAGGTTCCGAAGACACTTGCTGCGAACGCTTCAGCGATGACGACATCACGTAGATAGCTTCAGAATTTTGATCGCATTGCACATATCAGAGGTTTCTAAGAAGACATGAGGGAAAAGTTGCGTCAATGAATTCTTTTGGCACTGTGCCAATGTAATTCATTGTTTATTGAGGGGAATAAAGACACTGCGCCGCGTCTCGTGTCTCCGGGCCCACGCGTGAAAGACTAACCTAAAACGGCATTAATGACCCAGCTGCGGCGAGCCCGACCCAAGGTTCCGGCAGCGCCCACAGGCCCTGACAAAGAACAAGAAAGCTAGTACTACACTGTACACATTATCTACCTCAAAGACTACATGATAGGACGCCCAAGATAATACGTCAATGCAAGAAAATTAACTACCTAGGATGAAAGGAGGGATATTCGTAGATCGAGGTCCCCCCCTCCACTCCACCAGTTAACTTTTTAGATGCTTTACCACGTTTATATTCGGCACGTACAAAATGCGTCCGTACTACATAGCTCGAATCTTTGTTGGATCACGCGGACATTCACTAGTAACATTCAAGATATAAAGTATATATGAATCAACATGTGAGGCAAATTCGCGATAAGCTGCTGCTTAAGCGTTGATAGGCTCCTCGGACACATAGTGCAAATAAGCGCCGAGCAATTTGGTACCTTCAATGTAGTTTCTCTTGTCAAGTTTCTCATTGACAGAATGGGCGGCATCGGTTGAGCTTCCCATGGGCAGAAGAAGGACATTCTTCCCGGTAGCCTGTTCGAAGCTCAGAGTAACAGGAATACTGCATTATATATTAGAAGATTTCCAACTTAGGCGCTCTTCAATTCGAAGAGGATGTGTTATTTTTGAGACATACCTGCCACCTTCTCTAGTCATGTCGGGCTCGACTCCGAAAACCTGGGTTACAGCTTTGCTTGCAGCCGTGAAGTTCCAGTGCTTCGGGCTGGAAACCCACCACTTGCCGTCATGCTGAAGCCACACGTTCATAGTGTTTTTGCTATTGAGCTTGGCAAACTCTGCCTTGATGTAGTCGAAAACGAGCTTGCTCACTTGTTCGCTCTCCATGTTAGGAACAGTACGGATGGAGAACTTGCCAATAACCTTCGCTGGAATGACCGTCTTAGCACCCGGGGCGGAGTAGGCGCCTTCAACACCGTGGATTGAAAGCGAGGGGTACCGCCACCTGGCCATAAGAGTTCGTTCCTTTGTGGGATGGATGCTAGTCTCGCTGCCAAGCGACTCGTGAAGGTTTTCCATGCTGTAGCTGATATCACCGTACAGTGATTTTTCTTCCTCGGTCACAGGCGCGACGAGATCCATGAGGCCAGGAATCATGATGTTTCCCTGGACGTCAACAAGCTTCGAAAGGACGTTGACCAGATCCGTCATTGGCTCATGGGCCGAACCGCCGAACACACCGCTATGTAAATCCTGAGCAGGACCGGAGATACTGATTGAGTAATAGTTGCAACCTCGCAAGCCATATGTCAAGCAGGGCTTTTCCGTTCCAAGCCAGTAATTATCAGAGATGCATACGGCGTCTGCGTCCTTGAAGAACTTCTTGCCCTCGGCTTGGATCAGATCTTCGAGGCCCTCCGAGCCGTATTCTTCCATGCCTTCAAAACAGCAAAGGAGGTTCACAGGGAACTCAACACCTGCCTTTTTGTGGGCCTCAATCACGTTCAACCAGCCCAAGACAGGCCCTTTGTCGTCAGTGCTTCCACGGCCAAACATTCTTCCTTGAGCGTCGACCGTCAGGTCGAAAGGCTCAGTAGCCCAACCGTCTTCTTTCAAGGCAGGCTGTACGTCATAATGACCGTATACCAAGATCGTCCGCTTGTTCTTATCATTACCATACCGAGCAAGGATAACAGGAGGGAGATCAAGGTGCTCCTTTCCAGGCTGCTTGCCTAGCGGCCTTTGTTCCACTTCAGCTCCAAGAGCTTCGAGTTCCGAGGCGAGAAATTGGCCCATCTTCGAGGATAATAACAGACGTTAGTAACTCGTCCAAGTCGCAACATGGGTTTGTTTTTCATACCTTGAACACATCCGGTCGGTTCTCATCCTGCGCCGAGATGGACGGGATTGCAACAGCCTTTCGCAGCCCTTACTACCATGTCAGTGGATGGCATGGACGTCACGCCGTAGCAAGTTATAAACATACGATCGATGAATGAGCCTGAGAGGTCATCGACCCTAAGATAACGAAAAGAACATTAGCAATTGTACATCAACTGATGGTAAAACGCATGTCTGCAGGCGCCAAAGGGTGGGGTAAACCAAAACTGACTTCTGGAAGAAGGGCTCAAGCTGTGGTGCCATTTTTTGATCACTGACGTGTCCGTAGAATGAGCGGCGAAAAAATGAAGTCTTTGGGTGTGTGAGTTGTGTTGCCCAGGGTGTACTGTTGACAGATGAGCAAGACAGATGTGGTCTGTATTGTCTGAAGAGGGAGGTTGCAACGCGACTGAGGGGGAGGGGCATTGGGGCTGCAGGAAGAAAATCGAAAGTCCTCGATTGGTTTGGTCTGAGGTAATTACATACTACTAACCTACGGTAGGTACCTGGGTGGTTTACCTACTATGGATACCTTCTGTCGGCTCTAACCTAGTTTTACCGTATGTAAGCGACAACTTAGATTATTCGTGTTCCTAGATGAGACAGGGCCCCTCCCAGTGTCTCGTTGGCCTTGCTCTTTTCCCATTTATGTTCTTTTGCAAACTAGTAGGATTTCTAAAGGGTTTGAAAACAATTACATGATGCGGTTGAAACTAGTGCCGCTAGTGTACATGATTCTATACAACCACAGGACCTTTGCCAAACATACACGACGAGAGCACAAGGTAAAATAGAGAAAACAGATATAACCTGCGTGCTGGACTCAGTCATCCCTTCCCCAAGTTTCTCTCCGCAGCTGTCGGTCTTCCCTAGCCATCCGACGTTTCGCGCCCCATCTCGATTGAATTGCTTCAAGGATCTGTTTCTGCATCTCCTTCTTTTCTGGGGCTGCCTCGCAAACCATGGCGATGAACATCGGGGAACAACCAAAGCGCTTGGCCAATTTCCATCGGCTCCAACTCATCGGATCGTTTAATCGGAGTTTGCGGATCTCTTCTATATCCGACTGGCTCAGGTGATACGTCTTTTCGGGTGATGTTTTATATATGGAGGCAAAGCTGTCGACATTTTCGGGGCCCGAAGAGGCATCGGTACGTAGTGCTCTCCGCGCATCATCAGGAGGGAGAAACTTGGTTGGTGTTTGGTAGACGGACGGGGCGGTCGGTGGAGGGTTGTAGATGATTTGATCGCGTGATTGATTGGAGGCACCGAATGAAGCATCCGGCTTGACGCGTAGACGTTGTTTCGTGCGCCTGTACGTGGATTGATTGCGTCTCAATTCGAGAGCGACTGGTTCGCATGAAGGAAGAAGGAATGGCAGAGCCAGAAGAGGCCTTTTGGGACACACGATGCAAGCTGCCATGGTGTATGCGCGTCTCTTGTGAACTGCTATGTTTTGAGATTTTCCTTTCCTCTCTTTCTCTTTCGAATAAAAAAAAAAGATAACAACAAGATAAAGGATGCTAAATTGGTAGATCGCCCCGTTAAATGAACTAAGGAAAAGAGCAATTGTTAGCAAACTCGAAAGCGAATTTGAGATGAGCAGAATGCTTGCATGCTGCTGCAAAGAGGGGCGACATAAAAGCAGACAGGTTAAGGAAAATGGGTAGAAATCGGATTGAAAAATATACTTACTTCAGCCAGATTTTGATTGTGACTCTGCTGTTGGTTTGGGGGTTATTAGAGCATCCGCGTTATATGAACTTGGAAGGAAACCGGAGGTGAAGGGCAATTTTTGCTGGCAGCAAGTCCCGTGACAGGTCCCGTATCAAAATAGTTAGTTCGTTTTGGTATTGAAATTTACTCCAGAGTACACCCGGCAAGTGCACTTTGAAGCGGAAAGACAGGTAATATTGTATGTAATTATATTACATTACTTTGTCAACAAACACTACAGAGTACCTAACGTACCTATAGGGTAGAGTATCCGTACTACGGAGTACATACTCTGTAATCTGTATAGAGCGGTTACTCTGAAGACCTATTTGTTATGCAGTATCAGGTCCTCCCGCTGGAGTGCTTACCGACGTTGACGCATGCGAAAGACCGATCGATACGAATACATGCTAGACTGAGAGCCAACTCATGTTGCCATCTGCATGTCTAGAGCAGGAGTATGTACAAATTGAAATTTGGCCTTTTAGTGTGGGCCAATTTAAAGATCAGATCTGTCACTTGATTGAAACGGCAACAGCGGCCATGCAAGAGGGCAAAGTTCAATAGAAAGTTCTTAAAATATGGTTTACGCATTCGTAGCTGCGTCCAGAGCTGCTTGAATCCGAGACTGGAGTTCCGGCAGCTCCTCGAGTCCGACACTTACTCGCACCAGGTTAGGATCGATACCGAAAGATTTTGCCTGGGAGGGAGATGTCAGAATCCCAAGAGCAACATAGCTACTTTGAAAGAGGAAGAGAGGAAAAGTTCACATACCCACTCCAATTCACTATAGTGAGCCAATAGGGTGTAAGGACAACTAATTTCCAGTCAGTACTACTGCCGCCGAATCCCGAGAAGGTGACGGAAAGAGGGACGAAGAGGAGAATAAAGGGCGGTTGTAGGGTTACCTCAAGGTGAAGTTGGTTCCCAAGCTGGGTCCTTTATGTACTTCGAGATGGTCAAAGAAAGCAACTGCAGCAGCGGCAGAATGGAAGGTAACTGAGAAAAGACCGCCATAACCTCCATTTGGATTCCGCACGGCTTCATACGAATGCCTCGAAGGGTTCCACTTGGGATAGTAGACATCTTTCACTGTATGCAAGATTAGAATGATAATTCGTCCAGGATGGAGATTGGAGATGCTCCCAGTATTGACTTACCGACTGTCGAATTCTTCAACATTGCTGTGACTTCTTCAGTTGTGTGGTTGATCTTCTCGATCCTTGACACAAAATCACGACTATTCCTCTCCAGGAAAACGGCATCCTCTGCCCAGTAGTTATCTTCGTACTCAGCAAGGAATGTTTCCTTAAGAGTCTGGTAGTATTGTCCATGAGGGTTGAGAACGGCACTTCCTCCCATAACATTACTATCCCCGCTAAAGATCTTTGTCAAGCTACTGACCACAATATCTGCATAGGGGAGTACGTTAATGTTGAGAAAACTGCCCACTGTTTCATCAATCACCACTGCAAAATCGTATCTGTCTGCGAGAGAACGGATACGTTGGAGGTCGGGAGTTTTGAGTAATGGGTTCCCAGGAACCTCGGTGAAGAGTGCAAGAAACCTTTCGCCATGGACAAGCCGCGACTCCAGATCATCCAGGTCCTCAGACGCGCCATGCCCATAAAATAGACAGCCAGGACCCCACTTCTGAAGAATTTTTAGCGTGTCGATATAAGGAAAGCCAAAGCAGATGCTAGTCATGCCACCTCTTGCAGCCATCAACATCTGATGGCAATTGAATATTGAGCTCATGCCCGTGGGGAAAAGAAAGACGTCAGACTCTGTCAACCCCGGTATTCTTCCTTCCCCCGATGCTTCCTCTAGAGCTGCATTCAAGTCTAGATCAGCAGTCAAAACACCTGCTATGCGTCTGCGCACCGCCAATTTGGCCTGGTCCGCGAGCGAGGTGCTTAGATTGCGACCAAAACGTTCTTCGATAAACTGCAGATACTCTCGCCCGTCTTGGTTCCCGGATTTTTCTGGAGAATGGTCCGAAGCTGCGTGTGCTCCATTCCCTCGAGGCATTCCGCTGATGGAATCCTTTCCTCGGTATCTTCGTGGACCTTTGGAGAATTTTTGAGATGTTGCGTCTGCCACGGCGTGTTCTTTCTTGATAAGAAAACCGTCCCTCAAGGCGCTGAGGCAGAACTCGCCCCTGCGACTTGAAACACCATTCCCGCTATGCTGCCATACTTGTTTGGCAATTGACGCATGTTCCTTTGGATGCACCACACATGACAGAAGTGATGTCACGGCGGAGGATTGCGCCTCTGTGTGCGTTGTAGATGGCACAAAGTTCAGGATGCGGACTTTGCGCGATTCTTCGGCAGGTAGTTTTGTCGAGATGAACGAACGACAGATCTCCGCAGTCTTCGGAGACGGAAACAACGTCGCAGTCTCCGTCTCGGGGTTTCCGTGGCGCTGCACAACTTCTAGAGCAAGCTCTTGAATAGTAGGGTGCACAAAGAACCGAGGGTAGCCGCACTGCATTTTACGTACAATCCACGGCTCACCTTCTTCGTACGCAACATTGGCCTTCCATGTTGGAAGCGATACACTGACTGCCTTTTACTCTGTTAGCCAATCATGATATACATGTTTGCAAAAGCACAACGAAAGCGACAGTTATGAAAAAGAGGTTCGTATCAACTTGACCCCACCTAATTGCCGCGAATACAGGGTTAAGCAAAGGGCGGGGTTCAGACATACATGGTCAGTGTTCGGCGGGACAGGACCTCCAATTTCCTGGAGCATGATGTGAGAGTTATGACTTTCGATTGAAATTCCCACTCCTTTCTGAAAGTCCCAAACGAGGAGGAAAGGTAGAAAAGAGGATGTGTGGTGTACGGTAGGCCAAATGAATAGGTAATGTAATGTTATGATATAATCGAGTGATTGCGCTATTCGCAAGAGCGACTTCGGCGATGCCTTAGGCCGTCAAGAAACTTTGATCTGCACTCCTATGTGATTACTAATATATGTATAATTGTTCATTATCTAGCGGGCGGTGTAGCTATCATCACGTGTTTTGCGGAAGATCGGGGATTAGATTACCGCGCCGAGACAATATGGCAGGAAAAAAAAAAAAAAGGCAAGAAATCCTTATGGGGTTAATGGTTGCGCAGTTCTTTGCCTGAGCACATTCGCTTCCCTCATACATAAACAAACTATTCAACCATGTCAGATCACGCAGCGAAGCGAAGAAAGACCAATTTTTCCTCTGAAAATGCCGGCAAATCTATGAACAGCCATGATAATTTCAAAAATCAAGGACCCGGTGTGAACAAACGCCATGGCGACAAGAACGATCATTCCGCGGAGCTCGCCTCTGCCAGCGGCTTCTACAAGTCTAGTCTTTTCAAACTACAGCTGGATGAGCTGCTGACCGAATCGCGACCTAATTACGATAAACAAGTCTCAAGAATTCAGGAAACTCTTCGCAAAGTGAAAGACATTTTTGAACGGCTTCCCGAGATATCGCCCAAACCAGCTTCTGACGCCGAAAAGGACTTACGGCGCGTACACGACATAGTTGTTCCGTATCCTGAACCGCGTCCAGGAAAGGACACGAAATATACCGTGGCATATGCCCGACCGTCGAATGTGAATGTTGTAGGCAGCTTTGCGCTCAGAACAGGGGTCAAGCCTGATGCTATCTACACTGTTGACTTGGCAGTGACGATGCCGAGCTCACTCTTTCAGGAAAAGGATTATGTCAATCATCGATTCTTTCACAAAAGAGCCTATTATATCTCATGCCTAGCGGCAGGGATTAGAGAGACTCAAGACGCCGACATCGATGTCAGGTTTGAATTGCAGGATGGCGATAGTCTTCGTCCGATTCTCGTTTTGCAGCCGGCCGACGCCATGGAAAAGGGACACATGAAAACCCAAATTCGTGTAATTACTGCGACCGAAGACGGCCTATTTCCCGTCACACGGACTTTACCCTCAAAAAATAACATACGCCAGAACTCCACTGAGGATGGGGATCGTGAACAATCAACTCCATTTTACAATGGGGCCCTCCGGGCAGAATCTACCGTGGCGTCTTATCACAAGACTCATTACGCAGCTATCCGAAACTGCGAGTCCTTCAAAGATGCATGTGCTCTTGGTCGAATCTGGCTTCAACAACGGGGCTTTGCCTCCTCATTCCAAACCGGAGGATTCGGAGGATTTGAGTGGACTACACTGATGGCACTTTTACTCGAAGGTGGGGGGCCAAATGGGAAGCCTGTTCTCCTGAAATCCTACAGTAGCTACCAACTCTTCAAAGCTACTGTACAATTTCTTGCAGGAATGGATTTGATGAAACCGTTGTTATTGCATTCTTCGGACATCCAATTCCCCAGTGACACGCCCGTGCTATACGATGGCAAAAGAGGACAGAATATCCTTTACAAAATGACATCCTGGTCTTATGGATTCCTCCGTCATGAAGCAAAAATTACGGTTCAGATGTTGAATGAGTCTCGTGATGATAACTTTGAGAGCGTATTCATTCTGAAAGTTAACGAGCCCATGCTCAGATTTGACCGTCTCATGGTGCTGCCGACTTCGGATCAGTTCAACATTCTTCGAACTGTCCGCAATTGGAACGCAATTTACCAAGTACTTTCAAGAGCATTAGGCGATAGGGTGGAGCAAATATACCTTCATGGTCGCTGCACTAGTTCTTGGCGTGTGAACGCAAAACCATCTCGCAAAGACATGGACAAGGCTTTTTCCGTCGCACTACTCTTGAACCCCGAAAATGCCACACGCGCTGTGGACCATGGTCCAGCAGCGGAACAGAAGGCAGAGGCCGAAGCGTTCCAGTCTTTCTGGGGACAAAAGGCCGAGCTCAGACGTTTCAAAGATGGGAGCATTCGAGAGAGTTTGGTGTGGTCTGAAGACCAAACCGCACCGTCTATTGTGCACCAGATTTTGTTGTATATCCTGCCGCAGCATTTTGATTATGTTGAGCATGATATTCATTACATCGGCGATGAATATGACGACGAACTCTACAAGAATGGTGACGGCATATTGTCGTATTCTAACCCCTCGTTCCAGCTCATCAATGATGCTTTCCAATCCTTGGAGAAAAAATTACAGACCATGGACGAAGTTCCGTTGACTATCAGACATGTGGCCCCGGCGAGCTCACATCTGCGATACACTGCGCTGCATGTCCGAAAAACCCGTCAACCAGTTGATATTGTACTTCAATTTGAAAGCTCCGGCCGATGGCCCGATGATCTGGTGGCCATCCAAATGACAAAACTGGCGTTCCTTATCAAGATCGGGGATTCTCTGAAACAAGCCGGGATTGCATCCTGCAATGTCGGAATAGAGAATGAGTCAAGCAGATACCTGAACACTGGCTTCCTGGACGTTGATGTATCCGGCGTCACTTTCCGCCTCCGGATCTACCATGAGCGGGAACAGGTCTTGTTAGAACGTCAGCTCAAGGAGAAGTCAGAAACCGTACAAGGAAAACAAGAGATCACATACGCTCTGTCTATGTACAAGCGGACCTTCATCCAGTTGCCCCGCTTGACACTCGCCATTCGCACGCTATGCACCCGCTTCCCGTGCTTGTCTCCAACAATTCGCCTGGTCAAACATTGGTTTGCTAGCCACCTTTTCACCGGCCACGTCTCGGAGGAACTAATTGAGCTACTGGTTGTCCGGTCTTTCACCCAGCCATACCCGTGGGAGTCCCCTTCCACCATAATGCTGGGGTTCCTAAGAACGCTCCACTTTCTCTCGCGATGGGACTGGCGAGAAGATCCCTTGATGGTCGACCTGGGTGGGGAACTAGACCGGGACACTATTGGAAAAATCCGCACTCGATTTTCCGCGTGGCGGAGTGTCGACCCAGGGATGAACTCGGTGGTCCTATTTGCAGCATCTGACGTTGATGTTGACGGCATTACGTGGACCCAGTACGAAACGCCCTCAAAGGTGGTTGCAGCCCGGATGTCTACGCTAGCCAAGGCGGCCATCAAACTCCTCCGCGAGGAAGGTGGTGCACTCGACGTATCGAAGCTTTTCAGCACGTCCCTTGCGCCTTACGACTTCACCATCGACCTACGCCCGATCAAATCCGGCGATAGTTTGAAGTTGTCTGGGAAATACAAGAATATCGATGAGCAGAACTCTCGGGACCTAACTGCCAAACACAACGCCGTCAAATCCTTCGTCCGTGACCTGCAGTCCTCATTTGGTTCGAACATCCTTTTCTTCCACGGAGATGAAAACTGCGATGTGATCGCTGGAATCTGGAATCCGACCACCATGGTGCCCAAAGCGTGGAACTTGAAAATGGCGTATTCGACGGTCCCGAAGGCCGACGAAGAAGATGGCCGTGTTGCCATCAACCGTGAAGCTATCTTGAATGAAATCTCACGGGTAGGGGCTGACATGGTCAGCAGGATTACGGTCAAGGGGTAGTTAGGTGGATAATTTGTAGATTGCTTGTGACGGAAAAATATAAAAATAAACAGCGCCGTTAATGCAGTCATTGTACCCTAAATGAAGACATGAAACGCACACCAGATAACTATCAAGACACCAACTTCAATCATCCCTAGTCTATTAAGAGCTCGTCTTTGACTTGCCGGCCCTTTCTACCGGTTCCTGCGAGGAGAATGAGCAGAACTTATCCTTGATCGCGACGACTTCGTAAGTTCCTTCGTCGGATGTTTTGATGGTCTTTTTGTACTCGTTCGAGACGTCATGCTTGATGTCAAGGATGTCCGGCTTCTTTCCTTTCCGCACGTTTGAGCTCCGAATGTACCTAAAGAATGGTTAGCCTGTCTTCGGTTGTGATTGTGGGTCATTTGTAGAGCTGGTCAACATACGTAAATTCGAAAGGAGGAGTTCCCCAGAATTCAAAATGGAGTTCAGCCTCTCCACCTTCGTGGATATCAACTATCGAGGTTTGGCCCTTGCTGATCCTGACGCTAGGCATCTCATGGATAGTCTTGACGATGTTCTTGTGTGCTTTGCAATTACCACTCGCCCCGTCGCTGACCCCAGTGATGGTGAATACACCAGGTCGCTCGGCGATACGGCGGAAATTAGTGGTCTTGGAGGAAGCTTTTCTGGAAGCGCCATCGAATGTATAGAATACATCAAACGGAGCATGTCCAGACAGCGAGAACGAAAGCCGTTCGCCAACACAATAGTCGGTCTTGGATTCCAAGGGGATGATAGTCGGCACATCGGAAACGGCCACTCTCACAGAGGCGGCGTCATATTCGGTCGTCGTTTGACATCCACGTGAGTCTCGGACCTTGTTAATGCTGACGACATGCTGACCCAAATCCAAGTGACGCCGAGGAATAGGAAGGTTGTGCCTGTTGGATTTGATGTTCGGAATGGTCACAACTTCTGGCTTGGCCTTCGAGTGGTGTTTGATGGAGATTTCGAGCGAAAATGGGGGGACTCCCTCCAAGGTGATCGGGATAAGCTCTTCGCCGCTGACATCTTCTTTGCAGAATCCGTAGATACGGCCAGGAGCATCGAATTTGGCCGATGGGAGCGGGTTAACAGTTTGAGTCAAAACCACGGGGGTGCGTCCCGGGTCATGGTCATAAAGGTTGTCTCCGACTTCCGTGAACTTGTACGTGTAGGTTCCAGCCTCAGAGGTATCCATTTCCAGGGATGCTGTCTGAAGTGCTGTTTTCAAACTTTGCAATCGGACGGAGGACGAGCCACGGCTTGTTTTTCGCTGTTGTTCATACTGGATGCTGTACGGCGGACTCCCCGAGAAGCGAAGCTCAACACTGTCGTCATCGCCTTGACAAACATCGCGCTTCGCCACACGTTCGGCCTTCCCAATAGGCGAACCATCCACTGCAGTGATATGAGGCCGCGGTATCCAGGATACCTGAAAGATGTTGGCTGTCTGATCAACATGGCCAGGACACGAGCTATCGGTTATCCCAACGAGCTCATAACGACCTTCCTGGCTCACAGTCAAGACACTATTTTCCTGCCAAAAGGTCTGTTCGGTTACAGAAGCGCCTGCATCCAAATTTTTGTACATCACTAGCCATGGTCGTTCCCCATTCAGTCTGAGGGGAATATCGACCGGGGTGCCCTGCAATGCTGAATATTCCCTACTCTTTTCAATCTGGCCGAACGCTACCTGCGGTGGTTTTGATCGAGCATCGATCGTGACACTGTCCTTGAGAGTTCGTTTGCAATTTGAGCGGTCCTTGATACTTGTTAGTACGAGGTTGTATTCACCACCACTGATGAGCTTTTCCGTCATGATCGTGGCAATATCACCCTCGGATTTCAGAGTATGTTTGCTCTTCTTTCCATTATGGACCAGCTCATATTGCAAAGTCCACGGCGCTTCACCGAATAGAGCCACATCAACCGCCACGGGCTCTCCAAAGCATGCCCTGCGCCGCTCTCTCGACCCAAGGAACTGCGCTGAGGCGGGAGGCTTCACGTCTTGTTCCAGGACAGGAGTTTTATCCTTGAGCGACCTGGGCGCGTAGACGGCATCGGCAATGTCCAGGAAGCGATAGCGATAAGATCCCGCCTCCGACGGAGTTAGGTCAATCTGGGTTCGTAAGCCGTCAATCGTCATGGTCTTAGTCTCGACACCTTTCGGTCGCTCCACAACATATCGAAGCCTGAACGGCGGAGAGCCGGTGAGGTCCAGGTCGACAAGCAATCCGACCGGGTTATTGGCACATTTGTCATAGATCTTTTCATACTTGACAGCCAACTCCGGTTCAGGGGGATTGTGAAGGTAACAAGACGACGGCTCCAGCACTTCTCCTGCACAAAACTGGCTGGCAACATGGTTTAGGCTGTACCATCCGGGATCCTTGATATAAGTTTTCTGATCCAGAGTCCCTAGAGACAACTGACGAACTTTCCCGGGAATATCGCTAGTGGATGCATCTTCGTTCCCATTGAAGGCATACGTGAGGGTGAAGGGACCGTCGTTCTCGTAGTCCCGTCCTGAATGCTGAAACTTCAATGGTAGATTGACTGTTTCACCCCGTGGAGCCTCAATGAAGTTCTGATCGTTACATCCTGACAAGGACACCCTAGGCCTTTCGTGGACAGCTATCTGGTGAGATGGAGGTAAGGACTTCGCCGCGGAATTATCTGATTCATCAGCATTCATCGAGTAGTTTGCGACGTTCCCAGAGCCATCATGAACTTCTTCGATGGTATACAGCCATTCACCCCCGACGTTCAAGGACTCATTTAAGGGAACTTGAATCGATTGGCTTTGGGCCCAGGAGACGTCCAGCTCTCGTGAACTGAAAAAGATACCGGAATTCCTCTGGCCCAACAATGGGGACCGCAAATGATCCGGTTGGATCTTCTGAAAGGAGAAACCGCGGTCAAGGCCGTTGATTTGCCTGCTATACTTGATTTGCAACGGTGGCGTGCCTTCGACTGTCAATACCAGGTTGGAGAGCTCACCCCGGCATTTATGTGCATGCGACACCTGGGCCACTGCTTTGGGACAAGAAACAACAAGCGCATCTGATGCGCGCGTGTGAACGTCAAGGTTGGATTCATCCACGACCCTCTTGAGGCGGTAAATGCCTTGACGCTTGATGGGGAGGAGAATATCTAGGGACTGGTCGCGACTAGATCCCGATTTCTTTTTCTGACTCGCTTGGCGTTTCAGCGGTTTCAGCTGCTTTTGAGAGAACGTGATAGTTTCGTTGCCGCCAGAGTTGAAATCCAGGCGGAAAATCTCAATCGAGATGGGGTTCGTTTGGTTGATTCGAATGGGCAGATTCACGGTGCTCTTATGTGAATCTAAGCAAAACGGTGCTTGGTCCGGATTGAGAACGGCGAACCTGTAACAGTTAGCCACATGTGCCAGCAGGACGACTTTTGAGACAGTCAAAGATAAACTCACCCCTCTGGCAGGATGTGGACGATTTGCTTTCCCAAGATAAGCGAGCTATTGTGGATGATGTCCCCCGGCTTCACACTGCGCTCGGATATCGACAATTCCCGGTCGTAGGCCACTTTGATCATACCCGACAGCCATGCGCCCAACGGAACCTGGTCGCATTGTCAGCAAGAGACGTCGCATGGCGTTCCGCGCATGGGGCACTCACCGGGATCCGAAACATTAAGAATATATTTCCAGCGACATGGAGAAGGAAGATCGCAAGAGTAGTCGGAAAGGCCCATTCCATCCAGGGAATCCGCAGCGCCTGGAGCCCGAAGAGGAAAATGCCATCGATGGAGGCCCATTTCAAAAACAGCCAGGTCGAGTCGAGGTCGTCGGAAGCCGTCCAAGATTCATATATCCTCCAAGCATTGAGGGCCAAGTAAAATGCCACCACGTACAATCGTTGTGAGGGCGGGTCGATTATTTCCACAGGAACCAACGGCACGGGCCCATGTTGGCCCTGGGCTGGTCTCGACGGAGATGTCGGCAGCGACCCGTCGCGAACTTTGGGTTTCGGGTAATGTTATGGTCCCTTGACCTCCGGACCGTTTGTGGCGTCTGGGGAAAGGCAGAACGAAGTCGGGGAGTACCGTTCATGGCATGCTGTGGTCGCGCAGGATTCGCGGGAAAATCCTACCTAGGAGATTGGGTTAGAAAAGAGAAAGGAATATGAAGGTGACGTGAAGGAACAATATGCAGGATCGTATTGATCTCCCCAAACGCACCTAAAACGCAGACAGCGAATGTCCCAATGTTCTAGGTCGCAACAGACCTACTGAAAATTGCAAGAGGGTAATGGGGACGTGAGGGAGTGAGGGGGGAAGTCAAGAAGTTCACAGCTCGCTGAGGGTGGAATGAAAGGCAGTTGGAAGTTGGAGTCTGGAGGAATTTAGTCGGAGCTCCTGCGGTGAATCAAACTTTCAAGTGATGATCAGTAGGAATTGGGACGGCATGACCGGAGCTAAGAGACTGCTTCTACCGGTGTGAATATGAAAAAAATGATTCTTTTGTATCTTTGTTATTTTGTCTATTAAATTTATTTTATTTCATTATATCTATATTATATTATTATTATTATCATCATTTTAAAAGCTGCAGCTTCCGAACTCAGTGGCGGATAAACGCGTGGAGTCGCGCGTCAGTCCGACAGCTTAATCCAATCACAAAAAGTCCAGATCGGACAGTTCCCAACCTACACCTTCCACCTCTGACTGTCTGGAGTGCTGTACTAGTAGGAAGAGGGTGAGGTGCAGAAGCTGCTCCTGCGTTTCTTTGACTTTACAATACAGCACTCTTTCTCCGATCCGATCTACCGGGTAGATATCACTCCATCACTGCATCTACTGGTAGCGATGTAAGTACAAGATCGGCGACCATCTGTGAACTACGACTTGTACGGAACACTCAGTGTTGATTGCTGGGAAGTTGCTGGATCTAATAATTTCCGGTTCTCAGGTACCTCCTAGTGTCAATTTGGACCTTATGATCGAGTATAATAGCTCTCAAGGGTTCTGTCGATGCGAAGGCCTAGCTATTACGTTGCACTGCACAGAGCTATACGTACGGTCTTGAGGTTGCAAATCCCACCAGTCCTCATATCTCATTCTTTTGCCTAGAAGGAGGTGTCGAGCTCTTGACTCAGATCAGCTCTTTCATCCCCCACTTGAGCTGTCGCAAATAGAGAACTCAGTTGATCGTCCAGCAACGAGGCTCTGATAATGACCCAGCCTACTAAACGAAGACGGCTGGACTCTCAGCCAAACGTACCAGAGGATGACTGTGCTGCTACGGATCCTTTTCGACCGGCAACGATGCAGGATAAGCAACAATGGAACGGGTTTTGCGAGATCGAATCAGAACCGGTACGGCCCGATATATCTACCATTTTCTTCGCTCTTCCAGCTTGTCAGCCGTGATCTCTGGGCTAACTATGGCAAGGCTCTCTTCAACGTAATGCTCCGAGAATTTGGGGTGAAGGGGGTCAAAGTCCAAGAAGTGATTTCCTTGGACGAAGAGATGATGGCATTTCTAAAGTGAGTGCCGCGTGGGATTTTCCGACAGGTCGGTCGTCTTACGTATTGACTGTTCCGTCCGAATAGCAAGCCTATATATGGGCTTATCTTCTTGTTTCGGTGGCGCGAAGATGACCCCAACAAGCAAGAAGCGAGCTGCCCGGATGGGTTATGGTTTGCAAATCAAGTTAGTATCTACATATCTACATCGGCATTGCAAGCGTGCACCCGTCACTAATTACCAAAATAGACGGCTAGCAATTCCTGTGCTAGTGTGGCGCTTCTGAACATTGTCAATAATATCGAAGGAGTTGACCTGGGCGAGCATCTGCAACAGTTCAAGGACTTTACTATGCCATTCACCCCGGCACTGAGAGGGGACGCTATCAGTAACTTCGATTTTGTCAAACGGATACATAATTCCTTTGCAAGGTAGGTCGACCATTGCCAGCTTTCCCTATTCGCAACACGTTCTCATTTCCAAAACAGAAGGATGGATATTTTCAACTGCGACCTTTCGCTTAAGCACGAGGCATTGACCAGACGATCAAATTCCAGAAAGAACGAGCATGACGACGGTGAGCCAGATTCTGGGTTCCACTTTGTTGCGTTCGTGCCCGCTCTGGGCAGGGTATGGAAGTTCGATGGCCTTGAGCGCCAGCCCCAGTCGCTTGGTACGTCCGATGACTCTTCTCGTGAAGCAATTTTTCTAAACAAAGAGTCATGCAGGGGAATGCACACCAGACACGGATTGGCTGGATTTGGTCAAGTCGGATATACTTAAGCGGATGGCTGAGTATGAAGAAGGACGGATTGAGTTTTCCATCCTGAGCCTTTCAAAAGATCCGCTTGTCGATTCGATTGAGCAATTGGCAATCAATGTGCGCAGTTTGGTAATGGTCAATCAACGACTATCGTCTGTCAACCACGACCCAGGAATCTGTGGCGAACACGCGTTTACTGATCCTCTCCCTGAGAATACCCTTCTGGAACCCGATGCTTCCTACGCGTTGACTAGAGAGGCGATCGACGAGGCTACAATCCCTGAGGCCCGACTCGAGCAATACCGATCGTGCGGCCCTCAAGAACTCTTTCAACACCGGGAGCAGTTGAGTACTGCACAGAGAGGGCTCCGAGCTGCTATTCGGGATGAGCAGCAATCCAATCAAGCCGACGACGATTACGCAGCGGGGCGGCGGTATGACTATGGTCCTGCTATTCGCGCGTGGGTACGGTTGTTGGCCCGGAAGGGCACGATGGAGGACTTGATTTAGCAAGTAAGGGGGATCTCCTCGGTGTATTTGGCCAATTCCTACAGGTGCGACGCCAACAGAATCCATATACGCAGTGGGTTGGTCAGTTTATCCACTCCTTCCACTAGGAACTGAAGAAGTCGTCTGTGTTGTATGTCGCATGTCGCATGCCGCATTATAGATATACCTGCCAATTCCGCATACAATCGGATAGAGGGAACGAAACCGCACTTGTAAGATGGTTGACTACATCTGTATTGGCCGTGTACTCCGTAGTATCAAACCCACTAATGCAAGGGAAAAAGGCGCCCTCGTGTTGCGCCAATTGGACGACAAGCCGCCCGCAGAGGAGAAGTAGGGACCTCGGATGGATCCACGGGGTAATACAGTCCCCTTCTCGGAGGAGGTTCTGTGGCTGATTCCTGCGGGTATCCTAGTATTGTCAACGAAGTATCTATAGAAGAATAACCATAGCCAAGGATGTTACAGTAATTTGACCAGGTTCTTGACCTGTAGCATCGAATGTACCAAAACGAGGGGAGCAGTAGTAAGTAGATGGCGGCGTGACTAAACGACCGAAAAGAACGTCACCGCCTAAAGTCCAAAGGCCGCATCCGCACCGCCTTGTTTCAGTATATCTCTGGTGGATCATGCCTCTTTTGCTCCACAACTTCTTCCACTTCAGACCTTTTTCTTTTCTCTTTCTCTCGGCGTTTTGTGTGGACTAACAGTCTCATTTGGTGTTGGTCTATTTTCTGGCGCATAGTGATCTACTTGGATCGAGACGCCGGTCAAGTTGTCAGCCAGTCTTTACACTTGCGGCTTGCCACCTTCGGTCCGCGATAGTTTCATTGCCTGCCTTCGTCGGCCGTACCATCGCTTCTCTCTCTGTCTCTGGGCATCGGGGTCGCCATGTCGTCCGCTACGGCTTCCGATGCTCCCGAAAAGGCTCCCGATGATTCCTCGAAGCTCAAGACCTTTCTGTCTATACTGCGCAAGTATGCACTAGTTACCCTGGCCTCATGCAATCCCTCTTATACCAGTAGCTCGATGCTAACGCCGTGATAACTCCCTTATAGGTTCATCGGGGTAGCTGACATCGCCTCCGTTCGCTTCTCATTGCCTGCACATCTCCTCGAGCCCACGCCTAATCTGGGTAGGTTAACCTCTGGACCCAACAAGGACCCGCTATACTCGACGGATACTGACATCCCAATCAGAATACTGGAACTACTTGGATAGACCGGAGACCTTTGCAAGGTCAGCAAGGATGCTTACACTGCCACCGAACCTCATTTTCTGACATGAGAGTTGCAGCATTGGTAAATCAGATGACCCGCTGGGTCGTATGTTGGAGGTTCTGAGGTTTTGGTTTACCAAGGACCTGGTACATCTACCCAAACGTTCTTGATCATATTTCCTCGGGACGTTTGCTGAACATGTCACAGAAATACATCAAGGGCAAACCATGCAAGCCGTATAACTCCACACTCGGTGAATTCTTCAGGGTAAGTTGGGCGTCGTTCCCTGACCGTTCCACTCCAGTTGATTTGCATATATTCGCCCCCCCCCCCCCCCCCCCCCCCCCCCCCCCCCCGTCTTACCCGCTCTCTAATCCATGACGCCCGTCCTAGTGTACCTGGGAGATCAACCAGTCTCTCCCAGAAGTTTCAGTACCGTCCAAGGCAAGCGGTGCAACCAACACGGCGCCTGCCGCCAAGAAGGACAGCGATGGACCGGTCAAGGTATGCTACTTGACCGAGCAAACGTCTCATCATCCACCAGTGTCTGCATTCTTCATCGACTGCCCTGAACAAGGCGTTTCAGCTCGTGGCTTTGACCAGATCAGTGCGAAGTTCACAGGCACGAGTATTCGCGTTGCCCCGGGCCAACATAACCTGGGCATCTTCATTAATATCGAAAAGAGAGATAATGAGGAGTATCAGCTAACCCACCCTGACGCTCACCTAGGGGGGCTACTGAGGGGAGCACTGGCTATCACCGTGTCCGATACGTGCTACATCACATGCTCCCGGACACGTATCAAAGTGATCCTGCAGTACCTAGAGGAAGGTTGGATTGGCCGAGCCCAGAACAAGGTTGAAGGTGTCATTTTCCGGTATAATCCTGATAAAGATACCACCACGAAAATCAAGGACGTCCCCGATGGTGATGTTCTCGCCAAGATTAGTGGATCATGGCACGGGAAGGTATACTATACTTTGGCTGGAACCAACGAGCCCCAGGTCTTGATTGATCTCGCGCCTCTTTTCCCAGTCGCCAAAAATGTGCCACCGGAAGACAATCAACTCACCAACGAATCCCGTCGGTTCTGGTCGGGTGTCACGACAGCGATCGTGAACAAGAAATACAGCCAAGCAACCAAACTCAAGCAGGATATTGAGGAACGGCAACGGCAAAAGGCAGCCGAACGACAGGCCCGCAACGAGAAGTGGCAACCTCGCTTCTTCACCGAGGCTGTTACGCCCTTGGGGAAACCCCAGCTGACCGAAGAAGGGTATAAAGCGTTGGAAGGCCTCCGCCATGATGAGTACCTACTCGAGGAGAACGAAACACAGGGTGCATAGAGTCATAGCGGCTTGCTGCTTTCGGGTATACATGAACGTCTTGTGGGTTTGGCGTATCTGGTAAAGAGACCATATAGGTCGGCATTTATTTTTTTCATTGGGTTTTTTTCTGCACTGTTACAACTTCTCTTGTGTTATTGTATTGAGAGAATTTCGCAACGCATGAACTTGTACCTTTGACCTAGGCTGTGTGTGATATTGTTGTCAATTGAACCAGACTTAATCCGTGCTTTCTTGAAGCCAATTAGCCTGACTACCAACAAATATAACACTGAACCAAGCCTATCATATTCAACATAATGGAGATTCAACACAGTCGATTAGCCACACTTGATGCCAGTGCGCGTACCCATGCAGATTTCAAAATGGTAATGTTCAAGTATGTGAATGGAAATAGAGAATATACTAGTAAACAGCCAAGAAAGTATTCACTGAGGATTATCTTAAGAAGTAAATACATAGAAAGGAACATAAATTCATGAAGCACGTTGATCCAACGCTGTAAAGTCATAATAACACCATCACCAATGACAAATCTTGCGCCCCTATATCTGAATAAAGCAAACCATTCCGACCAGACCCCTCAAAAACTTAACCAGCAAAGACAGCATGTAACATTCAGCCTAAGCGTTCGCTGAGACAACTTTGTTGAAGCCTGCCGTCACTGTCTTTGTGATATCTTCGTTCTTATGCGGGAGCAGAGACAGTGCGTATGCCACGTCGTTCCATTGGCGCTCTGTTTCACACCGGGGAAGTCGGGCAGCGAGCTTGTCGGCTAATTGCCGAGCGTGTTTCTCCTAGAAGGACAGTGTTAGTTCCAAACTTATGTATGAATATGTGTTAGGAGGGGAATTCTTTACCTTTTCAACGAATCCAATGAGGAACTTGACAATGCGTCTAAGTGAAGCCTCCTCCAGGTTTCGCTCGGCACTTAAGAGACTGAACATGTCGACGAAATGGTTATACACGGCGTTGTCCTTGCTCGCCAATTCAGTGAAGAACATGCGAGCCAAGTCGGCAATCCGCTTGTCGTCGTCTTCCAGGCACTTGGCCATCTCGCCCAGCTGTCCCTTGACCTTGACCTGACCGGCAAGGATGAGGAAGGTAAGGGTCATAAGACATGTGCGCTTGACAGACGCATCATCATCGTTGAGTCGACGATACAAGAAGTCTGTGTTCTCGTCGATCAGATGGTTGAAGCACACAGCCATGTCGCCTAGGGCGATCACTGCATTGCTGCGGACGGTGGGATCTTCAGATCGCTCCATGATTGTGATCAACAAGGGCAAGTTCTTCTCGCAGTATTCTGCTGAGACACACATCAACTTTGCCAGGCACAAGGTCGCTGATGCCTGGAGATTCCGGTCACAGTATATATTGCTGTTGGCGCAGATTTCGGCGACAAGAGGGCCGAAATTCGACAAAAGCGAGTTTTCTCCATAGAGCAGTTCTCGTTCCCGGATATGCGCCATGGCGTCTGTGAAATCGTCCTCAGTTGTCCCGCCAATAAGGTCCAATTCATCCTTCTCAGCGTCGTTGTCTTGAGCCGATGTGGATACCTTATTCTTCTCCTGCTCTGCTTTGCGGCGTTTGAAATCAAGTTCACACAACTCCAAGTGCACGATCTGTTTGATGGCAATATGGCCAACGACAAACAGCAGCTGTGACAATGCAGCGGAGGAGGTTTTGAGTTTGGAGCCTTCGCCGTCGCTTGACGCAGTTCCGGGCCGCTGTTCCTCTCCTTCGTCCGCATTTGAAGGTGAGCGCTGTATTTGTGGCTGGAAGACAAACTTGGTCTTGCGCTTGAGAATATCAGAGCAGAGAACATCCGGATGCTTGGAGAGCGCGTAAATTGCCCCAATAGCTTGCTCTGCAACCCCATACCACTCTTTGCTATCCGAAATGGCCTCAACCATGTCCGCGAGTTTGGTCAAGATCGGGTGGTCGTTCGCAAGCTTAGGTATGCCCGTGTCCTTATTTTTGGCCTGGCGGCCTGGTACCATCCTTCGTAGAGCAACGCACGAGTATCTGGCGAGAACGAGATCGGTCCTTCCTAGGTTACCGAGCCCGATCCGTAGTATCGTTTCGATCTCTTTGATGACTACTTCCGGATCGGCCAAAGCGAGCATTCCAAGAACGATTATAGCACCGCGGCGCTGAGTCTTTGAAATTTCCTTCTTCTGGACACCATACACTTGCCATAATTTGGAGACAACAGACTCTGGAATATTACCAGCTTTCATCATTGTACTGATCAATTGTTCCAAGCAAGTAAGCTCGGCCGGCGTGGAGCCAAAAGTCAGACTGATCATGTTTCGAGCAATGTAGATTGCAGCATCGTTGGGGGTGAAGGAAGTTGGCGCTTCAAAGAAAAGTCCCTTGTAGCAGTCGATAAGGTGAGTCTGAACCCCTTTGCCTTCATCGCTATTGCCTTTCGTCCAGATGAGTCGGAGCATACGGCGAATGCCACTCCGGGAGGTTTCAACCTTGTAAGCGTCAAGAACCACAAAAAAGTCCATAGCTTCAATGGCTTCGCTCTTGTTTCTCGATGATAAGAGCTGGGAGACCACGGTAGAAGCGGAATGGAGCACCTCAACGAATCGGATGGCCTCGTTATAATATTTTCTGGTCAACTGTAGCCGTCCAAGCAATTCGGAAGTCGCTGCTTGTTCAGCAGCCTTTTTCACTGCAGCCACCTTCTCCTCGTCTGTCATGCGCGGTGCTTTGGATGGTGAGTCGTCAGGCAGTTGGGTGGCGTCATCCAATAATTCGCTGTCAACATGCGTCGCTTCGCCATCAAATCCGGGTGTTTCCGGCGGTCTCAGGGCATTGAGTTCGGCATCAACGGCATCCAGTCTGCCTGACCACTCGCTGAGTGAAAGTTGCCCACCATGCATAATGCTGAACGGATGGGTAGAGACCAGCTTTGAGAGTAGCTTGATGGCGTTACGTCGTACATTGCTGCTCTTGTCCTCCAAACTTCTTGCCGCCAGCTCTGAAACAGCCTGTCGCCTCTTTGGGAACTTCTGTTCAAGATCGCAAACCTTCATATACACTTGGATTGCTCGGCACCGGCAGTAAGGGTTGATATCCAGGAAGCGTTCCTCGAGGACGTCGAAAAAGGCATTAATTTGCGTCTTGTAGTTGTCACTTCGCTCTTCTTGCCGGCTGAGGTCAAAGATCAGATTTCCGCACACCTCGACGACTGCGCAACGGAGCGTGTATGACTAAAATGGCGAGAGATTAGTACAGAATTCTAAAGGTGCATGGAACGGGTGCGGTACCTCGCTGTCAAGCTGCTTTGCGAGCAGAGTCATTTGTTTGATAATGAGGCGTGGGGCAAGCTCAGAGAGCTTCACGATAAATGCAGACACCGACTTTGGACCGCGCGTATCGTTTGAATTGAATTCTTTGTTCCCGAGTTCCCTGTGATGGGTGAGTGATTGCTCGTCTAGCAAGGCAGTAATTCCGCACGTACTTGAGAATCTCATCTGAAAGCTGGGGGTAATCATATTGCTCCGCAAGGATGTGTAAAAACTCGGCCATTGGTTCGGAAAGATGCTCGAAGTATGTCAAACTTTGCACAATTGACGTCTGGGCTCCTATTTTGCAAGTTAGAATCATCCCAGCAATTCACGGCAGGTTGTAGTGTACCAAAAGCATGGCCATGATGTTTGACCGCAATACACAAGACCTTGAAAGCATGCATTCGGATGGTCATGTTCTTCACGCGCTGCTCGCTTTCGAGGATGAGATAAACGGAGCGGGTGAATAGGTTGATGAAGGTGTCGCGGTCTGACGTAGTCATGAATATCTTGCCTAGTTTGAGCTTCATTACCTTGCACATCGTCTCCATGGATATCTGGATCTGGGTTGTCCAGTCCCAATGACCATCCTTGGCCATCTTCGACCTGGATTTTCCGGCCCCGCGCCGAGCGGGGGCTGCCTCGGCGGGTTTCTCTGCTGCTTTGACTTCGACTGCTGAAAGGGCCCACTGCAGAAGGAACCCATACATTTCGAGCAGCTGCTTGTGTTGCTGAATGACATCTTGTTCATCGGACTCGAGATCGGTGTGAATGGTATCTGCTTCGACTGACAGCCCCGAGACGATCAGGTCGAGAAGCTTGCTTAGGGATTTCGTCGGAAGAAAGGAAGAGTATCTGCATAGATCAAAAAGTTCAGAATTGGGTCCACAAGCGTCGGCGACGCCGAAAGATTTGTTAGGGGCCAGGGCGCACTTGAGTAAAAATTGCATCGAGTCAAAGAAGGCCGGCCGCGCCAGTCCTTCGGGGCTCTCCGCGACCCCATCAACGATGGGATTTAACACATTATCAACCAGCGAGGCCGATATTTGATCGGGATCAGTTTCACAGTCCAGTAGCTCTGGGTCGGCTTCGGGGGTCGGGACAGAGGCAGGGTCACTCAAGTAATACTTGAGCGACTCATTGATATCGAATTGGGCCCTGTCCTCCATGGGGGGCAACTGCGAGGATGAAGCCTCGAACAAGGCGATCGTTGGCTAGTAGTGACGAAATCAAACCAGGAGGAATTCTCATCCGAGGAATCTTGGTGGTGATGAGAGGAGGGGGAGGGCAGTTATGTTGAATTGCGGAGGGGGTGGAGGTGGAAGAGCGGCGGGCGGATGAGTGGCCTGGGGCTTTGTTTGTGTTTTGCCATTTTCTTCCATTTATTATTGCTTGGACGGTTACCCAAGGTACCTCAAGACTGGTACGTGTATCCCACCAATAGTTCATGATACAATACATTCTAGATACCAGACACAGCCAGATCCCTTGTATTCTGCATGATTCTTATATATTGATATTATATATATATTGGATATGTCGACAATAGATTAGAAATATGTAAATATAGTCAAAAAGAGGTAGTAAGCAACAATGGTCGAATATACTGATTCGGTTTGTTTTGTATTTTCGTACCTACCTTACCTGTGTATCTTACTACTACCGCGTTCCTAACAGAGTCAACTGGTCAATCTGTGAGTGCCTGGTATTCGGTACCAATCAATGACTGGATGCGTAATAGATTACCAGATTCATTGTCAACTTTCAGTTTTCCAGATCGTTGGATTGCAATCTTCACAACTCTCACGCATCGCATAGACCTTTCTGTCTCCCACACCGTCTAATGTTCTAAATCATCTTCTAGGCCAAGCTGCGCACCGCATGAACGTCCTTTGAACCAATCGCTGAACCTGGACAGTCCAGTCACAACTCCTCGCGCGCATCTGATATAATGACTTCATTCGATATGACACTAGTAAAGCCTTTTGAGACAGAGCAACAAAACCCCGGATCTTTAGTACCAGAACACGCGTCGAGGTCGAGATATATCGAGGAAATCGGGGGGAGGGAGGAACTTTGTGACCAATACAGCGAAGAGAGTGGCAATGAGGAGAATAGCCAGGACGATGAGGACGTCGATGATTCCGTCAAGGAAGACATGAAGAAACTAGAAGATACATTCCCAGGAATCTCGGACCAATTTCGATTAGTGAACAGGATTGGGGAAGGTATTCGAACTCTCCCTCTCTAAACTCCTTCATCTGTCTTATCGTTCTTCTGCTAATTGGTAATTGGTTATCCATCTATAGGGACGTTCTCAACTGTTTACAAAGCCGAAGATCTTATGTATGACGTCTACAAGAACGACTGGGATATGTTTCAAAACAACCAGGACGACGTGCCGACAAGCCCACCGTCCAAGAAAAGGCGTGTAGAAGATCAGAATCACCACTCGTTACCAGATCGGCGGCGAAAACCTCGGTACGTCGCGTTGAAGAAGATCTATGTGACTAGCAGTCCAATCCGAATCCAGAATGAATTGGAACTGCTCCATGATCTCCGAGGGTGTCGTTCGGTATGCCCGTTGATCACAGCCTTCCGTCACCAAGATCAGGTTGTGGCTGTTTTGCCCTTCTTCCCTCACACCGACTTTCGCATACAATATCGTACCTTCATGGTCGCAGACATGCGGCATTACTTCCGCTCGTTATTTACCGCACTTCATTCAGTCCATAAGCACAACATTCTTCACCGAGATATCAAACCAACGTGAGATTAGAACGTCCCTGCTACCATACCAATCGACTAACTCCTTCGACAGTAATTTCCTGTATAACCCTGACCTGCGAGAAGGTGTGTTGGTCGACTTCGGCCTGGCTGAGGTTAGTTTCTTTCTCTTCCCTGTCATTGTTTCCTTGGCTTTTCCCTCTAGGACACCTATTGTCATTAGATAGTATCCGGTGTTAGCAGCTAATAGAAGACGGCAGCGTGAGGGTTCCGAATACACCGGCACATGTTTGTGTACCAATTCAAAGTTAGCCCGTCACGGGCGAGTGCTGCAAAGCTACCATTACGCCCATAACTCGACTGCTTCGCTTGCAACCGGCTACCCGAAGAATGATTCAAGGCCTTCGAGGCGCGCCAACCGAGCCGGAACTCGGGGTTTCCGTGCACCGGAGGTCCTGTTCAAATGCACCTCCCAAACCACCAAGATAGATATGTGGTCGTCCGGTGTCATCCTCCTGACACTACTTGGTCGTAGATTTCCCTTTTTCAATTCAGCGGATGACGTTGACGCCATGATTGAGATGGCCAGCATATTCGGGACACGCCGTATGAAAGCCGCATCAGCCATGCATGGTCAGATCTTTGAAACCAACATCCCAACGATTGGCGAAAAGGGGTACAGCTGGGAGAAGCTTGTCAAGTGGGCCAGTTGCGTAGAGGACCTAACGGAGAGTGAGAAACAGGCGACTCGTCTGCTCGCAGGTCTGATGGAACTGGACCCCTATCGACGACTGAGCGCGAAGGAGGCTCTGCAGCACGAGTTCTTCACCGATCCCATTGACCACGATGTGGAATGGGGCGGCAACCCGGATGATAGCGGAGATACGGGGGAAGACGATGGCGATAAAGAAGGCGAGGCAGATGAGGTGGCGATGGTTTAGCTTGATGCGATTAATGTATGACCATATGATCCAGTGTCAATTCAGATTGGTGCAATCATTCTTAATGAGCTTTACGCCAGGCAGTTCCACCGCAAGATACCGCTCTTATTGGCGCATACTGCTATCTAGACTCGCTTGACAGTTATTATTTTAGGCTTACGCTGGTGCACAGATGCTGCTAAGAACGTACACACGGGTATATATATATATATATATATGCATTTATAAGTATATCTTCAGATGTGCAACTCCCAGTCACAAAAGCATCCTAAAAGACGCAGAGTTGATCCGTGTTGGCCACTGATCTAACTAGCCTCCCCAAAATCGTAGTGCCCAGTTTGCGCTGCATGCTGCGTGGCACCTTTCTCTCCCGTGAAGACGCCCCCACACGTATTGCAACGTATTTGAAATCCCGCAGTGTCAGTATAGTAGTGTTTCTGCTGCAAGACCTCACAGAGCGCCAACGATCTGTCCAACACTATAGGATCCGCCGCATCGAACACTTTTGTATCAAACTCAGGCGGGGCATGCGAATGTGTGAATGGAGGATCCGACGGCGACAAGGCAATAGTATCATAATGGATCCCAGAATAGACGAGGATACAGCGAGTGGGAGGGCCCTCGTTAAAGCGGTCAACCCGCAAAGTCTGCACATCAATCGAGCAGATCTCGATGTCAAAGTGTTTGCTCAAAATGCTGAGTTCAATACCCCCGCCCCAAGAGTCCTCATTCTGTATCCAGCGGCAATAGTCCTCGGGTTTCCGCTCCAGCACTGCCTCGGAATAGAGATCCGGGTTCTCGTGGATCGTCTGCGCTATTACAGACCGCAGTTCGTTCATCGCGTCCATTCCTCCCATGATTGCGCTCCCCACGGCGCGGAATAGACATGAGTTGTCGTCGGGCATGATACGTAAGACAAATGTACCGGAGTGCTCGGGGGACGGCAGCTCCGGTGGATCGTCGGATGCATCTTTGGGTTTTTGCGACGGCGAAGGCTTGTCTAGTTGGGGCTGGTTGGTAGAAATAGGCTCGGGGTGGTCGTTCCCAGTGTCCTTTTTTGTGATTATGAGTTGTTCCCCGTTGAGGTTCAGGCCGGCTTCAGTGAGCTTCTGATCTGGCTGAAGCGTGTCCAGTGTTAATGGTCTGATTTCCGGGTACCCATATTTGACATCGAAGGCACCCAGGCCTGTCGTCTCTGCGATTTGGCTTCGAAGGTCGCCAACGGTTGCATCGTCATCGAGAGTTACAGTGGACTGTCCAGCAGGGCCACGGACTCGGACTCTCATTCTTGTTGCGGTTCTCAAGTGCCAGGAGGATGGAGTCTAAGGAAGGTAGAGTTGCTCTTCTCACACGAGGGCGTCAGGACATATATCGAGTGGAAAGGAGGAACTTCGAAGGTAGAAAGGGGACTGTCGCTACTACCAAGAACAGGCGCATGAGCTAGCGGGGAATGACCTGCGGGTGTGACGATTGACCCAGTGGGTTCATCTTCAATGTGGGGCAGGCGTGTTGCATCATTCTAGAGCAACAAAGAAGATATGATCTGAAGGACTATTGAGCTTGTCAATGCCTGTAACTGGAACTAGCGGATTTCTGGATCACTCAAGAGCAGGACTGATATAGTGACGATACTGCGTTTACTGATTGATACTGTATCTATTCAAGTCGACTTGAATTACCAGTAATCCCGTAGACAGGATGATGTATACTCCGTATAATACCTTTACCTTTCCCACGCATACCACAGTAACTATAAACTTACCATAGATTCTTGAGGTTTATTCTGTCCAAGCAGCAATACGTGGTGGCGTAACGGAATTTCGAAAGATCACCTGTGTATCGTACTGTAATATACATCGAAAGCGGTCAGGAACCAAACAGGGATGAGTCAGCATAGCTGCGATACTCTTCCGATCCCCAGGTGTTGTCCTGCTCCTGCCCTTCTCTCTCCTGCTGCTTATCCACGGCCGCGCGCTTGTGTTCATCTTCTACCTGTTCAAAAATCGTCCAGAATTGTCAAGAAAGCTCTGCGTTGTCGGCCAACCTTGGGGCTGGCGTCATACCTGTGAGCATGGAGAAGGCTCCCGAGCCGGCGCAAACCCAACCCACTGCTGAGGAGCCGGTCAAATCGATCGAGGATGATAATACTAGGGGTGATGGCGCGGCGCCTGCGAGTAGCGTCACCGAAGAACAATGGAGGTCGATGATGGATGTTACCCTGGCGATCTACGAGGTTAGGGAAGAAGAGTAAGCCTTTGTCCCTGGTGTCCCTCGTCCCAAGATCAATGCGACTTTGCTTTGTCCAGGCTAACCAACCGTACCTGTGCGCAGTGGACACGACCCATCGCGATTGTTCCATCGCAGCGTCAACAAGCGCAATGTCCCCGATTATTACGAGATCATCAAGGAACCCATGGCGCTGAGTATCTTGAAGGCCAAGATCAACAAACGCGAGTACAAACAGTTTTCCGAATTTGTGCGCGACTGTGCTTTGGTATCTATTTACCCTTCTTGTCCCTTCCAATCATCATGATTTGCAATGGGCTTGAATCTGACTCTGTCGCTCAGATTCCTCATAACGCGCAAACGTATAACCGTCCGAAGTCCCAGGCGTATGAAGACGCGCTCGTAATCAAGGTTCGTCCAATAGCCGTGGAGCCTAAACTTACCTTTTTGGTCTACTAGCTTGCTAATGAGTCCCTTATAGGAAGTGTTCGCTGCGGAGTTCCAAATACTAAAGAACAAGGGGATTATCACGGCCGAGGAAGCCGAGCTCCCGGACCTCGGGGAGATTCCTGAAGCGGACCCGCTCCCCGAAGAAGAGGGGGAGGAAGAGGACGAAGACGAAGAGGACGAAGAGGATGAAGACGACTCCGATGACGATGGCCGACGGAAGAAGAAACGCGGTCCTCGCCCCGGGCCCAAGCCGCATGGTGCAAAGGAAGATAGCCACAAGTCGCATGATCCGGAGCTGAGAAAGAAACGAGGCCGACCACCACGTGTCGACACCCCTATGGAGGCTAGGATAAAAGCAATCCTGAAAGGGATCAGAAAGCTGAAAGGGCCAAACAGCCAGCTGAAAGTACGGCACTTCGAGCGCTTGCCGGACAAGGCCACCTACCCGGATTACTATGTGGAAATCAAAGAGCCCATCGCGATCGACATCATCAAGAGGAAATCAAAGCGGAAGAAGTACAACTCGGTGGATCATTTTATGAGGGATATGGACTTGATGTTCAATAACGCCAAGGCCTATAACCAGCCGGACAGCCAGATCTACAGAGACGCCGTTGATCTGCAGGCGGAGGCACGGAAACTTGCTGAGCACGAGAAGAAGAAACCGGACAGCGAATACCTGATGGAAGATGGACGGTTGCCTCTGCCGGACGGCATACTCCACAAAGGTGAGATGTGGAAGGTGGGTGATTGGGTCCATATTCAAAATCCCAACGATGTGACAAAACCGATCGTGGCGCAAATCTATCGAACATGGCAGGACGCCGCGGGCGAGAAATGGATAAACGCCTGTTGGTACTATCGGCCGGAGCAGACTGTTCATCACTTCGAAAAACACTTCTATCCTAACGAGGTGGTTAAGACCGGCCAGTACCGAGACCACCGCGTGGACGAGATTGTTGACCGGTGCTTCGTGATGTTTTTTACCCGCTACAATCGTGGGCGGCCTAGAGGTCTCCCGCTCGATAAGGATGTTTACGTCTGCGAAGCCCGGTACAACGAAGAGAAACACAAGTTGAACAAAATCAAGACCTGGGCAAGTTGCCTGCCGGACGAGGTGCGAGAAAAGGACTATGAGATGGATCTGTTCGACGTCCCAAGGCGGATCAAGAAGATTCCCAGCCCGATTAAACACCTGCTTAAGGACGACGCGAAAGAGACAGATGATCTCCCGAAACCGACCTGGGGCGCGGATAATGCACCGCCCATTGTCGGCGCAGTTCACCGACGTCCACGCGATGAAAATGTGAGTTCTCTCCATATCTCATGTCTCATATACAGAACTTTGCCATTAACGAGGCTGTTTTCCAGGAATCCCCACCTCCGGAACCAACTCCGACACCGCCGCCGTCATTGCCGCAGTCGAGTATGCCTTCCGTCCCTCGACAAACTCCCATGAACCATATATCCGCGCGGCCAATCGTCAATGGCCAGGGTCATACCCCTGCGGCAGGTGCTACCCCTGTCCCGACACGCTCCCCAGCTGCTCCGATTGCACCTGTTCACGGCTCTCCCGTGCCGGTACCTCCAGTCAATTACCAGCAGCCGCAGGTTCCTCCGGCGCAAGCCTATCAGCCCGTATTACAGAGGCGACCCAGCGGACTCATGCCACAAACCCCACACGTCGCCTCCTGGCAAGCATCACCGGTCCCTCCTAGTTATGCGGCTGCGCAGCCTTCGCCGTACACACCGTATCAGACGAGTCGTTTGCCAGTAGCACCAGGTGCAGTCTACAACTCAAACGGCCCTCGTCCGACCGAGGTCTTCCACTTGAGCGATGCTGCAAACGAGGCCATACCCGCCGACATTCGTGAGAAGTTCCACTGCGATGACCAAGGCCGCGTCCTTTTCTTTTCCTCTCCGCCTCTTGATATCGTACCATCCGTGCAGCCGAAGCTCGGCCATTCTCTCAAGTATCTCGCAGCGAAAGAAGAGCGACGGAAGCTCGTTGAGTCCAGAAAGCGAAAAGAAAACGACGAAGAACAAGAGCGCGCAGAGAATGCGAAGCGCCAGCGTGCAGACGACGAAACGGCCCTTACTTCTCGGGTAGAAGCACTAACAGTCAAGGCCATGGAGGCAATGACAGAGAACATCGTGTCAGGAACGGACGCGATCTACGAGATGCTGTACGGGGGTCAAGCAGGCCAGGCTCGACATACTGATGCCGAGGTGCACAGCCGAAGAGTCTCTGCCGATCAGATCTCCCACGACAAGACGGCGCAGATCCAAGCCCACTCCAAGGATACGAGTCTCACTAGCCTCAAAGCCCGTGCCATATACATGGACGAGGTCAACCGGGGGGGTTAGATAGAAGTCAATGGAGCATCACACTCTTGATAACGACTGCACGATGTTGCAGTGGAGGTGTGCTCATCATCCCCATGCAACGGATGGGAGTATGATAACCATCAATGACTATTTATCTATCTCCCTTTCCCTATTCTACTTCATTTTGATTGTATGCACTTCGTGTATCAGAACCAGGACAGGAGTCTTCAGAAGGCGAAGGCTCGATTGATTGAATTTTTTCCTGTAAATTATAGCTAGCAGCATCGCAGAGTTGATTTAATCAATGGGACGTTTCAACACTATAACTGTCTACTTTTTACTTTTGTAGAGAACAGACAGCCGAAGTAGAGCAAAGAGAATCTACCCAGCAGCATATTAAGCGTGCAAAGGGAACATCTGAACGTGACGTAGGTATGTACTATGTATGTATGTATATATTGTCCAATCATGTATCTCAACCTGGAAACCTTGCACAGATCATGAGCACAATGGAAGAGAAAACAGTTTGAGATGAGATGAGATGAGAGGGTAAAGTTCAGAGACAAAGATAAAAGGTAGATAGATACAAAAGTATTCAAAATGTCCCAAAAAAAAATATAGGTCAATCAATAGAAAAATCGATATTGAAAAGAAGCATTGAATTCAAAAAACCAAAAGGATCAAAGATAAGATTGAGAAAAAAAAAAAAAAAGAATAGAGAAAAAGCTGTGATATGTTTGTTCCCACATTTTGAAAAACCCCGCTTGTCCTTGCGAATTAAACCAAAAGTTTGTCTAATGGATGATTGATTGATGGATTAGATGCAAGATAGATAGATAAAATAGATAGATAGAAGGAGTAGCTAGCCTTCTCGGATCGATCACCGGGTTCAACAGTTCTATACAAAAGTATCTCCCTTGCTTAGGGATGGATAGTGGACGCCGGTTTTTGGTAAGTTCCGATGGATAGATAGGTGAAGGAGTCATGACAGACCGACGTCCACGAGGATTTGTTTCGTCACCCGAAGGATCGATTTGCTTCGTATGAACCCCGTATTTTGCTTTTTCTCATTTTGTGCCACCTTTGATTCGGCCTAGGTGTCAATATAATAGACGAGACCGGCCATAAAGATCGTCAAGGTGGATATCGCACTCCCCCACGGCTCAATAGTGGGGGAGGGATTTTATCATGTCTGAAAGGCCGCGTTGCCGGTTGGCGTCGAATCCTCGTCATTGGAGTCCGTCTTGTTGGTATCCCACGAAGAGCTGTTCCGCTTATTATTCTCTTCTTCCTCCATGGAAAAGACCAGGTCACTTTGTTCCTCGTCGATCTTGCTCGTGCTGACCGGCGACGAGACGGTCCGGTCTAGGCGGCTGCTGGGGCCGGCGGAGGACGAGTGGCGGGCCGTCCCGGGGTGTAAGGACATGCCGCTCAGTTGCTGTGATATCATCGACGTGGACGGTTGAAGGGAGGAAGAGGAACCCGTCACGTACGGCGATACGTCGCCTGAAAATTGGCGGCTCCCGATGGGGCCTAAACTAGGGCTGGTGCCCATGTGCAAGGAGGATTCACGCAGAGGCGAACCCACGTGCGGGAAAGATGTACCAGTACCGTGGGAATCTTCCTCCTTTTTCTGTCGTTGTTTGGCGAACAGGGCCCCGAAGCGCGACGGACTGGATCCCAGTGGGGAGCCAACCTTCGAGAGACTGGTGCTGGTCATTCCGAGACCACTGAGATCGCGGTGAGTTGAGCCCAGGTCGTGGTCCGTGCGCGACAGGCGACGAAGCCGCTCCTGGGGCGTCAGGACGTCATCATGTAGGTTCATCGGTAGATAGTCTTCCTCCATGGGGAAATTGCTGTCCTCCCAATCGTCCAAGGCGGTGGGTCGCGGTACACTGGCTGACAGCATCCGTGGCTTCACCGGCCGCTGCGAATGTAGGAACCGCGGGCCTTGTCCATCTTCAGTGATTCCAGGGGGTGAGGATCCCATCATCGAAGAATATTTCCTCGAATCGGGCCCGTAGACCGTATCGCGGAGGTTTCGAAGCGCATCCGAGGGGACGCCCACTCTCTGAGCGGGGGGCGACAGTTCCAGTCCAAACTTGGAGGGCATAGAGGCGGCCACGGGACCGTAACGAGCCGCGTGCGAAATTCCTTGGCTGTCAAACGACGCAGGTAGCGGGGCATCGAGGGCCGTGAGGTGATGGTGGCTGGGGGACATGGGGAAGCGCATGTCATCCGGAGGCGAGCCGTACTTCGACCCAGCGTCCGAAGCTAAACCAGCATCAATCGTGGGGATGGGGTCGTACGATGGGGGCGGCGGTTGTTGTTGTTGTTGTTGCTGTTGCTGTTGCTGCTGCTGTTGTTGCTGCTGCGCATGTAAGACTGCAAGCTCATCCTGAGGCGGCACTTGACCAGCATATCGGGCATCGTGTCCGTTCATCCGCTGTTGCGACAGCACCGAGTTCGTCAAGGCTGAATCTTGGTTGACATAGGCCTGGGGATTGACCCGGCCTCCCAGGTTCAGATGGCTTCCCCCCATGGTCATACTGGGGCGATTGACCCGTCGCCCGTCTGGAAGAATATGCGCCAGCGCACATTTGGCACCGAATTTGCAATTACCCTAGATCAATAGAAAGCACGGTGGTTAGATCATCCTGGCAAATCCAGTCAAAGGGCCAACGCAGAAGTAGGGGATCACTACTGGTGGTTGAAATTCGACATAAGTGCGATCCATACCTTTGTGAAATACTTGCAAGGAGCATAATCGATCGCAGAATCGGTGGAATGTAAAAAGGGACAGGCAGGACCGGCCTGACAGGCACCCTGTCGGAAGAATTTGCAGGGAACATGCTTGGTATCTGGATCGGTGACAACCGTGAGATCAGCCCTCTATCATTGGAGACCGACTAGAACACCGCGCACGAGCGATCCAAGAAGGAGAGCCATCCGCTTGAGTGGCCATAATCAAGGAAGAAGAATCTCTTACTGCTTTGATTAGGGGGACTTCGGGCAGTCATATCGAAGCCTGAGACATTGCGGGAATGACCGTTCTGTAGAGGCTGCTGGGTGCCGGACGGGACCGGGAGAGGAGCGCGACCTTTCATGTCACCCGAGAGACGATTTGGAGGACGAGAGGGATGAGAGGGAGGAGGTTGAGGAGAGGCGGGGGATTCTGAGAGGCGGATAACTGCATGGCCACGGGGAGGGAGGGAGAGGAGGCTGATGCAGGTTGGGAAGAGTACAAAATCGATCGGGGAGTTTGGGGAGTTTGGGAGGGGTTTATCGCACGGGGGGCGATTTGCTCGGGAGGGGAAAATAGGTCGAATCGGGGGTTGTGATTGGCGGAGGGACTGGGCGGTGAGAGGTGGAGAACTATCACTGAGGCTGCCACTTATACTGAACTGACAATCAACACATCAACAGATGTATGAGACAGGAAGAAGTCAGAGTGGATCTAGATCCTGACACTCTCATGCGGAAAGTATTCACCCTGGAGATGAGGAGAAGAGTATGGAATCGTGCTTACCAAGAGCCTTGATCCTAGGTGTTCGGACATCCAGCGTACCTACAACCAGCCCTGCTTCATATCATAAGATGATGTGATCCTGACAGATTTGGTCTCATCTGAAAGACGTTGGAATAAGAAAGAGAATAGTATTGAAATAAAACAAAGGTAGTCAAGCATACCACAGTTCAAAACCCCTCTCGTTCCACCCTGTCCATCAATCAACTAACCCTGGTCCATGAGCTTACAATGCTGGTGATGAAACGAAGGCATGACTCTCAATAAACCTCACAAAAACAAGTTAAAAGCAAGAGACACATGACCGACACACAGACAAGACAACAATTGAGTACCTCCGGAGAAAGACCTCCCCCAGGGTATGGCGTCATACCATACAATCACCTGGCTCATGACTCCGTCGCATGGACGCCCACCTCCTTGCGGGATGATAATCTTATTCTAGGCTCATCTGATGATCAGTCCGCATCGTAGCTCTCCTCAGCTTTCTCCTTCCCCTCTTCTCAAACTGGCAAATCACAGGGTCTCGGGGCCTGTTTTCGGGCGGGGGAGGTTGCCGATCACCCCATCCTTCCCCACAGTTTTCCTGCCGAATGTTCTTTCAATTTTGACTATGTAGACATCAGCTGAGATCATGTAGACATCAGCTTTGGACATGGGAACATCTGACTATACCAGACAGACATTTGACTATTATTATATCATGACGGGGTAGCTGGTCATCGGGAGCACAGCACCTGGTAATCATTCGAACGGGGACCCTTCCATCCCCAAGGAATCCTAGCCATAGTCGTCAGTACAAGCCCAACAGCCAGCCATTTATCAACGGGTTGATAACACATACCCAAAGTTCCCCCCGACTCATATCCCCCGGCAACACCTCAGTGCAGCTATCCCACAGAGCCCGACATATCCTCCTCCGGACAGCAACACAGTCCTTCCAACGCTTCCACTCTAAATCAAGACCGACACTACTCTCACCATCACAAGAACCATCTTTCAGCGGGTTACTCTCCCGAACACGAGCAAGCTGCGCCGTAATCGACGCGACTTCTTCCCGAAGTTTCTCAATATCATAGCGCAGCTCCGAAAGCAAGGGCTTTGCACAGCACGCGGTCAACTCCGCGCGTGTCTTCCGCTCGCTGACCTTGAGTTTGTCGATTTGCTCTTGGAGTTGCGTCGCTGTTGATTCTTCTGCTGCGATGGTTTCTGGCGTACTGTTTGGTGCTAATTGTAAGGCGTGGTAGACGATTTGTTTCCCTTTATATATGAGCTCTGCTCTTGGTTTTGGACAAGGGATAATAACCTGCGACGCGGCTTTCGATCTGCTTGTTCTTGTGGAGCTCGCGCAAGGCTTTCACGGCGTGTGCTGTGTAGTGTTAGTCGATGGAGAGGGGTGGGGTTTTGGAGGATAATTGGATAAGGTGATAGATACCCTTAGTGACTTTGTTATGTAGGTTCGTAGAGACATCAGCTGCCTAGATAGGATTGTCAGAATATATGCTAGCTTTTATCATTTCGGTAGATATATGGAAATTCACCGAATAGGGACGACTATAGTGGGAACACATCAACATGCATACCCCTGAACACGCATTGTATAGCAGTAGGGAGTACAAGAAGTCATACCCTTGCTTTTCTAGAAGCGAGTCAGCCGTGTGCAGCATGTCCCATACGATGCCAGCCAAGTAACTGCATAGGTGTAATCCAGGATGGATAAGAAGACACTTACGAAGGTACTCCAGAACCAGCGCAGTTCCATCATCAACTACTATAATAATTAACGGTAAAGGCTCTTGCAACCAGACTGACAACAGTTCGCTCACCATGGCTACTCGAGTCTTCATCTTTCTTGTTTCGTTTCGACATCTTGATACCGGTCTTACTAGACAGTTTGAACACACTAGGGTTGGGGAATGGGGGGCGCAAAGAAGAGAGGGAACAGGTTCTCGCGCGTCGTTTCTAGGTCTACTTCAGACAGATGTAGTCCATCCAGTTCCTGGCATGATCACGTGGCAGACGGTCACCTCCAACCTGAGGCTGAGATTATTTGCTGGAAAAGCGCAATACACAGATACATATATACAGCCAAAACAGGAACAGAAAAAAAGGCAGATGCTGATGAAGAAGAAGCCCGCAATTGAAATGTATTTGCCAACGTCCACTACCCTCTAGTTACCCACCTACCTAGTCCATGAAATACACGTCATCAAAGCAAAAAAGAAAAAGACAGGATACCCTCAAGATTTCTGAAACATAAAGCAATCGAGCGATGATAATAAAAGATGCGAAACGAACCGGGTATCACATGACGATCTAGAAGCAAGGTTAGTTGTGGGATGAAAACGACAAACGGAAGCAGCAGTGGAACATACGCAATCACCGTCTTTTTGAGCACTGGGGACTCCCATCTCCTCAAAAGTCTTGGGGCCCTTTCCTGGTAGGCTACCCTGCGATTTGGATGGCTGGGCGGGCGGTCGTTGGCTGGCCGAGGTCGCTGAGGACGGCGGTTTCGGCGTGGAGGAGGAACTCGGGGGCCGGGAATCGGCCCGGCCCGGGAACGATGCGCTCGAAGGCGAGGCAAGTGGTCGCGGGGATCCCACCGGACCACCTTGGGCGTGAGGAGACATCGGGGTCCGCACGGGCCGCCGATCCGGGGGCATATCCGTACGCTGGGGACGCCTCCGCATGTCACCGGCCTGGGGCTCCATCGGTGCGGAGTAGCCAACGTCGAGTTTGGGGCCGGCGGACACGGGGGTCATCGACGGGGTGCCCGGGGGCGGAGACCGGTATCCCATCGGCCCCGGTCCGTATGACGCGGCGCGGTTGTAGCCAGGGGCGTTCGATCGAATGTTGGGGTTGATACCAAAGGCAGAGCTGGGTCGGGGATCCGGCGCCCCGTAGCCCGGTGGATAGACGGGGCGGGCACGCGATGCCGGTCGATCGGGATATGGCGCAGACGCGGGGGGGTTGTTCTCCGCAATACTCATCCGGGACGGGTCGGGCATTTCGAGGTTCTCGGTGTTCGACCTGAGGTTGGGACGTTGAGATCCATAGCGGGACTTGATGCGCGCGATGGCCACCTGTTCATGGTCCTTGCGGGATAAAGTCTTGGAGCGAGAGATACTATCGATGCGGCCCGTGGCGTCCTTGTTCCCGCTGGCTGCGGCTTTGGCGTACCAGCTTCTGGCCTCTTTGATGTCCGACGGCACGAAGATGCCAACCTCGTAGAAGTACCCCAGGGCGAATTCGGCGGTCGGGAACCCACTCTGAGCCGCGCGCTGGGCATAGATAAACGCCATCTCGTCGTTCTTTTCGAAGACGCCTTCATGGCCGCAGAGGAACCACTTGCTGATGGCCATCTCCGCTTCCGGTTCGCCCTGACGCGCAGCCAACGCGTTGTAGTGCAAGGACAGCGCCGGGTTGAAGTCGCACCCCAGCTGGCACAGTTCGTAGGCGGCACCGATCTTCACCTGGGCTTTGGCAAATCCATGGAAGGCGGCCTTTTCGATATTGACACGGGAGGCGTTGAGATCGAGCGGGAGGAAGGCCTCCGGAACGTTCACCTGGGGAAGTTCCCGGGCCAGGAGCATCCCGTAAACCTGTTGCCATTGCCATGGTTAGACCGCCGGGCTCGGAATTGCGCGGGATGGTTCCAACTTACGTAGGCACCCTGGGGCGCATTCTCGTCGCAGGACTGTGCTGCAAGGCTGATGTACTCCAGACCCGTCTGGAAATCCTGGCGTTGGCCATGCTGGCCGAGGAGGATCATCATTCCCAGGCGCTGCCAACCATGTCAGTCGGGGAGGGAGACAGATTAGCGTACATGGGAGAGGGGCATACGTAGAACGAGGCGGAGTCTGCAAGGGCGACGCCCTTCTGGTAGTGTCTGATGGCCTTCTCTGGCTCTCCCGAACTCTCGAATTGCATCCCAATCCGGTATTCCGCGCGCGCGTAGCCTTTCTCCGCGGCTCTCATGTACGAACGGAAGGCTTCCTTCTTGTCAATGCGACAGTTGAATTTACCGAATTCCAGCCACATGCCCTTGATGAACTCGGCCTTGGGATGAGACTGATCGGCCAGGAAACTGACGATATTCATGGCGTCGACCTTCAACTGGCGCTCGACCGGCGGGGTCTGCGGGCGCGGGGGTTGGATCAACGACAGTCGAGTCTCATTCTGCATGGCGACCTCGACGTAAGCCAGCGCATCCTGGGCCCAGGCCAACTGCATCTCCGGGTCATTGGACGACAAGACGGTCATGCGCACGCGCTCCAGGTTCGCTTCTCGCTGCTCATCGGTCGGGGGGACATTCGGGGGCGGGTTGCGCAGAGCGGGAAAGGCCGAAAAGTTGGGGGGATCCATGGTGTCATAGACGGCGGCTTGTTCGTAGTGGGAGGCAGCTTCGTAACCCGACGAGGGGATGGGCTGACCTTGAACGACGGCGGCGGAAGAGGATCGTTCAGGGAAACCCGAGCGGTCATATTGGACGGGAAATTGTTGTTGAGATCGATAGGGGTTTCGAGCCTCATGCTCGAGGTGTGCAATATTATCCTGCATATTCTCCGGAACTTCGGGCATCACTCTGCAGGGGGGAAAAGCGATGATAAATTTAGGATTAGCAACCCATCCACAGTGTCACGCCAGATAGTGCTTTTGTTATTGTATTTTGCTTTTTTGTACTGGTTTGTTTTTTTTTTTCTTTCTGCCGACTTGTCTTTCTTCTCTCATACCCAATTTGGGGGGATTCTCCTCTTCTTTGTTCTGAACGATATGTCTTTTTGAGGGAGAGAGTGGGGGTGTGGTTGGAGGGGAGGGGGGAGGAGATGGTGTTGTGTAAGGGTAGCTGGGGCTGAGCAACGAAAGATGGATATCAGGTCATACCTTTGAGGGGAAGGAGAGATGACCTCTGGCATGTAAAAGTCATCCTGACCCCCTGGATACCTGGTTGCACCTAGTCGTGGCTGACCGCGACCTTGCGGGGGTCGATTCATCATTTTCAGCGATGCAGCAGTTCCCGACTAGTTGCTGAACTGTTTTCTTCGTTCCTCTTTTTTCTTCTTGATTTGGTATGTATGTTGGTACCCCTCGTTTGGTTTGTTGTCTTGTGTTTTGTTTGAAAGCCCGGTCGGGTTTGGCTTAGCTTGTAATAATAATAATAATAATAATCAAGAAGTCAGACAGAACCAGAGCTAGAGACAGAAGAAAAGAGAAAACGCGCCGCGGGGAGATTAGGAGTCAAGTTGGCCTGAGGTGGACGGATAAGGCGTGCAGGCAGCTGCGTCATTCTTGTATTGACTTTACAGATACTTGACCATGTTTTACCTATACTTTACACTATAGTCAGTGATTGTTATATACTTTCACTTTACTTATCGATCTTTCTTGTTTCCTTTCTTTCCTTACTTACTGTTTTACTTTCTCGCCCTGTCAAGAAATAAAGAAACCTAGAAAGCCATCTTTCCTAAAACATGGTTCATGCTGGAGGGGTAAGCAGTCAATACAGTGTGTAACTCTTCTTAGCCAGGTTACCAACCTCATACCGGAAAGTTTCAGGCAACTCCATACTACTTCCCACTATCCTCTCACTAGTTCTGCCCAGACAAAAAGGCCACTTTTAACAACGCAGAGTTCAAAAGGGATGATGGTCCACCGATCTACCATGATTATTGAACGCATCATACTTATCATTAATGATGTGGAAGTTCAATGATCGATTCCGGTGGATATACCCGGACTGATACCACCTAGTCCGTTCTATAGGCTATAGTCGGATATCGCTCTTCAGGTGTTACGATGTAGGTGTCTCGGTGGAAACAGGTTCCCAGAATCATTCGTTATCAAGAACGCGGACTGAATGCCAAGAATGCTACTAGTGAGTAGCTTTCTTCTTCCAGGCCATTTGGCATCCTGTCATGCAATGGCTCCATCCAGGAATGATCCATTCTAGCAGCATTCCAGGATCATTCCAGGATCATTCCAGGATCATTCCAGGACCATTCCAGGACCATTCCATGCGACATTCCATGCAATATTCCATCGTAGGCTCTCAATCTATCATTTTCTATCTTTCTAAAACGTCTGGATTATTATGATACTATATCATCATGCTGAGTTGTAGTATAAATTATGGATAAATCGATATCTACTTTGTATAAACAAAATATAAAACGTATCTTCTAAACAAGCTCAGTGCTGGTTACCAGAAGAGATACTGCATAATCCGAGAATGAATTGGCAAACAGGATCAGACAGAACAATCAGGTGGACGCCTCAAGAATGTGGCACCTCTTTGCTTTGTCTGCCTGAGGCTGGACACTCCACCCCATGTGGGTCTCAATCTCCAATTCACCGTTGCGTGCAAACCCAATCAATCATAGCCCGATGCTCAACTTGATACATTGTCTACTCTTGACCTGGTTATTGCCATACTTCCATTTCTTTGGATTGCCTAGACTCAAGACCCACAAGCTGGACATCGCAACTCCAAAATTTAGCCCACCCAATTGACATGGCGTCGCGCTGAGGATGCACTTCGCCCCATTGTTCTGCAATCGACTAGTTGGTTCCATTTCGACAGGCTGAACAGAAATTCGCCAATTACTCCGAAGTACGGAGTACATCTTGCAGACATGGAACTGCAGGGGGAGGATTTCCACCATCCGTATACGCCGTATGACATCCAGCTGGAGTTTATGCGCTCTCTCTATTCCTGTCTGGAGGATGACAAAGTAGCTATATTTGAATCCCCTACTGGTGAGTCAATCCGGTGGTAGCAATCTTATTATGCCTGCATAATCTAATATCGGCTTAGGCACGGTGAGTAATGATTATATGTTTGGATGACTTTTGAATCAAAAGGCCATATAGAGAATAGGCCAGGTGCACGTGCTAAACTCAATGATAGGGCAAGTCACTGAGTTTGATATGCGGTGCTTTGACCTGGCTCCGAGATCACAAACGCAGAGAATACCAGGAAAATCTATCAAATACAAAATGTAAATTATCCAGATATCCGGTAGGCTCCTGAACTTAGACCATAATTCTGACCCCTACCTCCCAGGCGACGACAACGAACCCGAGTGGATGGTGGAATATGCGAAGCGCGAGTCGGGCCGTGCCATTACGGAAAAGATCAAAGAGCTGGAATCCAGATTAGCAAAGACAAAGCAGGAGGAGGAGCGGCAGAAAGCCGCACTGGAGAATCCTGAAGGACCGCGGAAGAAGCAGGTATGTGAACGTCTGGTATTCCCCAAGCTCAGATCCATTTCTAAGACAGGTCGGGAACAGAAAACTGCCGCGCAGTCCACTGGATCTGACGACAGGTCGAGTGACGATGAGTTTGCTCTGGATGATTACGACAGTGAAGGCGAAGAGCGAAGTACTACAGGCAAGGGTTCGGAATCCGACCCCTTCAGTGGGCTCTCTTCCAGCACTTTAGAACTATTGGAGCGTTTCAAGGGAAAATACCCAACGGTATCCAACGATGAGGAGGAGGAGGACGGAGTACGGATCTTCTATTGCTCGAGGACACACTCTCAGTTGACACAATTTGCAAATGAATTGCGCCGTGTCTCTATACCCTCGAGTCTCCCGGAGGAGCTAAGTACTAATGCCACAACCGGTGAAGCCATCGAGGAACGCATCAAACATCTTTCCCTTGGGTCACGGAAAAATCTGTGCATAAACCCCCGAGTCCAGGCTTTGGAGAACCCAACGGCGATCAATGAGCGGTGCATGGAGCTGCAGAAACCCGGAGCTGCGTCTCAACACAAGTGTGCTTTCTTGCCGTCAAAGGAGACTGAATCACAGGTCGTCCACTTTCGCGACCATGCCCTCGCAACAGTCAAAGACATCGAGGACTTGGGTAAACTTGGAAAGAAAATAGGGATATGCCCTTACTATGCTTCCCGTTCGGTCATCAACCACAGCGAGGTAAGCTCCTCTATACATTTGACATATATCTATTTCAACTACTAACAGCAGAAGATCATAACTCTTCCATATCCGTTGCTTTTGCAACGATCTGCCAGGGAAGCGCTCAAACTTTCGGTAAAGGGGCACGTTGTCATCATCGATGAAGCCCATAACCTCATGGACGCCATCTCCAGTATTCATTCAGTGACTGTCACGCTCTCCCAGCTACAGAGGTCTATCTTCCAATTGACGACTTACGCCAAGAAGTTCAAACTTCGTCTGAAAGGAAAAAACCGAAGCTACATTGCTCAGGTTATCCGACTGATCAATTCAATTGCTGACCATCTTCGGTCCATTCTGGGAAGTAAGCAGCCACCAGAAGGATCAGTCCGGGCCTCAGATCTTATGGCAGGCAAAGGTGCCGACCAAATCAACCCGTACAAGTTGAGCCGGTACTTGCAAGAAAGCAAGCTGGCCAGGAAAGTCGACGGGTATGTCGAACACACGGAGAAAACGGCAGCCACTCAAGCGAATTCCAAACCGACAACCCCCGTTCTGTTTCACATACAGAGTTTCCTGCTGCCGCTCATGAATCCTACCGAGGAAGGGCGACTGTTTTATAATAAAAACCAGGGAGACATCCAATTGACATATATGCTCCTGGATCCGACCAACCATTTCCGTGAGATCGTTGATGATGCTAAAGCTGTTATCTTGGCTGGTGGAACAATGTCTCCGGTATGAATATACACGAAGCCCCATATATCGAATGTAGCTTACACGCCCTGTCTACAGATGACCGATTACATGCATCATCTATTTTCCTACGTGCCATCAGATCGACTCGGAACTTTCAGCTACGGCCATGTTATCCCATCAGAGAACCTGATCGTCCATCCCCTGGCTAAGGGTGTTCTTGGAACCCAACTCGACTTTACCTACGAAGCCCGCAATTCTGAGAGGCTGGTGAGAATCCCCTTGCACCGTGAGATGTATACCGCCGTCCAATGCTTATGCTTATGATTCGTGTAGATCGTCGACCTAGGGCGAACAATAGCGTCGCTGTGCCAAGCCATCCCGGATGGTGTTGTTGCTTTCTTCCCTAGCTATGAGTACCTCAATCGCGTACTGAGCGTCTGGAAAAAGGCCACTCCAGGCCAAAGCAAGACCGTGTATGACATCATCGAGAGGCAGAAGCCCATCTTATACGAGGGCCGAGAGACGACCGTCTCAACGGAGGAACTCCTCCAGGAATATGCAACGGCCATTGATACAGGCCGCGGTGCCTTGCTCCTGTCCGTAGTTGGCGGGAAACTATCCGAAGGCATCAACTTCTCCGACAAGCTGGGACGGGGTGTTCTGATCATCGGGCAGCCCTTTCCCAATATCCGCAGTGCCGTGTGGCAGGCCAAAATCAAGCACGTTGAGCAAAAGGCCTACAAGCAGAGTGCGGGTTCAGAGGCCACCCGGCAGTCTACAGCTAAGAGCGCAGGGAGGGAGTTTTATGAGAATTCCTGCATGCGAGCGGTGAACCAATGTATTGGCCGGGCGATACGGCATCGCAATGACTATGCTTCTATTGTTCTGATTGATCAACGGTACGAGAAACCCAGTATACAGGGCAAGCTGCCCGCATGGATTCAGCAGAGCATACGACCAGCGGGGAACATAGTCGGGAATATCTCCAGGTTTTTTGGTTCCCGCAGTAAATAGTTGGACTTAGAGACATAAACAGGCACTTAATAATTCTCTTAAAAGCATGTTTTATAACGATGAGATAGAATGATAGATAGTACCGGATAAATAGAGTTCACCGAATGAATAGAGTACCACGGAGTAGGTACAGAGTGGATGGGGCGTCAGGATCCACCTGGCACATCACCTGACATCACGTGGCTGGAAGGAAGGGGTTGCGCCCTAATTTAGGGCAAGGGCTTAGCGCACAGTCTAGCCGCCCGCGAGCCTTGAATTCACCATCCGAGCCAGCCAATCCACCCGATCGCATCCCTTAATCGACAAACACTCACACCGGTCTTGTCGAGCCCAGCACCGTCGACAAGATGCCTACCCGATTCTCGAAGACCCGCAAAGCGTGAGTCGAATATCCTCTCCATTTCCCAAATCCCAGAATGTCGTCCTTGCAGTCGAGCGAACGAACGGCCATGGTTGGAGGCCGTACGGACGGGGGGACCGCGAACGACGTTGATTGATCGCACATCCGCTTTCGAAAAACCGATCGTGTGCTTTGCAGAAAAATTTTTATGATATGATGGAAACTAACGTCTGTTCTTGCTCTCAGTCGCGGTCATGTGTCCGCCGGTTACGGTCGCATTGGCAAGCACCGTAAGCATCCCGGTGGTCGTGGTATGGCCGGTGGTCAGCACCACCACCGTACCAACCTTGACAAGTACCATCCCGGTTACTTCGGTAAGGTCGGTATGAGATACTTCCACAAGACCAACCAGCAGTTCTGGAAGCCCGTCATCAACCTGGACAAGGTACGTTTATTTTCTCGAGAATAGCACATTCGATATCTACCGATGGGCCAAGGAAAGTGGGCTGGCCTCTGGTGAAATGGCAAATGGGGATCAGCAGCAATGCAGATGGAAGAGATGGGCTCATCGGAAGAATCGATACGGTGGATAAGAAATTTTTTTACTAATGAATGCGATAACAGCTGTGGTCTCTCGTCCCCGCCGAGCAGCGTGATGCCTACATGAGCGGCCAGAAGACCGACACCGCCCCCGTCATCGACGTCCTGCCCCTCGGCTACTCCAAGGTTCTGGGCAAGGGCCGCATCCCCGAGATCCCGATCGTCGTCCGTGCCCGCTACTTCAGCGAAGATGCTGAGCGGAAGATCAAGGCCGCCGGTGGTGTTGTCGAGCTTGTCGCTTAAATCTGGGAAATGGATTACGGTGTTTTGCTGGAGAAGGGTTTAAAAGATAAAATTAAGGGCCCGGTGCTGCGCTGACCACGGTCGGTGTTAAACGAAACGTCGAATATGTCAATCAAGTCAAGGATTTATCTTACTAAGGTACTTGATAAACAACCAAGGGAGCCGTGGATTCAAAAACGTACATCGATCCGCGTATTTTACCAAATCGAAAAAAAAAGACTAAAACGGTTTATTTTTTTTTTCTTTTGTTTGTTATGAGCATAGCGTGGTCTCCGATTGCCCTTACGATCGATCTCACTGTTATTCCTACAAACCTCAATTGGAGTTTTTATCCAATTGATCTCTTGCTCGACGTTTCGATATGACCCGACATGAGTCAACCAGGCAATACCTATTTTCAACTCCTGCTCCCATCCTCCCAAATTCGTATTGGCCTTGCTCCGTGACCGACCTGTAGATATTGTATCACTCCATGTTCAATCTCATTTGTATGAACGCTGCAGACGAGAGCCATGCGAGTGGTGTAGGAATATTCTGTGCGCTACGCCTTGTATGCTGCGACTCACCGCTACTCGGCCGTGACCATCGTGTCTTGGACAGCCCTTTGATGTTCCTGTAGAATGATTTATACCTAAGAATCTGGTACGGATTTTACATTGTACTCGTAGCAATACCCTGCGGAGAGCAGCTACAAGGTCGATCAAAGGAATCCAGTATTGTTAGAATGAATGATAGTACCACTCTATTGAACGAGAGCGTGTGTTGTATGTACACACACATATATATACATGTCTAGTCTAGACGGTATGTACAAAAACTTCATCCACCGGGAAATCCAGGCTTATATCTTCGACTCGCGCACAATGCCTGATTTCGAGTCTTCACCACCAGCCAAGACGTCCCCAACGAACCTGACCGCTTCGGCAACCATCTTGGGCGTCACCTCGTGGGCGGCACTCTCGTCAATGATATCCTCGAACGTGATCGCGCCATCCGCAAACCACCCCGTGCTGCCGATAGCCTGTTTCAGCCAGTTGAGGAAGATTTCACCCCGGTGGTACGGCACCAGCTTGTCGACGCCGCCGGACAGAGTCAGGATATTCTTCCCCGCGATGGTCCGCTTCAGCAGGGGGCGGAGGGCCTTCTGCTCTTCCCCCGAGGGCTCCGCGATGGGCTTCTTGCGCAGCGGCCGGGTCTTGTTCTTCTTGCCCATCACGCCGAGGAGCAGACTCGCCGGGTCCAGTTTCCGGACTGTGGAGAGCAGGGTGGACGGGAAGGCTTCGGATCCGAGGAATTGAGAGCCCGGGGGATCGCTGGTGGTCCATTCGGGGAGTTTCGACAGTCGCGCGCGGTCTGCCATCAGGTTGACGTAGTCGGGGCAGCCGATGATCACGACGCCGGTGCTGATGCGGGGTTCATGGAAGAGGCAGCTCCATGCGGCGTGGCCGCCTAGGGATACGCCTAGCACGAGGTTCTCTGGAACGGTGCGCTCGGTCTTGGGGAAGACGTATGAGGGGAGGTAGTCGATCAACACGGACACATCCTTTGCGGTGCCCTCTGCCGTGTTACCGGTTAGCCGTGACAAATGATTGTTTCAGGTTGGGGGGGGAACAACGTACGGAACATGGAAAACATATCCTGCGCATGACGGGGGTTCCCCTTCTTCCAGGACTCATTGCCCAGCGGGTCAACCAGTCTCGAGCCATGATTGCGCTGGTCGAAGGAGACGGCGATCAGTCCTTTGGCTGGGCCCTTGGGACCCGCGCGGCCGTCTCGAATCCGCTGGTTCCAGTCATTGATGATGGCCGTTGCGATGCCTACCATGCGCTCTTGCGTTCCGAGTCTGGGATGCAAGAGCCAGAGGCAGGCGACTTCGGAGGCTTGAGGAGGCAGTTCGTCCAGGCCGAAGACTGTGGTGAGGATCCCCGCAATGGGGTATGTTTTCCGAGAGACGGCCGAGGCTTGGTCTAGTGTTTTCAATGGGTCTGTCATGGTGGGTGTTCACGATATATATGGGATAGATCTAAATCTAACGAATGTTGGCAATGACTGAGTACCTTGATTTACCTTGTGGTGTAGTCGATTGAGGTAAGGAAGGTAAGTAGTTGTTAGAAGTTCGTCTGTTATCGGGCGAGTAAACAGATCAGTAAAGCCGATGGCAAAGAAGAAGCCGAGGATAACACACATTACCCCATCTTACCTTACCAGACGGGGTTCCTGATATATTTTGTATGGATGGATACCGGTTTCATGTCCGAAGACCGGTACAATACGGTTGGTATATTTTATGGGGTATTCATTACAGTAGATGTAGAGAGATATAATAGGTATATATATCTTCAGAGTTATATACTGAAATATATATATGTATATATGTATATATATACATGGACGGAGTATATACTGGTAATGATTCATCATAATGAAACCACTAAATAGTTAGTACTGTGGATTGATATGTAGACCATGTATCATACACAGACAGGTCCATTGATTGTTTGTTTGGAAATTACCAGAATTACCAGAATTACCTCCATCTCTCTCTCTTCTTCTTCTTCTTCTTCTTCTTCTTCTTCTTCTTCTTCTTCTTTTCCCTCCTCATTCGTCTTTTCCATTCTAGTTGACTTCATGGTTCAAATCAAATCTCATTTTTACTCGTAAGTCTCCGGTGTCCAGTGGCCGCGTCAAAAGTGGACCTTTCAGTCAATACCTCCATCCAACTGATAATGGGAGGGTCCAGTCTCCACCGTGGCTAGGGGCAATTTTGAGTTAATGGACCAGTCTCAGTGGTCTCCTTGGACTGTCTTGACCTCCGTGGCCTCTGTCAAATAGCCAAAGGTCAAACTCCAGCTCTCATCTCCACTCCTATACCTATTACCTCCTAACGTTGCTGTCTCTAGCCTACCTGAGCTTAGCTTGCCGCAACGCTCCTTTCTTCGTTCCCCCCAAGAATCCTGTCCCGAGAAGGTCTAAGGTTTTCTAGAAATCTGGAAATGATTGCATAGCTCAACTTCCTCTCTTTCCCTCTCCCCGCCTCCTTACTCCCCCTCTTCTTTCTTTCTTTCCTCTTCCTCCTTTTCCATATTCCTCCCCTCCTGTTCGTTTTTCGAAGAGCCCAGTCGCTGGGTTCCTCCGATTGTGAGTCGGCTCGGTCAAACACGCCAACCATCTACTTCCCGCCTCAAAGACAAAGAAACCATCGAGCGACTGATCGCCATCCCCGTTGACAGCAACGATCATGCCCACGTCCGCAGTAGATACCCCGGAGACGAAAGTTCCCTCTGAGAAGAAATTGGGGAGGCCTGATCCTCTGACGATGCCCCCATTGAGGGGCCCGAAACTCGGCTCCCCTTTTCCCTCCCCGACGAGCTCCAAACGTCTCCCGCCGATGCATCCCGCAAACGAGAATGACCACAAACTTGGCGAAGAGTCAGGGAAAGGGTGTGCAGAGCACGGCGGTGGTGGCGCGGGAGAGCTGGCGGATGATGTCCCAGGACCCAGCGCGGTCCCCCTGGGCGCGCGACGACCGAACGACGCGATCGAAGCGCAGCAACAACCCGGGAACCAGAGATCACAACCGTCCCAGCCGGGTTCGACCGCGTCCCCGCGCCGTCCGAGTGTGCAGTTCAGTCGTGACCCGTCCGAGAACGATCCAGCGGCTGACGCGCTGCAATCGCGGCCCTCCTCGGCGGGGGATGACGCCGACCCCGGGTCGAAAGGGAAGCAGTCCATCTTCACGAAATTAAAGTCCTTTGCCTCTCCCTCGTTCGGCCCTCATTCCCGCTCCGCCAGCGGGGCGACGATCAATGATTTCCGCTACCCCAACAACGACCTCGCCACGCCTGGCTCCGAGAGGGGGGAGTTCCGCTTCCCCAATACCCTGGCGGAGGAAGACAGCGATATGGATGCGGATGCGGAGGAGAGTGCAGGGGAGCAACGGCAGTCTCGCCCGACGAAGAAGAGATATCCTCGTCGGCGGCAGCAGCCGCCCCAGACCGATTCGGCGCCGCAGACCGAGCCCAATACCCCGAGGGCCACCAGTCGACCGTCGTTCCACTTGCCGGCCTCATTTGGTCCCTTCGAAAGTTATCGCCCGTCTTTATTCCCTCGCAGATCGAGTACGGGAGGCTTCAACCAGCAACGCGAGGGGGTGTCCGAGGACGAGGGCCGTGATCGCCTCAATCGGGATACGGCCTGGCGGCGCAGAAGCGCATGGCTGGCCAACAGCCGCGGTCTGACCTATGGCTCGCAGGCGAACCAGGAGGACCGCCGCCCCAGCAACCTACGGCGTCTGACGGGCTTGGGTGGTCCGTCGGAGCATGACGGACTGGCGCCCCCCTGGAGGCGGCATCGGGCCGAGCGAGGTTCCAGCCTCAGCGCTCAAAGATGGCGACAGATCAAAGCGGGGTTGAAGCTCATCGGACAGCGACGCAAGACGGACCACACCGTCGACCATGCCAAGTCCGCGGAACTGCTGGCGGAGTTGACGTCCGGCGTGCCGGCTGCGTTGATCCTGGCGAGCATGTTCCAGCGGGACGAAAATGGCAGCAAGCGCATCCCCATCCTCCTGGAGCAGTTGAAAGTTCGAGTCACGGATAGTCGGATCGACTCCCACTCCGGAGACCGCCACTTGGTCTTCCGGATTGAACTCGAGTATGGCAGTGGGATGACGCGGATGAAGTGGATCATCCACCGCACCCTGAAGGATTTCGCCAATCTCCACCTCAAGTACAAACTCCATTTCGGGACGCAAAAGTACATCCAGATGCGTCCCACTGAAGGGGGCCATAACCTCCCGCACTTTCCTCGCAGTGCGTTTCCCTACCTGCGGGGCGTTCGAGGCCTGGAGAGCGACATGGAAGATGAGGAGGACGACGGTGGCTACGAGACCGCCGCGGAGGCGACCAGCGGGAACGAGAGACCCGGCAAGAGACACACGCAGCGACGGTCGTCAGCGAACGTCTCACGCCGGCAATCCAGTGCCACGAACCCGGACGGCGACGGGGTGGCCGCACCGTCCGATGTCCCCGAGGCTGGGCCGATGCCCAAGAAGGAGACCTATCCGGAGAAGCAGCGGAAAAAGCTGGAAATGTATCTGCAGAAGCTGATTCATTTCCTGATCTTCAAGCCCGACAGCAACCGTCTCTGCAAGTTCCTGGAACTCTCAGCCCTGGGGGTTCGTCTCGCGGCCGAGGGCAGCTATCACGGCAAAGAAGGCTATCTGATCATTCAATCGTCCAAGGGGCTGGACTTCCGACGGGCTCTGACCCCCGCGTTGGTGAAGAAGCGACACATGCCCAAGTGGTTCTTGGTCCGGCACAGCTACGTCGTCTGCGTCGACTCGCCCGAGGAGATGAACATCTACGATGTGTTTTTGGTCGACCCCTATTTCATGCTGCAGGCCCAGAAGATCAGCCTGCGGAACCAGAAGGCGAAGGAGCTGGCCAAATCGGCCAAAGACTCCGCCCGGCACCCGCAGCACCACACCCTCCGACTCGAGAACTCCGAGAGAAAACTCCGGCTCCTAGCCCGGAATGAGCGCCAGCTCCATCAGTTTGAGGACTCGATCCGGTTTATGGTTCAAAACACACCGTGGGCGAAACCGAACCGCTTCGACAGCTACGCGCCCGTGCGTCACAAGTGCTTTGCCCAGTGGTTGGTCGATGCCCGTGACCACATGTGGATGGTGTCGCGCGCGATCAACCAGGCGAAAGATGTCATCTACATCCACGACTGGTGGCTCAGTCCGGAGCTCTACCTGCGGCGACCGGCAGCGATCAGCCAGAAATGGAGACTGGACCGCCTCCTCCAGCGGAAGGCCCGTGAGGGCGTCAAGATCTTCGTCATCATGTACCGGAATATCAACTCGGCCATTCCGATCGATTCCGAGTACTCGAAATTCTCCCTCCTCGACCTGCACCCGAATGTCTTCGTGCAACGGTCCCCGAATCAGTTCCGTCAGAATACGTTCTTCTGGGCGCACCACGAAAAGCTGTGCATCATCGACCACACCTTGGCCTTCGTGGGCGGCATCGATCTGTGTTTTGGCCGGTGGGACACCCCCCAGCATCCTCTTACGGACGACAAACCGACCGGGTTTGAGACGCCGGATGGTCCTAAGGACGCAGACCACTGCCAGCTCTGGCCGGGCAAGGACTATTCCAACCCGCGAATCCAGGACTTCTACGACCTGGACAAGCCGTATGAAGAGATGTACGATCGCAATGTGATCCCCCGAATGCCGTGGCACGACATCTCCATGCATGTGGTCGGCCAACCGGCCCGCGATCTCACCCGCCATTTTGTCCAGCGGTGGAACTACATCCTCCGTCAACGGAAGCCGACCCGCCCGACGCCGTTTCTGCTGCCGCCGCCTGATTTCGACGCGGCCGATCTGGAAGCTCTCGGCCTTGACGGGACCTGCGAGGTCCAGATCTTGCGGTCCAGCAGCATGTGGTCGACGGGGACACCGGAGATTACGGAGCACAGCATCATGAACGCCTACGTCAAGATGATCGAGGAGTCTGATCACTTCGTCTACATCGAAAACCAATTCTTTGTCAGCACCTGTGAGATCGACGGCCGGAAGATCGAAAACTCCATCGGCGACGCGCTGGTGGAGCGGATCACGCGGGCCGCCAAAAACAAGGAGGCCTGGCGTGCGGTCATCGTCATTCCGTTGATGCCCGGGTTCCAGAATACCGTGGACAGCGAGGGCGGGACTAGCGTCCGGCTGATCATGATGTGCCAGTACCGCAGCATCTGCCGCGGGGAAACGTCGATCTTCGGCCGCCTCCGGGCCCTGGGCATCGAACCGGAAGATTACATCCAGTTCTTCAGTCTGCGGACCTGGGGCAAGATCGGGCCCCAGAAACAACTCGTCACCGAGCAGCTCTACATCCACGCCAAATGCATGGTCGTCGACGACCGCGCGGCGATCATCGGGTCGGCCAACATCAACGAGCGGTCCATGCTGGGGTCCCGCGACTCCGAGGTCGCGTCCGTGGTCCGGGATACGGACATGATCTGGTCTACTATGAACGGCCGTCCTTACCTGGTTGGGCGGTTCCCTCACACCCTGCGTATGCGTCTGATGCGGGAGCATCTGGGCATCGACGTTGACGAGCTCTTGGAGCATTCGATGGCAACCGAGGAAGAGCTGCGCAAGATCGACATTGCCGAAGAGGGCCCCGACCCGCCGGGAGAACCCGAGAAGCCCGACACCGAGTCTCTGATGGTGGAAAAGCAAGACGAGCGGGACATGATGGAGCGTCGCCACCGCATCCAGGACGAATTTCTCTCGCGGTCCGAGGACATGCACAGTTTCAACCACGACGTCGATTGGGAGCAGGGCAACAACCCGAATCTGAAATCGAACCGGAAGCTGACGACCGATACGCGAGTGACGTCGAATGCGGAGCACAAGAAAGATGTCGAAGGGTTTGGCCCGGACCAGCTGCATGCAGCCCAGCAAGCCGGGCAGGAAGATGGCCGGGACTCCAAGGTCTTGAACTCGCAGACCGAGGTGTTGGTGTCCCCCATCGCACCCGAGGGTCGGGGCACCGTTCAGCAACCCAAGCTCTCGCCGCCGAAGAAGAGCCCCTCGCACAGCGGGTCCGGCCCCAAAGAGACGGGGTCCGCCCCTCCGGCCCTTCAGACCCAGGATCTCGAGTCCGCCCCGGTGGTGGAGGGGATGGCGGGGGCGCGCCACCCCGCACTATCACCGGGCCCCGAGACCGAGGGCGGCGGCACTGGTGGTGCGATCCCACCGAAAGATACGGCCGATCCAGCGCGATTCCCGCACCTGCCCGGCTCGGACCTCAAGCACGTCTTTATCGACAAGGACTGCATGCGCGATCCTGTGAACGACATCTTCTACCTGGACACCTGGCATGCGGTGGCCGAAAAGAACACGAAGATCTACCGGTCGGTCTTCCGCTGCATGCCCGATAGCGAGGTGAAATCGTGGAAAGAGTACAAAGAGTACGCGGCCTATGCGGACAAATTCGCGGACCGGCAGAGTCAAAACAGCGGCAAGGCCTTCCAGCCTCATCAGCAGAGACGGACAGGTCCGCCCGGCACGGGAGCCAGCGTGGGGATCTCCGGGATCCCGGGCCTCCCGAACATCCAGCTGCCGATTCCCAACCAGCGCGCGGACGGAACCACCTCCACCGAGAAGGTCCCGCAGCTCCCGACGGAGAAGACGGACCAGCGAGCGGCGGAACCTGCCCAGAACACGGGGCCGGACTTGACAAAGAACGAGACCCCCCAATCCGCGGGCGAGAAGTCGACGTTACGTGCTGGGGACCAGCTCGCCTCGGGCGCGGTCCCGAACGCACGACACGAGGAGGGCTGGTCCTCCGGGGACGACGCGGAGAAGCGGAACTCGGACCAGCCTGCGGTTGATTACTCGGACGCGTTGAACCGAAATGCGACCCAGTCGCGGCGGCGTCGGCGCCGGGCCACGACGCTGGGATCGAAGCGCGATTTCCACTCCGTGGACGAGTTGATCGACCAGCAGCGGGCGGAGGAGCTTCTAGAACAGACCCAGGGGCATCTGATTTTGTGGCCTTACGATTGGTGGGTTTTACTTTTTTTTTTTTTTTTAGAGCTACGATTGGATCATGCTGACAAGGTTCTAGGCTGGAGAAAGAGGAACAAGGCGGCAACTGGCTGTACACGCTGGATCAGATCTCGCCGTTGGAAATCTAGTAAGTTGATTCCTCTGGTCTTAATGACATCGGTGCTAATCTTGGCAGTAATTGATCCACTTTCTCTTTTCTCTTATTCCTGGTGCTGGACAAGGGACTGGATGGTTACCCTTTTCAAGTGGATCATTGGCGTTGTGTTCAGGGAATTCCTGGACAACCAGACTACCGAGTGGGGAGCAATGTAAATATAGGTAGAATCATAGAAATAATCCGGACTGGACCCGGACTGGACCCAGGGATCGACGATGACGTTGAGATCACAGAAGAGACAGTAAAGGGAAAAAAAACCTGGACAGACTTGCCTAGTGCGTCTCACCGCCCGCAGCGAAATCCCGAGCCGGCCCCGCTTAGAGACTCGCGCTCTTCTCCATCCGTCACCAGTTCTGGATTCATCTCGTCCCAGTCGTATCCTCATTCTTCTTTTTTTCTTCTTCTTCTGATTCTTCCATCCCTATCTTCGTAACTCTTCAGTACCCCTTCTCTCGATCCATCAGCTTGAATTCATCTCCCGATCTACACATCCACCAATTCAGGTTCATCTTCACTCCACCCTCATCCGTTCCTGACCTCACCTACTTTACCCCTCCTTGTCCTTGTCCATCCATGGCATAGCTCGCGCGTCCTCCTTTTCCCCTCCTCCTCCCTCCTCCTCCATCTCTCTCTTCCAGTCCTGAATTCCAGTGGAATCTTGAGTTGTCCCTCGTTCATTGGAGGCGTTGGTGATTTCCATAGCTTTTGCCTTCTGTCAACTACCGCCCGCACCCACCGCTCTCCGGCCTCGGTCAGTCGATCCCACCATCGCCACTCCCCTGTTTTTCTTTTCTTTTTTTTTTTTTTTTTTCTTTTTCAAGAATCTTCGTGGATATTCAAAGCGATCTTATACTGACTATTGTGGAAGTACTAGATCAATCCGACTAGTTGGACGTCGACAACTCGTGTCCCGCCCTCTACATCGTCCTCACGTGCCTTCGATCGTCACCCATCCCCATGTCGTCCGAGCACCCGCCCCCCATTGCGGGGCCTGGAAACAAGGCGGATCTCCTCGTGGTCGGATCTGATGCAATCAGCCCCGATCCCCTGTCTGCTGGAACCTCCCCAGGCGTGACGGATGCCGAGTCCCCCGTCACTCCCACCCAGGCTACTCATGGCATCGGATCGGGCGGTGACCTCTTACGTAGCCTGAGTCTCACGGGAGAATCGGCGGTGCTGGAAGCAGATCCCCGGGAACAATACCCGGGTCTCCACCTCACGGGGCGCATCATCAGTGCCGCCTTTTGCATACCCTACAAAGTTTACTGTCGTCCTGGAGGGAATTGGGTATGAGCGACCCCCGCGCCTTTTTTTCCTCGTTGGCTCTGTCTGACTGTTGTTTAGGAATTGAAACCCCGTTCGGGAACGTCCGCGCTGTTTGACTCCTTCGCTTATCTCGGTTCGGATGAGACGAGGTGGTCGCATACGCTTGTTGGCTGGACCGGCGAGGTTGAACCGACCTATGAGGCTACGGTCCCGTCGCAGCAAGTACCGCTAAACACCAGCGGCGCGAAGCCCCCCAGCCCGGCCGGGGGGATGACTCTCAACCGGGCTGCGGCCCCGGTGCCCGTCGATGTCAATAACGGTCCACCCAGCCATCCTCTCGTCGGTGGCTTTACGGTCGGCCCGGAGGATCGGGCCCGGCTGGATAAGCAGCTGAGCTCCGGTCGCTACGGAAAAATCTCACCGGTGTGGTTGTCGGACGGGTCGGATGTGCCGGAGGATTCGTTCGCCCTGGAGGACCAAGGGAGGTGGCGGCGCTACGCCGAGCGGGAGCTGTATCCCCTGCTCCACTACAAGCAGCACGGCCCCACCGATGGCCGCTCGGAGCGCAGGTGGTGGGCGGATTATGTGCGCATGAACCGGTGCTTTGCGGACCGCATCGCCCAGGAGTACCGTCCAGGGGATATCGTTTGGATCCACGACTACCATCTCTTCCTCCTCCCGAGCATGCTGCGCCAACGGATCCCGAACGCCCACATCGGCTTCTTCCTCCACGCCCCGTTCCCCAGCAGTGAATTCATGCGGTGTCTATCCAAGCGGAAGGAGGTCCTGACCGGCGTGCTGAGCGCGAACATGATCGGCTTCCAGACCTTTTCCTACTCGCGCCACTTCTCCTCCTGCTGCACCCGCGTCTTGGGCTTCGACTCCAACTCGGCCGGTGTCGATGCCTATGGCGCCCATGTGGCCGTCGATGTGTTCCCCATTGGCGTCGACGCCAAGGCCATTCAGCGCGTCGCATTCGGCTCTCCGGACATCGATTCCACGGTCGAGGGCATCCGGGGCTTGTATGCCGGCAAGAAGATCATCGTGGGCCGGGACCGGCTGGACAGCGTCCGGGGCGTCACCCAGAAGCTCCAGGCCTTTGAGGCGTTCTTGGAGCGGTTCCCCGAATGGCGCGACAAGGTGGTGCTGATCCAGGTGACCAGCCCCACCAGTGTGGAGGAAGAGAAGGAGGAGACCAAGATCGCCAGCCAGATCTCCAACCTGGTCTCCACCATCAACGGCCGGTTCGGCTCCCTGAGCTTCTCCCCGATCAAGTACTACCCGCAGTATCTCTCGCAGCGCGAGTATTTTGCCCTGCTCCGGGTCGCCGACGTCGGCCTGATCACCACCGTCCGCGACGGCATGAACACGACCAGTCTCGAGTACATCATCTGCCAGCAGCACAAGCACAGTCCGCTGATCCTCTCCGAATTCTCCGGTACCGCGGGGACGCTGTGCAACGCCATCCACATCAACCCGTGGGACACCGCCGGCGTGGCCGGGGCCATCAACCAGGCCCTGACGATGCCGGCCGAGCAGAAGGAGGCGCAGCATTCGAAGCTGTACAAGCACGTGACGACGAACACAATCTCCGCCTGGTCGCAGCAGTTTGTCACCCGCCTGCTGACCAACCTCTCCTCCTTCGATCAGTCCGTGGCCACGCCGGCCCTCGACCGGGCGAAGCTGGTGCGGCAGTACCGGAAGGCGCGCAAGCGGCTGTTCATGTTTGACTACGACGGCACGCTCACGCCGATCGTCAAGGACCCGCAGGCGGCGATCCCGTCCGATCGCGTCCTGCGCACCATCAAACGCCTGGCGGCGGATCCGCGGAACGCGGTGTGGATCATCAGCGGCCGGGACCAGGCCTTCCTGGACGAGTGGATGGGGCACATCCCCGAGCTGGGGCTGAGCGCCGAGCACGGCTGCTTCGTGCGGAAGCCGGGCTCGGACGACTGGGAGAACCTGGCCGAGCGATCCGACATGGGCTGGCAGAAGGAGGTCCTCGAGGTCTTCCAGCACTACACGGAGCGGACGCAAGGCTCCTTCATCGAGCGGAAGCGCGTGGCGCTCACGTGGCATTACCGGCGGGCGGACCCGGAGTACGGGGCGTTCCAGGCGCGCGAGTGTCGCAAGCAGCTGGAGGAAACGGTGGGGCGGAAGTGGGATGTGGAGGTCATGGTCGGCAAGGCGAATCTGGAGGTGCGACCGACCTTTGTCAACAAGGGGTGCATCGCGTCGCGGCTGGTGAATGAATACGGGACGGGGCCGGGACAGGCACCCGAGTTTATCTTCTGCTCGGGAGATGATTTCACCGATGAAGGTATGCTCAGTTTGATTCTTGTATGGATAGCAAGGTCTACGTGGGTACTGATTGTTATTTTCTAGATATGTTCCGCGCGCTGCAGAGTTTCGACCTCCCGTCTGACCATGTCTTTTCGGTCACGGTTGGTGCCAGCTCGAAGCAGACTGCGGCCAGCTGGCATCTGCTGGAACCAGCGGACGTGATTGAGACGGTGTCGATGCTCAACCATAGCTTTTCTGGGCAGGATCACTGAGGTTGTCCAGCTTGTTTACTTCTACCGCCCCGCACTCTACCCTATCTCGAGCACGAGATCTTGATGCGGGGACTCCATGATCAAGCCCGTCAAACACCTTCATTTCGGCTAAGTCTGACATCTCCCTATATCACCGGAAAAGACGGGGGAGTGTGGAGAGGGGACGTCCTGTCGTTGCGGGTCTTGCAGGGGCGCACGAGCGTGCATTGAGGTTGGACATGGACGTGGACGTGACGTGACATGATTTGATTTCGGGCTAAGACGGCGAAAGGCACGGCGCCGTGGTATCGGGTGGTATATCTCCTACGATGCTGCTATAGCCGTAATCATATTTAGAATCCGGCCTCTTCTCGTCTTCTCACCTCCATACCTACACCGGGAAGCTGTCAATATCCGGAGACTGCCTTTTAACACGGTGACATAGACAGATGGGAAGAGCATAAAAGAGCGCATTGTAAATCGTTAGAGAATAGAGATTAACTTTATAAATGAATTAGCCCTATGCTTATATGATTGAATTGATAGAACTTGTTCAAGGTAAACCCGAGGTAGACCCATCTGTAGTTCTACAGCTCGGCCTCTGCCATTCAGAACCCGAACAACAATTAGTGGACCGAGCAGACACCGGGCTCCACCGTCTGTAACTCTAGACTCTTAAGAAAGACCGGCTGGAAAGACCACCCAGGCTCAGGACTCACTTATGTATATATTTTCATGTATCTACTGTGGTACAAGGGTAACAGTATATACCTATATATATCTTTTAGGTAGATAATACGTACGCAAACAGCCTATTCTCACGGCGGGGTTTGATAGCGGGGTGGAGTGGGGGTTATGCAAGTTCCCTTGTCATATGGCATATAGGCTATAGCAAGAAATACTATTCTCTCCTATTGTATCATTCGTATATTGTCAATGAGGTGTGGAGAGCTCTAAGCATATAATATAACTATGTTGGGCATTGGGCGGGGTGTATGCATGTATATACTAATCACAAACAGATGAAACCATCCAGATCGACAAGAATCCTACCCTAACCGTCCACCAGCCTAGTCTCTGCAGGTTTCCCTGGTTGAGCTTTTTTTTCCAGCGGGACTTGTTAACCTCTTTGATAAGTCGACCCTAACCAAGACTACAGACTAGTCAAGTAACTACTAAAAGTAATACCGCGGATTCCCAACTAGTCAGTAAGAAGTAACCGTCGGACGTACAGCCGAACCCGACTCGGCTTTCTCTGCGAATCCTGTGAATGAATGTTGATCCTGGGGGGAATTTTTACCCCGATGGGTCTGTCTGGATTTGGGGTTGATATTAGCATTATTAATACTATCTTTACAAATGAAAACAAGGGAAGGAAAAATTGAGTAGGTTGGAACTTGTGACTCATTTTGGATGATATCTTGTTGTATATCTTGGCTTGATATCGTTCTTCTTCTGGTCTAGATACTCGAGACTTTGAGAGGGAACTTTAACCGCTTATGTTCGAGGCGAGAAACTGAGTCTCTCGATCCACTCAACCAAGGGACCTTTCGTCTGTCATTTGGTCGTCCTCTTGGACATACGGTTGAGGCATCATGACGAACAATCAAGCAGAGGACGAACGGCCAGCCGACGCCCCCCCAGAGAACGACCACCAAAACGAGAACGAAAAACACCTCGACAGAACCACCAGCAATGAATACATCGACGAAGAAGCCGGCCTCGACTCCGACGAGCTCTCCCGCACAGCAACAAACGCCACCAACGTCAGCCGGCTCGCAGCGCGCACCCTCTCCCTCGTGCGCACCCGCGAATCCGGCAAAGACATCGGCCCTCCCCCCGACGGGGGCTTCACCGCATGGTCGCAGGTCGCGCTGGCGCACTTCGTCATCTTCAACACATGGGGCTACATCAACAGCTTCGGCGTCTTCCAGAGCTACTACACGGAGGCACTGGACCGGCCCCCGTCGGACATCTCCTGGGTCGGCAGCATCCAGATCTTCCTGCTCTTCTTCATCGGGACCTTCTCCGGCCGCGCCACAGACGCAGGCTACTTCAAGGCGATCCTCACGGCCGGCGCCCTGCTGGAGGTCTTCTGCATCTTCATGACCTCGCTCTGCACCGAGTACTGGCAGCTGTTCCTGGCGCAGGGCATCGGGCAAGGCATCGGGTGCGGGCTGATGTTCTGCCCGACGATCGCCCTCATGCCGACGTACTTCACGCGCAAGCGCGCCCTCGCCATCGGCATCACGGCGTCCGGGTCCGCCACGGGGGGGCTGGTATTCCCCGCCGTGGTAATGCGGCTGCTACCGCAGCTGGGGTTCGGGTGGACGATGCGCGTGCTGGGGTTCATCTCGCTGGCGACGCTGACGCCGTGTCTGGTGTTCCTGAAGCAGCGACTGCCGCCGCGGCGGAGCGGGCCTCTGGTGGAGTGGGGCGCGTTCCGCGAGCTGCCGTATACGCTGTTTGCGATCGGCATGTTCCTGAACTTCTGGGGCATCTACGTCGGGTTCTTCTACATTGGAAGTTTCAGCCGGAATATGATCGGCGTGTCGCAGGAGACGTCCATCGATGTGATCCTGGTGATGAATGGCATTGGGTTGCTGGGCCGGCTGGGTCCGAACTATCTGGCGGATCGGTTCACGGGCCCGCTGAACATGCTGCTGCCGTTTAGTCTGGCCACGGGGGTGATCTCTTACTGCTGGTCGGGGGTGGATAGTGTTCCGGGGCTGTACGCGTGGAGCGCGTTCTACGGGCTGGCGGCGGCGGGGATCCAGTCCTTGTTTCCGGCGACGCTCAGCACGCTGACGACGGATCTGAAGAAGACGGGGGTGCGGATGGGGATGGTGCTGAGTGTGGTGGGGGTGGCGGCGCTGATCGGGTCGCCTATTGCGGGGGCGCTGGTGGAGAAGGCTGATGGGCATTATCTGTATGCGCAGATGTTCATGGGGACGGTGATTGTGGCGGGGATGTTGACGTTGAGTTGTGCGCGGTTGGCGAAGTTGGGGTGGAAGTGGGAGCGGGCGTGATATCACTTCAGGGAAGATATCATGGTTGGCGTTCGTAAAAGCACAGTGATGTACATAGAACTAATTAGATCCATGATAATGATAATACAGATATCGAGATACCTACCTTATGTCAGTATTTTTGATGCTGAAGTTGGCCATTGGTATAGAGATCAATGGATACCTCAGGCATTGTACAGTGACCAATGAGGTGATGGTGAATCAGCAATGACTAAGACTGTACACACTAACCTGTTTTGGCTAGACTGTATAGGATGCCTGAATGCTAGACAGCTGTAAGGCATCCATCAGTGACTTCAAGTTATGTTATGGATAAACAGACATGTTGTAGATAAACATAATAGTAGGTATAAAGAGAGTAGTAGTTGATATGCTGATACTACTATTGTGGTAGTTCCATCATACTGACCATCGGTCCCTTACCGCATATAATATATAGTAGTAGCATACTATGACAAACAGTATATATCTTTGCCATGCCATGCCTGATTGAAATGTAAAAAGAAAGTAGAACAAACCAGCAAGTATAAACAAAATCAGATCAAAGCATATGACTCACAGCCTCTCATACTCCTCTTTCCCTTAATTCAATCATCTAACTCTTTTGTATGGTTGATTGTATAGACGCCTCAGCCCCACCCAAGCATCCGGTCGTTTTTGTCCCTCTTGATCCCCGCAGTCTCTTCCCCTCCCTCATACAACAACCCCTCTCCTTACCTACCAGACGAACCTCTCCCCGTCTATCACTTCTTGTATTTCCGCTACCAGATCTCTGTCACTCTATCTCGTGCTCACCATTCTATCAAGAAAACATCTCCCATTCACAAACTCAACATGGCGCCCCGAGGTCGCGGTGGAAAGTTCTCCAAGCCCAGTCGAGGCGGTACGTACCCCCTCCCACTAGCAAGATGTACATGGCTAATAGGTTCGCGGGAGATAGGTGGAAAGCACTTTAGTCGTGATGTCCAGCCCGTTGATAAGAACGGTAACCCTGTCGGTCTTTGGAGGGTACGTTCCTTCAACCTCAACCAGTCGCGTCTCCAGGCGCTCAAAAGAAAACGAGAGAGAATGATAAAAGAAGAACACTACTAAACTATAATCAAAATAGGACCCCGAAGACGCCATCCCCTCCTCCTCCGAAGGCGAAGACTCCTCCCAAGAATCCAGCTCCGAAGACGAAGACGAAGCCCCCACCACCGCGGCAGGCTCCTCCAGCGCCGCCGCCGCCGCAGAACTAACCCGCGAAGAGCGCCGCGCAGCAGCCAAAGCCAAGAAACGCGCCGCCATCGCCCGCAAGAACCAAGTCCAACCAGGCGACCTCCCCTCCTCCGACGAGGAAGACGACGACGCCGACAACGACAACACCAAAGCAGAAGGAGAGGGCGACCTCCCCGCTAACCCCAACCACACGGCCAAATCTCGCTCCCAGCTAGAAGCCAAAGACGACGACGACGAAAACGCGCCGGCGAAACCCGCTGCTGCTGCGGCGGCGGGCGGCGGGGATCTGTCGCAGCTGTCGAGGCGGGAGAGGGAGGCTATCGAGGCGCAGCAGGAGCGCGAGCGGTATATGAAGTTACATGCGGAGGGGAAGACGAACGAGGCGCGTGCGGATCTGGCGCGGTTGGCGATCGTGCGGGAGCAGCGGGAGGCGGAGCGCGCGCGGAAAGAGGCGGAGAAGGAGGAGAAGGCGGAGTTGGCGAAGCAGAGGGTGGCGGAGAGGGAGGCCAAATTGCAGAAGGGGGGGAAGAAGGGCAATAAGAAGAAGTGAATCATTAGATAGATTAGAGGTTTTTTGGAAACAATCAATCGATTGATCGATCAATCAATGCATGGATTGAATGGTATATGAAGTGAACGGGTTTCATGTCAGACCGTATGATAAGTTAAACATTGTCTACCCGATCATATCATCTAATGGATATACAGGATGACTATTACATCTTTTTGTATAAGTTGGCTATTATAACATCCGTTAATATACAGTCTTCCATTGTAAAGACGGACAAAAGATGTATGCAATATGCGACCATGCACCAGTTCCTAAACCAAGAGAAGAGAAGCCACTTGTCATAAACAAAACCATGTACACCCAGATTCACCGGCGCCGCGATCGAAAACGAAAATCCACAGAGGTTATATTGAACGCTGGACGTTATGTATCCACCATTAATGGAAGAGAAAAAAGACGAAAGGAAATGGAATAAAGAAAAAGTTGAAAGTCATAGGATGTGCCCTCTCCAAAGTAGTGAGGGATCACGCCCCCCAAAACAAACCCTCCACGCTCCGCCCTTGCATGACCACGCCCCACCCGGCGATCAGACTGATGAGCCACATGACCGCGAACGCCAGAATGGGGAGGAGGAGGAGCTCCGTGTTGTGCAGGAACGGGAGCGCATTATACCCCAGGAAGGTGATGTAGGTGTAGTAGATCAGGGCCGACAGGTACAGCGTGTTCCCCAGGAAGGTGGCGAGGAAATTGCTCGGACTCCGCATGAGGAGCGGCAGGAGGAGAAATTGGACCACATACAGGTGTAGGTACAAGGGGAAAAAGGCGCGATTCGAGACCTAGACAGGAGAGCGGAGTTAGTCGGAAGCAACGACAGAATCAGGGGGTGGACTCACGTCGAAACAGTATCCAAATTCCAATTGCTCCTTCTCACCCGGTTGGGTGAACAGTCCCTGGGCGGCCCCTCGTCGCCGTCCGCGCACGCCGCGGAGTCCCGTGAGCGAGGCGGCCGCGCCATTCGGGCCGAACAGTCGGCCAATGACGAAGTATCCGATCGCCGACACCAACAGCGATGACCCGATGAAATGACCGAAGATGAAGAGGAAGGACAAGCGGACGATTGTTCCGAAGGAGGGGGCATAGGCGAGACCCCATGCAAGGGCTGTCAGAAGCAGAAAGAAGGACAGGAGATATGCGAAGGACGGGTCGGGACGATGCCAGGTGTTCTTGGTTTCTGTGGATAGTAGACGTTCCGATGTCAGCGGGGTCGGGTACACTCTTTCAGGACGGATAGTACGGGGTCTGCATACGTTTCTGTGTCTGTTAGTGGCGTGCGTCATGTCATGGTGGGACGGATGGGGAACTTACATGGTAGTAGATGGACTTGAACACCTTCTTCGGGGCGATTAACAGGGAGGTCATTTCCCAGATGGCCATCTCGAAGTCCATCTGGGGAAATTTGAACAGTCTAGAGTATTCGTCAGCCATAGTCGCCCTCTACAGTCTCTCCCGACGTCGATTGCATCGCAGCCGAGTCCCGAGTATAGCAGTACACCAGTACGCCAATACACCACATGAACGCGAGCGCAGCAACCGCATATCGACCCAGACACCCACCTTTTGAAAAATCGCGGCATCCGAATATTGGCTCGGCGATGAGCCGGTGTGGTACCGCCAAAGTTGGCCGGACTGGCATGTTGGCGCGGAACGGATATGTGAGGGTTCATATTGGGTGACGGGGTCCAAGCCGGCCCAGGAGTCTAGAGGGCGGGATTCGGAAGACGAGAGGATGGGTGTATTTTGTCGAGGACAATAGTATATGTGTCTAGAGTCTAGGGGAGAGAGAGTACTTGTTGTTGAGGTAGAATGGTAGAGTGGAGTGATTAGTGTAAAGTAGTGGAGGAAGATGTTCTGGTGTTGAGTTCCGTCTGATTCCTGATGCGCTGTTGGCCCGTCGGGTTATGTCATCATCATTGTATGCCTGAGGCAGACTTATAGTTCATCCTGATTATTCCTGGAGTATACGGAGTATGGACTTCATCATATGTCTGCTGAAAAGGAAGACGGATTCCACGTTCTCTCTCCTGACCCAGTGGAATCCTAGGGCTGTCCACTCCACTCCGTACTCCATACTCCGAACTGGTTAATCGATCTACGATATGTTGATGGTATGGTAGGATCGACATCGGAGACATCAATTGTCTGCCACGATTCTTATGTATCTACTCAACTACTGACCCTGCTGCATGTACAGGTCTATCGATCTATCCTGAGACATTCATCTGACAGATCTCACTCACCATGACCATGAGTTCCCAGCGAGGACAGAAAATAGACACGTCTAACGTTAATCCATGGCAAACAGAGCCCCGGGGTCTGATCCCAAGACAATAGGAGAGGCCGATCACGGACATCCTTTCTCAATAGTCAATATTCAATAAAGTCAATCCAGCAGTCTTCTTAAATTCTGGCCTGGGTTGTATGATTACAGACTACCACGGCTGTTCAAATCGTGGGACCAGGGTCTCATTGTTATTAGCGTCCACCGGACCCCCGCATGTTGCAAAGACAACCGACAGTGTTTCAAGGGGGTTAGTTCATCCAAGAGAACCGGCTGGAGGGAGTGAAGAACTGGGATTGGTAGGGGCGTCGATACTTCTTACTGAGTATAGACCGGAATGGGTCCAGCCAAGCCGTGGATGTGCCCCTGAAACCTCAGGCCCCACCTCCTCCCCAGACCGGGTTAGTCATTCACGACTCGATGAACGAACTAACGATTAGTCCAGACAGACGATTCTCTCCTCCATCCCTGATACTTTCACTTCTTCGTTCTGTCAATTGCCTCAACTCTTCCTGGAACTTCCTGGAATTTGTTGATGAACTGTGGGAGATGTGTTTCCCTGGTCTCTAGCTGTAAGTGCTTCCCTTCTAGGGTTTGATTGGGATATTGGGAGTTCGGTTCCTGTCCTGGCTGGTTCCAATCTCCGGCTTTCCCTGGTTCATCTCCACCCGTGGCCACGATTCTCTGTCTCGTCCCCTGAACCTCTTCTCCAAAGCCCAGACTGATCAATTCCTTTGTTCACTTAGACCTGGATTTCCCCTCGGGTTCATTGCGCCATAACAAAAGGACAAAAGTCCACAAAGAAGTCGGACAGAACAAAGAGGCTTCGCCATACACCTAAAACAGTCCCTCATCAGGAGGACTGAGAAGGAAGCAAAAAAGAAACGAAAATAGAAAGAAAGAAACAAAAGACTAAAAATCGACCCATTTGCCCTCCCTCGCACGGCAAAACAGTCCCTTGCGCCATGACCACCAGGTGACACAGACCCTACCACTTCTTCGCCCCTGGTTCGTTTGGCTGTCGCCTTTGACATCACAAGCCTCGGATGGCCTCCATGAGTCCCCGGATTACACGGTCACGCAGCGGCAGGATGTCTCACCAACCCGTGGCCCTGCGTGCAAACTCCTCGCCCCCACGAACCCCTCCGTCTGCCAACGCCATGCCGGTCAAACGAGCGCCCCATCCGCGTCCTTCCGTGCGCGAAACCTTCTTGGACGACTTCAACCACACCGACCAGACCAACAGCAGCAATGAGTCCGGAGACGAGCGCGATCCGCACGATCTGTCCTTGTCCCCCAAGCATGCCGCCCGCACCTCCATCGTCGACAATATGCTGCTCTCCTTGGACCAGTTCGCCACCACCAATTCCTCGGTCCTCGATGACTACCGCTTGTTCAATTCCGCCTTCGAGTCCGACAACGCCCACGGCCGCTCCTCGCAGGACTCCATGGCCCCGCCGCGCCATCGCGGCCATACATTTTCGTCCTCCCTGTCCTCCGAGGCCGATTTCCACTACGATGACGCCGCCGGCCGCTACGGCGCCCCGCAGGGAAGGACCCGCCGGAGCACCAGTAGCTCCAACTATCAGTCCAGCCTGCGGAGGTTTGGGAGCGCCCGGACTCCCGACCACCGGCCCGCGCGCGGCCAGTTTGGCGACGGGCGAACCCCGACCGGCGTGGTTACCGCCACCAGCCGTGGCCCCAGAAAGGGCAGCAAGGGGAGTACCACGTCCAATATCGATTTTGGCCCGTCCCTGGCGCGACGCCGGGCCGAGTCGGCTGACGAGAGGCGCTCCGCCAGCTTCGACTACGGCTCGCGACACCCCTTTGTCCCCTTCGCTGAGCCCGCCGAGTATCACTCGTTGGTCTACCGTGATGATGATGATGATGATGATGATGATGATGATGATGATGACGACGACGACGACGCCGCCCCCACGCCCAGTGTCCCCGCGGGGCCCCGGAAACACCTGGCGTCGTCGCACAGCGAGTATGCCGCGGCCCCGACGCACCAGTCGTCACGCACCCCGATCGTCTCGCGGAAGAACAGCGTGAAATCCTCCAAGACCAACCCGGGCCGGAAGCCGCGCCCGGAGAACCTCGGCACCACTATCATGAAGGTCCGCGACCAGGGCCTGGCCGACCTCGAGGACCCCGACCTAGACCTGCCCCCGCCGATCCCGGGCGCCTTCGACCCGCCCGCCCCAAGCCCCACGATCTCCTTCAACAAGCCGACCTTCCCCGCCCCGCCGCCGCCCGAACCGGCCCCGCCCAAGGAACGCCAGGGCTTCTTCCGCCGGGTTTTCGGGTCGTCCAAGCCTTCCACCCCGGCCCCGTCGGAGACCACCCCATCCGAGGCCTCGTTCCCTGCAGGCGGCGACCCGAAAGGCATCAGTGCACCGGGCCCCGAGGCGAAGACGTGGCGGCAGCCGCCGAAGGCTAACACGACGGGCGCCGGTCCCGCGCGCGAGGCCGCCCCGCAAGTGGTCAACAAGAAGCCCTCCTTCTTCCGTCGCCGCAAGAAGTCGGTCGCCGAGAGCACCCCGCCCCCCATTGTGCTTCCGCAAGACCCCGGTCCGCGAACCACGGTGGACCCCCCGAAGCTCGACCGGAGCCCCGCGAGCAGTTTGCGGGAGGTGATGAACCCGTTCCTGGGGGAGGGTCGTGGCACCGACTCGCCGGAGGCGGGGCGGACTGGCCCCGAAAAGCTGGAGATCAAGAAGTCGGGGGGCCTGTTCCCGCAGACGCAGCGCGAGAGTGTGCTGGGCCCCGCTGACGCGCGGCCTAGGTACAGTCTCTATCCGGTTGCCACGTCCCACGGGGCCTACGACACCTCGTTCCTGGCGGGGAACAGTAGCGGGGATGACGACCGATCCAGCGATGTCGACCCCGTCTCCGCCGCCGAGCCGAACCCGAACGAGGAACGGAATGCGCCCGCCGGCCGCGACCCGCCCACGATGTCGAACTCCCGGCTGACGCCCCAGGACCTCACGGGGCCGTCCCTCTCCCCCGTGGTGGAGAGCTTCTCCCAGAAGAGCATCTCGCCTGTCGACGGTCCCGAACGGCGTCACAGCCTGTTCCCGGGGCCGGGGGAGTCGGACGCCACCAAACCCCCCAGCGACTCGATCCCGTACGGGGACGCCCACAACAACACCCGCCCGTTGTCCGCCTCGATGGTGGGTACCGGTGGTGGTTCTTCCCCGGGGGGTGCGATGTCCGAGATCTCCAAGTCCCACACGGCGTCCAACACCCACGAGGCGCCCTCGGCGGGGCCCCCGCGACGGCGGCCAGCGAGGGCGCCACGCGTGGTGCCAACCAGCCCGCGGCGGACGAGCCCGCGGACTCCATCCAAGGACAAGCCCGAAAGCTCTTTGACAGCCAGGATGAGGTGATCGGGAACGACCCGGCGGCCGCTTGGCTTGGGGATCCCGACCGAGCCGCGACGCGCAAGGCCTATATGGATCTCTTCGACTTCGCCAATTTGAATATCTTGGCGGCCCTGCGCAGTCTGTGCAACCGGCTGGTCCTCAAGGGGGAGACGCAGCAGGTCGATCGAGTGCTGGATGCCTTCTCTGTCCGATGGTGTCAGTGCAATCCCAATCATGGTTTCAAGGCCGCAGGTATGTCGCCCCTTTCTTTTCTCCCTGACGGGTCAACGGGGCTGTTCTCTAATTTTTATTTTACCCAGATGTCGTGCACACCATCTGTTACTCGCTGCTCCTCTTGAACACGGACTTGCACCTTGCGGACATCGAACAGAAGATGACCAAAAGCCAATTCGTCCGGAACACGATACCCACCGTCCGCCGAGTGGCCGCCGACGCAACCCCCGATCCGTCTGACTCCCCTCTCGATGGGTCCCAGCCCGGCCGCGCGGATGAAGCTGATCCGGCCAAACCCGCCAACGCACCGGCCAAACTCGTCAATCGACTCTCTCGGACCGACCTCTCGATCAAGCTGGCCGGAGACCCGGACAGCGACGGCGGTCCCTTGGTCAGCACGCCGTTTTACGGCAGCCTGCGGGCCTGGGAGCAGCAGGTGGAGACGGTTCTCCGCGACTTCTACACCTCCATCCAGAAACAGAGGCTGCCCCTGTTCGGCGCGCCGCCGGAGGGCCCCCGGGGGTCATCGAACGCGCTTCTGGGCCCCAGTTCCAATAGCCTTCGTCGGAGTCCCAGCACCGTGAGCAAGAGCGGCTCCGATATCTACCCGCGGGGCCGCTCGGCCGATTCCCGCTACGGCACTGCCCGGTGGTCATCCAAGCCTCGATCCCGGGGGCGACTGTACCCGCCCTCCACTATGGGGTCTAGCCGGACCAGTTTGGACGACCAGTCGTCGCTGTGGAGCCCGTCCGGCTCCAGCACCTGGAGCAAATACTCCCTGGGGAAGCTGACCTCGGCGTCTGTGGATTCCTTCGGGTCGGAGTATCCCCGGGGCGACTACCAGCAGTCGATCGGGTTTGCCAACGCGCTCAGTCAGGCCATCATCCGCGAGGATTCCGCCCAGTCGATCACCAGCATGGATGATCCCGAGCGGACCACCCCTCTGCTAGAGGATGAGACCCTGCAGCTCGCCGGCGCGCCGTGGGCCAAGGAGGGCAGCTTGACCCACAAGCACCACTTGGACTCGGTCGACAAGCGTGCCAAGGACCGCAATTGGGGCGACTGCTTTGCGGTCATCCAGCAGGGCTGGATGCGCCTCTTCTCCTTCAAAACCCCGCCGAAGTCGGGCCGACAGAAGTCGCGGCAACGCCAGCCGGGTGGTGTTGTCGTGGGCGGAGGCAACTGGACCGAGAACGCCGAAGAGACCTGGAAGTTCCTGCTGCGGCAAACCATCGCCAGCGCCCTTCCACCCCCCGGGTACTCCAAGTCTCGTCCGCACGTCTGGGCGTTGAGCCTGCCCACCGGCGCCGTGCACCTGTTCCAGGCGGGCACGCCGGAGATTGTCCGCGAGTTCGTCTCCAGTGCCAATTACTGGAGCGCGCGGCTCTCCAAGGAGCCCTTGATCGGCGGAGTCAGCAACATCGAATATGGCTGGAGCGACGCCGTCATCAACAGCGCGCTGATCGACGCCAACCGGGCGACTCCGCCATCGTCCTCGGGCGCTCGCCCAAGCATCCAGAGCTCCATCCGCAGCTCCATCGACCAGCAGGGTGGCGTGCGGCCGCGTCTCCCCGCCGACCGGGTGCACATCAGCGACTGGGCGCCCCCTCAACAGAGCATGATGGCGTCCACGCTGACGGAAGACGACCAGCTCAAGGCCCTCCAAGCGTACGTCCGCAAGGTCGAAGAGGAGCTGCAGCGCCACAACGAGCTGCGATCGGCCATGGTCCTGGCCTTCTCACCGCGACACCCCAACGGGGTCAAGGCGATGGCCAACTGGGAGCGGAAATCCGCCTACTTGCTGCGGGAGATTGTCAAGTTCCGCACCTATATCGACTCCCTCCAGGGAGCGATTGACGCCAAAAATAAGATCTACGCTTCTCGCGAGGAGCCCGCGGAGCCTGTTCCATCATGAGGGTCCCCGGGAGTATCTTTCGGGTAATGTGAGAGATGGTCCTTTCTTTCTTTTTTTGGGTTCATCCAGCTACCCTTTGTTCCTATGTACATTTTTTCTTCCCTCTCTTGACTTATTTCCCTTTTTCTTCTTTCTTCTTTCTTTTTTTCTTCTTCAGACCGGGTCTAGAGGATGTATACGAAACGGGATGACTCTTTGCTTTCTTGTATCTTCTTCTTCGTCTTTCTTTACTTCTTCGTGGCTTCTATATTACCTTGGGATTATTGTGACGCGGCATTTACTATGGGAAAGCGATGAGCGGTTTTAGTCTTTTAATCTTCCCTATATATCCTGTTCTTGTCTTTATTGTTATGGTATTCAACTCCTTGGACCCTTAAAAGATATAATTAAATATATCCGTTGTGCATGATATAGAGTTCCATTGGGCTGTGACCTTGTGAGGTGTCAGTCACCTGATTGGTCGTGGCTGTAAACAAATAAGGCACCCAGGCAGGCACGAGTAAACAGATCATCTCCATCCCAACTTCACTTTCACTTCACTTTCTCTTCTCTTTCACCTCACTTCCACTTCTCTTTCTCTTTGCTTCCACTTCATTTCCACTCTTCTCTTCCTCCTTTCTCTCCTTTGATCCTTCTCCCCTTTCTCATGATTGGTGTTTCAGGCATTTCTTAAAATGGATCATCTGAAATGACTGAGTGAATGAATGAAGATAGCTTCCGTCCCGTAGTAGTGGTCTATACTCTGTCTGGTAAGCCAATACCCACTTTTATGGTTTCAAAATGTTGTCTTGTTCAGTTCTAGTGTGCTCATCCAAACCCCCCCAATCCAGCCGCTTCACCATTCAGATCTCATGATTTCCGGCAAGTGGGGACAACAAACATCTGTGTGCCCAGACACCGTCCGTCACCATGTCGACCATCACTTCCTCCGCCGCCCATCCGCCGTCTCCTCCCACCAACCACTCCCTGTCTGCGATCGATCCCGCGCTTTCGGTGCGCTCTACGTCCCCATACTTGACCCCTGACCATTTGGATTTGGATAGCGAACTGTCGCCCTTGGAGGACGAGTTCTGCGACCCGGTCGATTACATGGGGGAGGAAGACGCGCGGGGAGATTATCTCCCCCCGACGACAACACACGGCACTACCGCCGCTACCACTACTGCGACCGCCGACTTCCCGGCTCAAAGTCACTACCGTTTCTCACCCAACCCGACGCCGGACACGGATTACGATGACCACCGAGCATCTGCGACGGACCAATTCCCTGCCGACGACTCAAATACCTCGCTCAATCTTCCCCCGTTACCCGACAATGATGACAGCAGCCTCCTACCCGCGTCCGAGGATGGCGACTACGAGCGCCCGGATAACCAGACTTACCTAGAGGAAAAAGAGATGCGGAGGAAGCTGATGGATATGGAGTCTAGTTTCCTTCCCGAACCCTCAACAATCGAAGTCGCCGGCGCCGATTCGACGACCGGCACGGACGATACTTATCTGTTCGGGGTGCCCGGCGAGGCCGCCGCAGGGACCGCCTCGCGAGACGATGCTTCGACGTCGTTTGTCACTCCGGACGAGTCGAGTTACGATGTTACCTCGAATAACGACGGTGTTCCCATTCCCCAGACCCCCGACCTGTATTCCGGAAAGGACCCGATGGCGGACATGGATGCGACGCCAGCGGCTCATCCGGAGCGACACGATGACACCACGATGCTCGAGAATGTACCGTCTTCACCGATGGCCCAGGCAGCGGCTCGAACCGGGGGGCGCGTTCCATCGATTGTGTCACAAGATCTCCACGACACCAGCCAGCATTCTTACGGCGACTCGACCGACAGATCAACCGTCTTAGACGCGGATCAGTCGCTCCAATCTGTACATCAGCGGGTTCGCAGCTCGGCGCGGAGCCCCTCGCCCGGGCAATCGCGATTGTTCAGCGACAACAGCAGTGTCACTGACGGGGCAGACGCGGCCTCGCGCGCGAGCAGTCGAAGGAGCAATAGGCCTAAATATCTGACCAGTCGGCAGTCGGTCCATCGCTTTTCTTATTCGTCGATGACAAGCGGCCACACCGAGGTGACCAACAGCGATGCTACTCTAGGGGCCGACTACACTCTTCAGTCCGGTGGCGCGACGCCCGGAACGGGCGATCCTACCCAGCATGAAAAGCTAGCCCGATCGATCAGCCTCGGGAGTATGGCGTCAGGGATCTCGGGCTATAGCGAAGAAAATCCCTTCGAGAAGAGGAGCTCGAACGGGCAGCCGGTGGATGGTGGCCTGCACACCCTGGATGAAGAAAAGACCCCTTCCCACTCCCGTCCGGCAACGTCCCAGCAGGACCCACCGCCGCCCACTTCTTACGATGAGCTTTCAGGTCCGATGACGCCCAAGGCGAAACCTCAAGATAATACCTTCCCCACCGATACGGTCCTTGCCGAGCGCGTCAAAGACGTCCAAGTTCCCAGTACATTTGTCAAACAGTTCCGGGAGGACTTTGGAGCTCGTGGGTCATCTCCGGACAAACGCGCGGGAGCTACACCGGCCTTTGCCAGAAGCGGCCGCACCATGACCCTGAAAGAGCAGAGCAGTACCATCGATCGGCTTTCGAAGGAGAATTTCGATCTGAAGATGCGGATCCACTTCCTCAACGAGGCGCTGAATCGCCGGTCCGAAGAGGGCATCAAGGAGATGATCTCGGAGAATGTCGAATTGAAGTCCGACAAGTTGAAGCTGCAGAAAGACTCGCAAAGCCTGAAGAGGAAGATTCGCGACTTGGAAAAGCAGCTCAAGGACCAGCAGTCGGACAAGGATTCCATGGTCAACCATGATCCGGAGGGCGGTGCCTCGGACGAGGATGAGCGCGATCCGGCCCAGGACGAAGAGATGCTCTACCTCCGGGAGAGGGTAGAGACGTATGAGCTCGAAATCGAAAGACTCCGATACGAGAGCCTCGCCCGGGAGACCGAGAAACGACGGTTGGCCGAGATCGTGAAATCTCTGAGTGATGGACGACCCATGAGCTCAGACGCGGGAGCGAGAGAGGAGAGGGTGAGTCAATCTGATAATGTATCGTGGTTCTGTGCTGATAAATTTCCGAACAGGACATGTGGAAGGACATGCTGGATGCGGAAGCGGCGGCTCGTGAACAGGCCGAGGAGGAGAACAAGAGACTGCGCGACGAAGCCCTTCGCCTGAGAAGCGAAATGAGCTATGCCGTGGTTCCCGCACGGACAGGACCGCGTGACCGGGTGGGTTCGTTGAACTCGTTCTCGGGCATGTCCGACAAGGAGATTTACCGCCACACGACTACTGGTAGTTCCTCTAGCAGTACGCTGGTCATGGAGCTGGAGCTTCTGAAGCAGGAAAATGCGGAGTTGAGAAAGGAGGTCAGCGCCCAGACGTCCATGCTGACGTCCCGCAATCGCGAGAAGGAACGCCTCTACCAAGAAATCGAAGAGATGAAACTTGGCCAGCGCCGCGATGGAACTCGGTCGATCGCTGACGATAGCATCTTCGACCGTTCGGCGTCCCGCGCCCACGGGCGACCATCTTCCCGTGACAGCGACGGGACGGGCCCAACGGCAAACGACGAGGCCGATCGCGAAGATCTCGAGATGCGGAACGGCCAGCTGCGTGATCAGATCTCCAATCTGAAGTTGGAAAACCAAGATGTTCGCACGCAGCTGGACGATTACATGAAAGCTTACGAGAGCCTTGACAACCAATACCAGGAAGATGTGGACCATGCCAACGAAGAGATACAGGGTTTACAGCAGGAGCGCGACCAGGCGTTGCAAATGGCCGAGGAACGTGATGCAGCGTTCCAGGACCTACGAGCTGAAGCGCAGGACGAGTTGGATGCAATCGGTGAGGAGTTAGATCAAAAGGTCGAAGACTGTCAGCGACTGGAAGAGGAACTCAGAAACCAGGACGAGAACCTCCAAGCCTTGCAAGCGGAGATGCGCGCTGCCAGCGAAGGCATTCTCCGGCTCGAAGAGGATGCACAGAACAACCTCCACCGGTACCACGCGGTGCAACAGGAACTGGAAGATAGTAACCGGGAGATGGAATCGTTAGAGAAGGATCTCTACGAGGCGAACACCAAGGTCCAGCGACTGACCGTGCAGATCGAGTCGAGCCAGAATGAGATTGCTTTCCTTCGGGAAGAGCAAGACGGCGACAAGATCAAGATTGGCGATCTCGAGTCCGAACTCAAGACATACCAGGTGGCCCTGCGGAGTGAGAAGGACAAGACCCGGGAGCTGGAGGATCGCCTCGCCGAGGAACGGCACCAGCGGGAGGTCGTCGGAAGCAAGGAGAAACAAGAGGTGCAGCGCATTGTCAACGAACTGAATCGCGAATCTACTGCGGCCAAGGAGGAAGTGCGGAAGCTTCGGAAGAGCCTATCGGCTCAGGAGATCGAAACGGCCACATGGAGGGACCGACTTATGGACTTGGAGAATAACCTTCGAGAGACGCTGGGCGACCTGACCGGCAGTCGATCCGGCCTGATCTCCAACATCATGAAATTGCAGAAGGAACTCGAGTCGACAGCCTTGGAGCTGGAGAGCATTCGCTCCAAGTTGGGCGAGAAGGAGTCCCTGTTGCGCAACCGTGATGCACTGCTCGAAAGCCACGGGCTGGAGTCCCAGAAGCTGGCCGAGCTGCTGGAACGCGAACGGCACGGAAGGCGGGCCGACAAGCAGTCTTTTGAACAGGCGCTCAAGTCTCATCAACACGCCTCCCGGACCATCACACAGAACAACTCGCGCATCTCGGAGCTCGAGAGCGCCCGCAGCCAGGACCGCAAGCGGTTCACTGGCCTGGAGCAGCAGTTCCGGGACCAGCTGAACGAAAGGAACACGATGCTTTTGGATCTGTGGAAGCGGCTCTCGGCCATGTGCGGGCCCGACTGGACGCACTCGAACAGTCTGATCAACGGCAACCTTCCTAGTCAGGAAGTCATTGGTAACATTCTCTTCTGGCCCGGCTTCCGGCGCAATCTGCTGCTGGCAGTCAAGATGGTGGAGAACGTCATCTCTGGATTCAAGAACCGCATCAAAGGCGTCGAGCGGGACCTGACGAAGCAATACCAGACCGTGGAGCATTCATACAGCCTCCGGATCAAGAAGCTTGACCGCCTGGAGGAGTCGATGCTGAACATGCGCGCCCAGCACCACGCTTGGAGCCAATCCGGCATCTCCCCGGAGATCTCCAAGCTGCGGGGGGAGAACCGGTTACTGAAGGCGGAGCTCAACCTCGTGCAGTCGCACTCCCGAAGCCGGGGACCGGCCACCGCGGCAGCTGTAGCCGCCACGACGGGGTCGCCGCGCACTGGCATGGAATCTGGGGGGAGCGCCGAGCGAGCCTCCCTAGTACGGCACCATTCCATGGCCGAGCGATCCACCGAGACAGAAGGGCCACGACCGGACCGGGGCCTCGTCCGCAGTTCCACCTCGGGAATCCCACAACCATCGCACGTCTCGTCCACAACAACCACCGCAGAAGGACCAGGGTCCATGGTTCACGGCACACGCGCCCGCTCCGGCCCAGTTCCAGGCGAGACCGGGAACAACGAGAAATGGGTGCAGCGACTACACGAGCTGGAGAAACGGCTCAAAGCAGAGCGCGAAGCGCGACTATTAGACCGCAACGGCGCGCGGAAGCGACTCGAAGAACGAGACGCCGAGAACCAGCGCCTCCGGGCACAGCTGGAGCGACAGCGGTTGCGCAAGGAGATATCCAACGAGGGGTCAGATGACAAAATGGGGCGCATACAGGGACCTCCTAATTCTACCTCTAATGTGGGACGTCATCGCGACGAAGAGCCAAGCTCGAGCGAGGGGGAGGGGATCTATGTTGATATTGAGGTTTAAACACAACAATAGGGGCGTTAAAGAATAGCGGTGTCTCTTGTCTTCTCTTCTGTTATCTTCTTTTGGTTTGATTTTCTCCCGGGATAATATGTCTGGATGGATGGGTCTGGCGTGAGGATTGATTGATGGATGGATGGATACTTGTATCTATATATACCCTTGGGTTTATGGCTTGCCTGCTTTGCCTATTATCGACTCTTTTTGGGCTTCTTCTTTTTCTCCTTCCTCTTTTTCTAGGCTGGAGTTTTGATAAACGGAGTTGTAATGGATACGTACATACCTACGGAATGTATGTTCGTCTTCGTGTGAATTACTATAGTACATACAGTAGGCCAAAGTGTGCTAGCAATGCATTTTCATTGATAGAAACAATACTCTACATTCATCACGTATGTACACACCTCCTAACCCCTCATTCAATGAACATTCTTCACATTCTCATTTTCATTCCCCATCAGAGAAGAAAAAAAAAAAAAAAAAAGAAAATAAGAAGAAAAAGAAGAAGAATCACCGCAACGAAACCTTCAACGAAAAGTCTACAATGCCCGTCCCCTGATGAATCGAACTCGTCGACAAGATATCCACATCCGGACAAGCATACGCCGCCGCATTGGACTCATTCAACCCCCCGCTAACTTCTATCAGGAAGGCCCTAGAAGAACCAGGCTGGCGCCATCTCTCCTTCAGCTGGCGCGCAGCGTCGCGGACGCCCTCCGGGGAGAAATTATCCAGCATGATGACGTCTGCACCGGCGCCTATCGCAGCGTTTGCTTCGTCGATGCTCCGACACTCGACTTCTACCTTTGTGGAGAAGCCGCCGACGGATTTGGCGGCTTGGACGGCTTGGGGGATAGCTGCTGCTATAGCAGTTTCGTCGCCGTCTTTAGAACCGGTGGTTGAGGCACCAGAGGACGCATTGTTAGCACACGCCCAAACGTGATTATCCTTCAGCATCGTCATCGAGCTGAGATCATGGCGGTGGGGATCCGCGCCTCCAACGAGGATACCGTATTTCTCGACGACGCGGAACCCGGGGGTTGTCTTGCGGGTTCCCGCTAGGGTGCCGGTCCAGCCGTGGGCGCGGAGGGCGGATACCAGGGTGGAGGACTTGGTGGCTATGCCGGAGCAGCGGGCGAGGATGTTGAGGGCGACGCGCTCGCCGAGGAGGATTTTGCGGATGGGGCCGCGGACGGTGGCGCAGGTTGTTATTTGGGTGGGGGGGAGGGGGTGGCCTTCTTTGATGTGCCATTCGACTCTTTTATCTCTTATTAGGCTTCTTTCTTCTATGAAGAATGGGGGGGGGGGGGAGGCTTGCTTACGTGCAACCAAGCTGCGAAAACACCTCGTCGAAGAACGGAATTCCCGCTACGATGCCCTACATACTTTCATTAGTCACATCAGATATATAGATAGAGGTCAATAGAGAAAAGGAAATACCTCCGATTTCCCCAACAACCGCGCCTCACTATCCGAATCCCCCACGACGAACCCGCCATAGTCGAAACTGGGACAGTCTTCTTCGAGCCAGGTGGTGATGAGCCGTTTGTAGGTTGGGGGGAGGAGGTGGCGGAGGTCTCCGTGGGAGGCGGCCATGATGTTTATCTATTTATCTGTCTGAGGGATCGAGGGGTAGAGAGGAATGGAGGAAGAGGAATGAGGAATGAAGAGGGGAATGGGATCGAGATCGGGATGCCCCACGCGGGGTTATCCGGGGCGACACGTGATACCGTCACTATCCTTATCGTGAAGCAGGGGCTAGTCCTACTTGGGTCTATGGCATGACTATATTGATTGGAATGTATAGGTATGGAATGAGGTAGGTTGTTCCGGTGGTATATACTATTCTACGATTCCACCTGACTCGAGATATACGTGAACTAGTTCGATCATAGATGTCATAAGCTACTATCTAAGTAAGTCCTTTTATTATCTCGATGAGATCACGCCCGCCACGCCTTGTACACAATGGTACTACCGTAAGTCTCCCCCTTCCGCAGCACGACCATCCCCCGCCACTCCGGCTCGTTAATCGCGTTCACGAACCGACTGGGTTCAACGCAGAAGCCAGAGAACGGCCCCCGGGCCGGGTGGCCGTCGACGGCGGGGACATCGGTGCCGGCACCGGTGTAGAACTGGAAGGCGGGCTCGGTGCTGTGCACCTGCAGGTGGATGTGCGAGTCCGGATGCTCGAACTCAGCCAGGAGGCGCAGCGGCCGGGAGCGCGTATCCAGCGGGATGGCGGCGACGTCCTTGTCCATGATGAAGACGTCGTCGAAGGCGGGGTGGTCGGGCCCGATGGGGAAAGGGTCGGTGACGCTGCGGGGGAAGGGCTCGATGGTGCCGGTGGGGATGCCGGTCTTGTCGAGGGGGCAGTAGTCCGGGGTGACGAGGCGGGCGGTGGTGCCGGCGACGGTGGGGGCGCCGGAGAGGTTGAAGTAGCTGTGGTTGGTCAGGTTGACGACGGTCTCGGTGCAGCCGTCGTCGTTGCCGTCGTCGACGAGCTCGGCCTCGTACTCGATGGTGAGGACGGTGCGGGTGGCGCCCTCGACGGACTCTTCGCTGCGGGTGTAGAAGACCTTGAAGTCGACGGTGCCGGGGAAGCCGGCCTCGAGGTGCGGGGACCGGTAGGTGTAGAGGAGGGCGTCGTGGCCGTGGCGGCGCACCCAGGTGGGGCCCTCGAAGTCGCGACGACCCCAGCCGCGACTGCCGCCGTGGAGGGCGTTGGGGGCGTCGTTGGTCTCGAGCTCGTAGCTGCGACCGTTGAGGTTCTGGATGACGCCGTTCTTGATGCGGTTGGCGACGCGACCGATGGTGGCACCGAACCAGGGGGCGTTGTGGGGGGGATAGAGGTCTTTGTTGGCGAACCCGAGGACGAGGTTCTGGCCGTCGACGTGGAGTTCCTGGATGATGGCACCAAGATTGGTGAATTTGACAGCGTTGGGGTCCATGATGGATGTATGTCTGAAGAGTGTAGGAGAGAGGAGAGAGGATTGAGGGGAGGTGGGGAGAAAGGTGGAGGGGAGGAACGGAGCTTTAAGACCCCGCAATGCGGGAGGGTAAGTGGGTGGTTTAGGCTAATTGATCAACTGGATAGAACAGAGCACAGGCTGAATTGTCCGTGGAGGACGGAGAAATTCGAGATGTGGAGGTGTTTCATCGTGTAGATTGAGCCGGGTTGTCTTGACAGAGGGGGTGATGTGTAATGTGCCTGAGGCAGTATGTAGTAACTGGTATAAAATGTAGAGTACGAATCGAGCAGTCTAGAACGGTAGAATCAAGTATAGAAATCGAGTGAATCATCCTACCGGGAGAGCAGTCAATCCCGAACAAACGCCGAAAACAACTCGGCATCTCGGCATCGGAGAGTTTTGCAGCCGGTTCAGGCAAAATAAATACAATATTATATAACAAGGAACAGTGGGTCTTACTGTGGAGCGGAGGTTTTTCTTCCTGTTTCTTACTTGAATGGATTTTATTTTACCATGTATCTGCTATTTATTTCTTCCATGAGATGGCATTGATGGTCATGATAAATATATAATTATAATGATCATCATTATAACGATTGATCTGTTAAGAGTCAAGCGAATGATGACGTCTTCCACCTGATTAGTCACCCGTCGTATCAACCAACGTCACCCTGACATCGCAGTGAGGACATGATGAGATGGTAGTGTACACTCCATAGAAATAATCCAAGTTGTAATCGAGAATCAAGGTAACCTGATATTGAAACAATCCCCAACGCCAGATGGTTGCAACGCCGTCATACTCCATTAATCCAATTACCCCAATTACCCCCCAATGGCCCGCATCGTAGAATCTAGCAAGTAAAAAAACAAAGGTAGGATAGACTTTAAGAAGTCACTTCCCGCGGGTTGAGATACTGATTGATGACCTCGTCGCTGCCGTCCAGGTAGGTGCAAGGCATCCCCGCCGATCGACCGAATATCGGCGACGACATCGGATCCTCAAATGTGAAATTCGTGTAGTCCGCCGTCCCCATCATGTCCATCTCGTCCAACGACCCCAACCCGGGGGGCCAGGTCTGTAAAGCGAGTGGGTTCACTACCCCGGCCATCGCCATCGGCCCACCAAAAGGAGAAGGATTTAACGGGTGCTGCTGCGGCTGCGGCTGCGGCTGCGGCTGTTGCTGTTGCGGTTGCCGGGGATTGCCCGAGGGAGGGGAGGAGATACTGCTGCTGCCGCCCGAAGGGTGGGGAGCTAAACGCGGTTCGGTCTTGATCCTCGGGGCCCGCGACGGGCTAAAGGTCGGGGGCGTCGGGGGCATATGGGATCGTGCGAATGGGTCGTTGAAGCGCGGGGGGATCTCGGGGGACTGGGCACTGTCGGGGCTGCTGGCGGACGAGACCTGCCGTTGCATGCTGCCGTGCTGTTGGAGGCACTCGCGCTGCATGATCTCGGTGTTCTCTTCGAAGCGCTCCCCATTGCCGCAGTCTAGGGCGCGGAGTCGGGTGAGGAGGTCGTGGGTGAGGGGATGTCCGTTGGGTTCGCATCTCAGCGGTTCTCCCGGCCAGCCTTCCCCTCGACAGGCCCGGCGATAGAGCTCTTGGAGGCCGCGGACCAGCCATTGCTGTTGTTGTTCGAGCATTTCCACGTAACTGTATTGTCAGTATTTCTATCAAGATATACATATACATGGATAGGTAGATGCTCACCCCTTGGGATACACCTTATCGTGCGCCTTTTTCCTCTCTCCAAACACGCAGATGGCATTGTCGGCTCGACATCGACTGCAGGGGTTGGTGCCGTCACACTACCAGGTCAGTGGATGGAGGGGTGATGCTGATACCAAGAGCGCATACCTTGGATTTCTTCAAACGACAGCGATCACAGGCCTTGCAGACCCTTTTGCGGATATTGCCATCTGAATTGGAATGATCCGAGGTGGGCGACGACTGACGAGCCTTCAAGGGGGACATGGCGCGCGTAAGGGTGGGGAGAAGAAGGAGGAAGGAAAGGAGGGATCCAGGGCGAGGTATAGTATAGGAGAATCCAGAGGAGTAGAAAAGGAAAGCGTTGATGGGGAACCAAGGAATGGGATGAGGTCAATCAAGCGCATCGATCAGTCACCACTTTGTTCCAGACCTGGTTCTTTCTTTCTTTTATTTTATTATTTTCCCTTTTTATTTTTTAAAGATTGATTTCTTTTATCCTGTGGATTCACAACTGATCTTTCTTTCCTGTTGGTCCTGTTGTTGGTTTCCTTTTCGTTCCCAGTTGATTTCTGGATATTTGATTTCTTGTTGAGGATCTGTCCTGGTCTGGCCTGGTTTGTCCTGGACTGCCCTGATTGCGTCGAAGTCTATCAAACGCAGATGTCGATCAATCATACGTCAGTCGATCGATGATCAGGATATAGATGGTGGTTATGTAATCGAGGAGTAACCACTGGTGAGGTTGCAGTGGACTTGGTTGGAGGAACAGTAATTTGGAGTCGACCTGGACTGGAGATGGAAATGGAGGAATGGCAGGTTAAGTAGGATTGCCGATCTTGATCTTCTAATATAATATACTTCTCTTATGATTATAATCATTAGTATGACCGTTAAATGACTCAGATTGATAATCATGAAGAAATCTGATTCTGGGCATGGACGATGGACGGTAATATTACCTGTATCCTGTATACACCTCAGTATCATGTCGAGGTATTCATACCTTACCTTACTTTATTAATGTAATGTATATACATATTATCTGCTTTTATATTATATATTCGATCACTAATTATTGATCTTATAATTTAAATCTATCTAGATATCGGATACAATGTATGGATGTATCGAATGGATAATCGAGATAATACTGAATACACGGAACTCGGCGCCAACCTCAACCCCGAGCATTCTCCATCCTTAGGTAACTGTACTGAGTATATTTCCCAATCCAGCAGTCCATCTATCCGATGGAGTATCCCTTGTATCCAACAGTATATCCAACTGAGGTATATCCAGGGTTCTAACTCGTACTCATGTTTATCCAATGACTACACAGGATACAAACTGACAATATCAGCCTAGTAACAGACAAAGAAATGCTAGATATACAAATATTCAATGTCAAGAAATGTCTAGAGTATGTGGATAAGGTATCCGTTGCATAAAAAACAGAACGGAAGCCGGCACTGGTGACCTCCGTCTCGGCATGATTGTGCCGGATGAAAAGAATCTTGGCGACCGGAGGGTCTAGTCTTTTTGGTCTTTTTACTGACTTCACTGAAGGAACTACTTACTACCTACTAACCTCTCTTGGTCTAATACTTCCTTTCTGAGGTAGTTCGAGAACTACTCTCCACTCGGCCTGTCAATGCCGATTGATCAATGATTTCGGATTGATCTTCTAACCAAGGATGATAACTAAGATACAGTCAGTCACCTGATAGTATGGCTCAACTCTATACAACATTCCAACTTCCTAGACTTCCATATAACTTTGGGGGCTCATTCCGGGCCTATCATCTGCTCCGCCCGTGCGTTCTCTCATGCTTCTGGTCAAACCAGGGCATTAGTTGGATCTAACCGGTAGAATTGACACTCACACGACAACCAAACGCATCACCCAAATCTTCACACAGCTTTCCCCTCTTTCCCTCTCTCAGACGAAGAGGTTTTAAAAGTCCGTCAGCCTTTGAGATCACCGACCAGGGCTCGATCGTCTCAGAATCCGACGACATGTCCAGCCACAAGCTTATCTGCGTGACGGCTGTTCCTGAAAGCTTGGACGGAACCGCCACTAGATGGTTCTATATCCCGGTTTGATGATCGCTTTCCACGTCAAGATTGCTTCATCGGATTTCTTCTGGATTTGCCCTATTCATGGATACTTCCCGGATCTCAGGTCGGAAACAGTGAACGCCGGAAAAGTCCATCTGGTCGCGTAGATATCAACTTGTACAGCTCCGAAATACAGTCTACCTTTGGATGTCAGATTCAGAGTATACATATATACATATGTATAGAAAGGGTATATTGGGTATATCATATACAAGAAAAGACACTCGACATGGCCCTACTGGATCATCGACGCAACCCCCTCCAGCCTCTCCAGAACCTCCCCTTCGACCCGTCCTTGTCCCCCCCCTCTCGTGCCCGTCCCCTCCACGCTCCACACAGACACACGGATATCGACCGACGCCCTCGCGGTTTGCTCGTTGCGGCCTCCTGCTGTGGTGAGGTACTCAAGCTTGGCACGCCCGTTGTTTCTTCTTTCAGTGGGGGAGTCGGGATGGTGGTCTGCTGGTAATGCACCCGACGAGCCTCGACAACCCGACGAACCAAGTCTGCAACAACACGCAGTTAGAGACAAGCTTAGACACCGCACCTTGGGATAGATAACATACGGGCAAACGTTTCCTCGATATTCACCATCTCCCGCGCACTCGTCTCCATGAACCCGCACCCATGTCGTCGCGCGTACTCCAGTCCGTCGCGCGCGCCCACCGCCCGGCCCTGCTTCAGGTCGCACTTGTTGCCCGCCACGATCTTGACCGGCGGTGGCATCCCCACGTCGACTCCCTGTGCGCTAGGGCCTAGTTCGCGGAGGAGTCGTTCGTTGTCCTCCTCCCGCTGGTCGGCCTCCATGTCGATCAGCTCCATGAAATAGTCCAGCGCCCCCAGGCTGTCCGGGTTGGTGATGTCGTAGACGAGGAGGAAGGCGTCCGATTTCAATGTCGATGTCGTCCATAACCCGCGGTATTCCTCTTGGCCGGCGGTGTCGGTGATCGATAGGAAGTACGGGAGGCCGTCGATCGTTCGGGTGACCGAGTATGAGTCCTCTACGGGAATCAATAATCAAACATCGGGGGTTCTCCAGGGGTAGGATCAATACCGATGGTCGGGTCATATCTGTTACCCATCCATCATATACGTCAGCGCTGATGATTAGTCGGGACAGGGGAGACTGCTCCGTACTCATGAATCCATTGGCTGCGCACCAAACGCAGGGTGATGGATGATTTTCCTAGACGGCGATCGATCAGAAGGCACTTCTAGGTCAAACTCAAGAACAGTCCTACCGCATCCTCCATCTCCACAGATAGTGATGGAGATCTTGTCCGAACTGTTGGCCATGTCGTCGCGTGTTGAGGGGCCGTCTAAGGGGCTCGAACGAACAAGGATGATGAGATGATCGGCACAGATATTCGAGACGCGATTAGATCAGGAGGTGGCGTTGGTGAGAACGGATGGTGGAGATCATGGCTGCAGCATTCTTTTCTTTTTCTTTCCTTTAATTTCTTATCCTTCTTTTCTTTGTGGTCGGAAGAATTCTGTCAGTTGCAGAGAGAAGAAAGGGGAGGAAACAAGCATGCGGAAATGGATCCACCAGGCCCCCTGGGAGTGGAGAGAGGGATTGACATGACTCGTGTTCCTCGAACCGCAGTGGTCCGGGTGTCTCTATCAAAATTCCGATCGGGTTGAGATCTCATTCTTTGTTCATGACTGGTGAGGAGAAGAGATTCGACCAGATATGCAGAGGTCTCTCGATGTCACGTGAATACTGCTTATCTTCTCTTCTTCTTCATCTTCTACTCCGACTCCACCTCCACCTCCTCCACTCCAACTATCCTATCCGATATCCTTCGACGACTCCACTCCAATCGTCTTCCCTCCCATCAATTGATGCATCACAATCCTCTTGTTCCCCCACTTGACATATCCACATACGTTGGGAAATGTCCATCCACCTGGTCTCATTGGCAGTGCCAACTTTTTCCTACCCACCTCCACTTCCCACACTCGTGTCCACTGTCAACTGTCCACTGCAAGCGCAGTGGCCTTCCATTTTTCCCTCATCCTAACGGGCAATCTGGTCGGAAACATCATCACTTGATGTCGGAGATTTAATTCTCGATAGTCCCTGAACCCAACCCACACTAACCACTAACACGCGTGGAGAGAGTTTCTGCCTCCATGCCGAAATAAATCCATCGCGTGAGAGCGATTGGTACAGCCTGGGAATGGCCCATCACGGGATGGAAGGCTTCGAGGATGAATTCAACCCCGATTTTTATTCCACGCCCATATCCGATCCGTCGTCCAATGAGCATCATGTTCCCATGGCTTCTCCCTATGTCGGCCCGGAGGACTACGCCTTTCAGTTCGCGAGGCCAGATATGCTCACCCCGTCTATGTACAACCCCCTGCAGTCGACAGGAACGTCAGCCTACGAGCCCGGTTTTGACGATCGCCTATTGACCGCCACAATGGCGGGTCATGCCACCTCCAGGCCCATGGCCTTGGACGCGAATCATGTCTTTGCGCCCGCCTACGAGCCCTGGCAGATGCAGCCGGGTTTGGTACCTCCGGATCTCTCCTGGGCGCCTCAAAATTGGGAGGACGTGTCCTACCCCATGCCACAAGGGTTGACTCCGGGTCCGCCCGTCTTCCCCCAGTATGCAGCCTCGCAGGAGGCCACCCGCAGCGGCCCGTCGAGACCTCCGGCGAGCCGGGCTGCGGGCGCCGCCACGTCCCATCGGCTGATTCGACCGAAGCGCTCGTCGCCAGTGAAGGGTGGGTGAATTCCATCCCAGGGATGCCCTGTATGCTTCCTCTCGTGACGTGGAGTCAGACTGACGCTGTCTGCCAAGGGTCCTTGCCGTCGCGTGCAAAACCGACCGCCAGCGAGATGACCACCCCCTACGCCAACATCTACTCCCATACTGGCTTTGACATCATGGGGGTCCTCGTAGGTGGTTCTCTTCCCTCCTCCACTCCAAACGCGCGCTAACCCGCTGACCAGGCCGAAGTTGTTTCACGGCCGGATCCCAAGGTCGACATCGGGGCGGTCGACTTGTCGTGCGCCTTCGTGCTCTGCGATATTCTGGCGGAGGATCACCCCATCGTGTACGTCTCGGAAGCCTTTGAGCGTCTGACCGGCTATACGGAGGCGGAGATCGTGGGTCAGAATTGCCGGTTCCTGCAGAGCCCCGGCGGCGTCGTCCGGCGGGGCATGGAGCGCAAATTTGTCGACCCGCACACGGTCTTCCAGCTGCGCACGACCATCGAAGAGCGGACCGAGATCCAGGTATCGATCATCAACTACCGGAAAGGGGGCCAGCCCTTCATGAACCTGGTCACCATGATCCCGATCTGCTTGCACTCCGACGACTACCGGTTCTACGTCGGCTTCCAGGTTGATCTGGTCGAGAAGCCCGATGCGGTCACCCGACGGAATCCCAGTACGTGCTTTCCTCCTGGTGGCTACCCCCGATCTAACCGCGGGCTGCAGATGGCACATACATGATCAACTACCAGCGCAGCCAGCTGCCCCCCTACGTGGTTCCGCCGGCGGTGCTGTATCAGGCGCACCCGGATCTGATGACGCAGTTCGGCCCCGAGCAGGTCTCGACGATCTTGCGCAGCCTAGACACCCACGGCCCGGACTACCGCGGCTACTTGGACCGGGTCCTCGTCGAGAATGCGGACGACGTGATTCAGGTCCTGTCCTTCGAGAGCGAGCTCCTCTACCTCTCCCCGTCGTGCCGCCGGTGTCTGGCCTACGAGCCGGTCGAGCTAGTCGGTAAGACCCTGTCGATGCTATGTCACCCCAGTGACCTCGGCCCGGTCAGTCGCGAGCTATGGGCCCAGACCACGACAGACCCCATCAGCGTCGCCTACCGGGTCCGGAAGAAAGACAGCGGGTACGTGTGGTTTGAGAGCCGTGGGGCCTGGCATATCGGGCAGGGCCGGCGGCAGTTCATGGTGCTGGTGGGCCGGGTCCGACCGGTCTACCACCTGGAGCAGGTCGCGAAGCTCGGTGTGGGGGCGCTGTCGGAGACGGACATCTGGATCAAGCTCTCCGCGTCGGGCATCATCCTTTTCGCCTCGTCCAAGGTCCGACCCGTGCTAGGTCGCGTGCCAGACGACCTGGTGGGAAAGAGTCTCTCGGATCTAGTCGACGCGCCGCAGGAGACGCGCCGGGCGCTGGACGCCTGCTACCGTGGGCACGAGGCGCGCATGGGACACCGCATCCGCCACCAGAAGGGGCACCTCCTCGCGGCACAGACCACGCTCTTCCCGGGGGACGTCCCTGCTGGCGGGCGACCGTCGTTCCTAGTCGCCCAGATCCACTTCCCGACGACGGCGGCGGGAGATCCGACCACCTCCACCACTACCCAGGGCGATGCACCCCTGGAAGTCTCCCACCAAGATCCACAGCAATTGCTATCAAACAACCAGTACATGCCCACGGCCCGGGGCCAACCACTGCAATCACCCTTTAACGAACTCCACCCAACCCGCGGCTCGCACTGGCAATTCGAGCTCCGCGCCCTAGCCCAGCATAACCAGACCCTATCAGAGGAAGTCAACCGACTGCTCGCACGGCGAAAGAAGCGCAAGCGCCGCCAGAGCACCGTCCCAGTGGCAAAGAGCTGCGTCACTTGTCGCACGCGCCGCACGCCCGAGTGGCGGCGTGGACCGAGCGGGAATCGCGATCTGTGTAATAGTTGTGGGTTGCGGTGGGCGAAGCAGGTGCGTGTTGGGCAGGGTTCGGGGAGGGATTCGTAATACTGCGTGTAATTAACTTGCACTTGATGGTTTCGGTTTATGCTAGCTAGTAGTGGTTGAGGATGACTGTTTTGGTATAATATAATAAAAGAGACTTTTTGCCCTTGGTTCTATCGATCTGTCTGTCTGTCTTTATCTATCTACACTATTTGTTGGTTTATGAAAATATACCCAACACTGCAGTCCAAATATAGTACAACATAACAACCCCCCAAAGTACCATTTTCTTCAAAATGCGAAAGAACAGAAAAAAGAAAAAAAAAATAAGTCTATTCCTGACGCAACCACTTCTGCAACCACCTCCGCTCAGCACGCTCCGCCTCCCAGCCCGACAAATCCCCCGCGACATCGACACCACCGCGCTCGTCAACAGCGATAGACACCTCCGCGGCTTCAAGGGCCGCGACACCGCCACCCTCACGGATCAAGGCGTCATCGCGCGCGATGTACTCCGCATGACTAGTTAGGCGCGCACGGTAGCGCAGGAGGGAAACGATCGGTTCGGGGTGCGTATGCGATCTAGCGAGGCTGAGGGCTGCGCAGGCGCGGAGGATCTCAGACGCAGAAGCAGATGCGATCCAGGTGGGATTGGTGAATTCCCCTTGGAGGATGTGTAGCTCTGTATCGGAGCCCGGGGGGAGGGATGAGACGGATCCCGTGGTGGCAGCGCGGTGGGAGCGCAAGGCGGCGGACTTGCGGACGGCGCGGAGACGGCGCGATTTGGCGATCTGGGTCGGGATGCGGCATGTGAAGGGGGTGACTGCGTTGCCGAGAGCGAGGACGACGAGCGGGGTCATTTCGCCGCAGATGATGAGCATGATGGAGAAGGGGATCATGCGGCGGACGTCGTAGGCTGCGCGGTGGACGAGTTGGAAGTTTGCGCGGCTGGGGGTGTATTTGGTGGATTTGGAGGAGAAGGAGGAGGGGGGCGGAGAGGTGGGGAGGTAGGGGGGAGGTTGAGGGATTGGCGGATGGGGATGGAGGCGCGGTAGTTGTGGTAGACGTTTTTGAGGCCTGTTTTGTAGAAGGACAGGTATGCGCGGCCGAGGGTGATGAGGCGTTTGGCTTTGTCGGCTGCTGGGGCGGAGGAGTCTAGGGGGGCGGGGAGGGTGAGGTCTGCGGGGCGGGTGGAGGGAGGCGGGTTGACATCGTCTGGGAGGGGGTGGGATGCGATTGATGAGGTGGAGGGGACTGTTGAGGAGGTGGGCTGCGCGGAGGATGGAGGTCGAGAGTGAGATTTGGGAGAGGAATGGGAGGAATATGGTCGGTAGAGGGGGGTGCTAGTGATGAAGGAGACTGCCGGAGGGGCGCGACGGAGGAGGGAGGAGGACAGCATGGTCAATGGATGGTGGTGGAGAGGAGATGAAGATGGAGAAGGCGAGATGAGATGAGATGAAGATGAAGCCAAAGTGAGGAATAGTGTTGGTGCCTGGATGGTAAGGCAACTATGAGGCAACTATAAGGCAGATATTAAGGCAACACAAGGCAAACATTAATGCAAACTTAATGCAAACCTAATGCAAACTTAATGCAACGATGAACAGTGCACAGCTGAGTCAGCACACACAATACATGACGTACATGATCGACGTCCACCGTCGATCATTCATTGCCCTCATCTTCATCTCATCTATCTCTCATCTCCACCATTCAATATCCACTCCAATCTATACAGTTCTTCAATACATTATTCAATCCAATAATCAACATGTCTCTCGACCTCAGCATTCCTACAGCCCTCATCCTAATCGACAACCAAGCAGCCTTCACGCACCCCACCTACTGGGGCAGCGCGCGGTCCAACCCCTCCTACGAGAAAAACCTGCAAGCCCTGCTGTCCGCCTTCCGGGCCGCAAAGCGGCGCTCCTCCAGCACGCCCTTGGAAATCATCCACGTCTTCCACTCGTCGCACACAGACGAGGAATCCCCGCTGCACCCGGCCCACCCAGGCGAGGGCATCCACCCACTGGAATTCGCCGCCCCGGCCACGGACGGCTCCGAGCTGGTGACGTGGAAGTCTGTGAGCTCGGGGTTTATTGGGACCGAGCTTGCGGATCATGTGCGGGAGAATGGCATCCGGCAGCTTGTGTTTGCGGGGTTGACGACTGATCATTGTGTGTCGACTACTGTGAGGATGGCGGCTAATCTTGGGGTCGTTAGTCGGGGGCCGGATGATCCGGGCCGCATTGTGCTTGTTTCTGATGCGACTGCTACGTGGGCGAAGGGCGGGTTTGATGCGGAGACTGTGCATGCTGTTTCGGTGGCGAGTTTGAAGGACGAGTTTGCGGATGTTTTTTCTACGGAGGAGGTTGTGAAGGCTTTGCAGAGTGCTACCTAGGGGAATCGAGGGGGTTATTCCATGGACAAGGAACGGAAAGGAGGGAAAAGGAATCAAAAAGGACAGACTAGTAACTATGGCGTGTTTTGACAATAGTTAGTATCCATAACTAATAATAGTAATAAATCACAAATCAACCTCAACAGCAATCACACTCTCCGAAATAAACCCAGACACAAACAGCCACGCCTTCTTCCCAGACTCAGCAGGAACCAACACCGCCGCACTAGCCGAGCGAAGGTTCGTCCCGTCATCCTCAAACAGCACACGCTGTTCCCAGGCGCTAGCCGATTCATTCCGACGCACCAGCCACACAATCACGCTCTCCTTACCCTCCGGATCATGCACGGTAGCAGGCAAGTCCGCAGCGCGGCGGAGTCCAGCCAGCACATAGCCACTGGCATCGTTGCCGGGGACACCCTTCGGATCCTTATAGTAGCTGGGGTTATCGATCGTGCTGTCGATAGGGATGGTCTCCTCGACGGTGATAGTGTGATTAGCCGATGAAGCACTCGCGAGGTACAACTCGCCGCCAATGGCGCTCGTGACGAGGATCTCATCGGGGGTGGCACCATGGCCCAGACCGTTGTTATTCTTTAGTCCTGTGAGCGCCGTGTGCGCGGTGACTTCATCTTCGGCATCCGCCGAAGAGGCAAGACTACCCAGCTGGACATGCACGGTACTAGTCCACCCGACATACGGCGCCAGGTCCTCGACATGACGGAGTAGGCCCTCGCGGTGCGCATGGTCGTTCGTGACGTAGAAGCTGTCCGGTGCGACGGCGTAGACATCGTTAGGCGTGGTGATGAGCGGGTGACGCACGGAGCGCACGAACCGCGCAGTCGAACTGCCCAGCACGTGGTGGAAGACCTCGATCTGCGAGCGGGCTTTGGGGAGGTCGGACTCGGGCGCGTAGGCCGGGTTGGGCAGGTGGTTCACGGCGAGGATGTAGACTGCGTTGGGATGGGAGGGGTCGGCGACGATGTCGAAGCCGTGGGTGATGAAGGGGCCGGGGAAGTTTTCGAACTGCAGCCGGGTGGATTTCATGGTCTGTCCCACCGTCCACTGTCAGTTACGAACCACCTTTACCAGATAGGTAGGTAGGTAGGTAGGTGGTAAAGATGGAGAGAGAGATACCTTCGGATCAATCAAATGAATCGACCCCTTCGTCTGCGCGTCTCCATTCATCGTCGCCAGAGGCGGGAACCACTCGAAACGCGGGAGAATGGAGTCCTCGCACGCGGCAAAGATCTTGCCCGAGGGTCCATGGTAGTGCAGGTCCTCGCACTGCATCGTGTCCTCGATGCGGTAGAAACCCTCGCCTTGGGCTCTGACGGGGCTGGTCAGAGGCCCGCGCGAGAAGCCTAGCACGGTGACATTGCGGGAGATGGGCGTGTAGAGGAGGGCTGCGAGAGCTGCTACTAGGAGGGAGAGGTAGCGGAGCATTTTCTTTTCTCTTCTCTTGTTTCTTCTTTGAATTGACTCTGTTTTGAAAGGAGTGGAAGGAAGCTTTTCCTCTGTGGGCGAGAAGGATTCTATTTAAGAATTCTTTTTTTCCCCCCACTAAAGCAGGCAGTGCGGGGAAGCTCAACGTTTGGATGATAAATTGATGGATCCCGTCCAAATACCGAGGTAACAGCCTGTTGGACGTGGTGGGGAAGAGAGTGGAGGATGTGGAGGAGGAGTGGAGAGGAGGCGAGGATATTGATTCGTCCATGTCGGACTTGCGGTTTCATTTATGGGTTGGTCCTTCCAGTGGTCTCATACGAGGCTGGATTTCAGCCTGGCTACTGCTTCTCTGGGAGCGATCGTCGCGTTGCTTTGATCCTTGATGGCTTCGGTATGACTCCGGAGGTTTACAATGGTTGCTCCCCTACTACTCCATCTCCCGATAGATAGAACAGAATAAATCATTCCAAATTTCCCCATCCGACTCAAGAATGGGTTGCTAGCACTGGGAGATTGGCCAATATCAAAACAAATTATTTCTTCCTCGCTTTCCAACTCCCGCAGTTCCGAATGTCAAAGCAGGCGTCATCAAAATAAGGAGTATTAGTGGGCGACAAAACCGAACAAGAAAAAGAAGAACGAAAAGGAAAAGTCATCATGGCTGGGTCGACCGATGATCCGATAACCCTTGATCACGCACTGGCCGATTTAGCATCCAGGTACTCCTGATCGCTGGCATCCAAGATATCGTATTCGTCGTCCGTCAGAAGGTCCGTCTCCGTGTCCTCATCCAGCGTCAAGCTCTCCACCTCCTCCAACACGTCCCGTTCCGAGGGCTGGGACGGGACGGTGGGAGCCGCCTCCGTCTCCGCGTGGGTGCTCGTCTCCGGGGACTCCATCTCCAACTTGGGGAAGATCATCTGGCTGCCGCTGCGCGCCTTGTCCGCCTCGACCGCCACGGGGATTTCCTCCTCACGCACCTGGATGTCACACCACAGGCGATGCCCGAACGGCAGGCCGTTGGGCAGCTTCAGGCGCCAGTACGAGATGGCCGTGCCCACGCGGCTGGGCGCCTTAAGGGTGACGGTGAACGTGGCGCTCTCACCGGGCGCCACCGGGGCTGTGAGCTTGTTGGTCTCCATAGCCGCCGACATCGACGACAGACTCATGGCATGACCCAGGTCGACGTTGAACATGGAATCGCCCCCGACGAAGCGGACGTCGGTGCCCGCGGGCCACGCGAGGGGACCGGAATTGCGCAGGGTCCAGGCCTGCTGGAACACCTGGTTGGGCGCCCTCGTGCTGCCGTCCAAAACCGTGTCGGCGACGAAGACCGCCTGGTAGTCAGTCTCCGGCGCAGTGATCTCCGGCGCCGGGAGTCGGGTCTCCACATCCATCGCATCAGAGACCGGCAGTACCGGCGATTCCGCCACCGCGGGGGCCGGTGCCGGTGCCGGGGTCGGGGCCTGGGTCGACGTCGACTGCTGGGGACGACTGGCCGGGGCGGCGGGCAGTGCACCCGGGGCGTTGTCGTGGACCGTGCTGACTGTGACGTTGCGCACGGGGGTCTTGAGCATGACCATGGGGTGGGTGCGGTTGTGCGAGTTGGACGGCAGGGCCTCACACTTGGCGCACAGATCGAGGTCGTAGCACACGGAGCACTTGTATCGGACGCCGGCGATGTAGTTCGCATACGGCTGGCCCTTGCACAGTGGGCCATCGCAGAAGATGCCGTAGTGGACCTCGTGGGACACGGGCGGCTCGGCGATCGTCTCGTAGACGGGGACAAAGCGGTGACCCCGATGGCTCTGCGCGGCGTTGGCGTGGCAGTCGGAGCAGTAGTCCCAGTCGGGGCACGTGAGGCACTTGTGGCGGACGCCCACGATGCGTTTCTCACAGCCGTCGCAGATGGCGGCGTGCTGGCGATGACGGCCGGGTTGGCACCGGGACAGCACCAAGTTCCGCAGACTGAATTGATGGTCACCAAGCAAGGTGAACGTGTGGGCCGGGTGGTGTCCGTGGGCATCTCTCAACAGACAGTTGATGCACAGATCATGGTCTTCACAGTCCTCACAGGAGACGAAATGGGATTCCTCTAGCTCTACTGTAGGTCAGCGACCTTGCCCGGAAGAAAACGGGGGCAACAGACGAGAGAGAGAGAGAGAGAGAGAAAAAGGGGGGAGTGCTTGAGGGGAAATCACGTACCCTTGACACACGAATTGCAGATGCGCTTAGCGGGCGGGTCGTTCATGGCGCCTGGGAACGAAGAAATCACCTGGGAAGAAGGCTCTTGCGGGGTGATCTCCGGCACGGACTTCTGCGAGCCGATGGTCTCGGTGGTGCTGTTGATGACAACGCCATCCTTGACGAATCGACGGATCAACCAATGGTCCTCATCGGGACAGGCGGCGCCGGACGTGACACAGGGCGGGCAGAGGTCGTAGTCGCCATCGAAACAGATGCTGCAGTGGTAATGCTCATCGGAGATGGAGCGACCGCAGGCGTTGCAGTCGATGAAATAATTGCCCGTGTCAGCTGAGTGGTGGCGGACTATCGGCACGGCCAGGCTATCCTGGCTCAGCACGAAGGCGCGCTGGTGGGACTGGGCCTGAGGCTGGAACTCGGCCTGAGGTTGGGACTCGGCCCGAGGTTGGGACTGATCCTGAGGCTGGGACTGATCCTGAGGCTCCGAGGAATGGGGAGTGGAGTCCTCCCAGACCAGGGCGGGGAGCTCAGGCACGAGGGAGGCCGAGTCGGCAGCGGTGGGGTTGGCCGGAGAGCTGACGGCAGGCGAGCCCAGAACGGTCTCGAGGTAGTTGCATCGAGGCGGGCTCTGGGGTTCGGGGACGTCCTCTTCCTCTTCCTCCGAGGGTGCAACGGTGGCCTTGATGCGCAGCTTCAATTTGGCCTTGGCGGCGCGATAGAGCTGTTTGTAGACGGCGGGATTGCTGGGATCCAGAAGGATATGGCAGCCGGCACTGTCCGAGTAGCGCTCGAAGATGACGGTGTCATCGGCCGGGATGCCAAGCAATTGCTGCAGCTATTGGTTGTCAGTACGGAAGCGGTGTGACGGGATGATCTCGTTTCTGTAATTTTCGACCTCAAATAACAAGGGAATCAAAGAAATACAATTATGAAATCAAATTGAAGTGAAAAGTCCCACCAAAGAGGATGGAAAAAGAGGGAGATGGAGCTCGGAGGAAGCTAAGAAGGAGAGTGGAGACAATCCATACCTTCTGGGGCAGCACCGAGGGACCCAGATCGCCCAAGGGGATCTTAAAGCGACGATTGTTTTCGTGGAGCTGCACCTTGACGGAGATCAAGGTGGCGGGACCGACCGGAGTAGGAGGAGGAGCGGTAGACGACATGATGAGATGGGGTAGGATGTGATGGGAGATGAGATGGGGATGGGGTGATCTGATCTGACTGGATCGGGATAGGAAGTATACGGATGGCTTCCTGGCTGCCTACCCACACTGGATGAGTAGGTCAACTACAGAGGACCAGGCAGTCCGACAAGTTCCACACAGAGGAAGGAAATCACAGTAACGATAAGAATAACGATGGATGAGAGAGGAAGGGGGAGAGGAAGAAGAGGATGAAGGAGATGGAGGAAAGAAGAGGAAGATGAGATGAGGTTCGGAGGAAGAGAGAGAGGAAGAGGTGAAGTAAAGAGAGGAGCTCCGGTGGGATCCGCGCTAGTCCCGATCCGGCCTGGCTGCCTGCGGGAAGTCACCTGACACTGCCGCAATCGACTGCATTACCGTACCGTATCGAAGGTACCATACACACCGTGTATCATGTACCGTCTGGAACCCGTACGGTCCTGTACGGATGTCTACGGAGGTACCGGCTGGTGAGGGGAAACCAAGGAGATCAATCCATCAGAGAGTTATTAACTAGGTAGGTGGCTTGGTCTGACGTCACTGGCGTACAGTCCTGTTCACCTCCCGAACCAAGGGCACAGAAACAGATGGGGGAATAAGGTTGGAGGAGAGGGGTCGAGTATCCTTGCACCATGATGCAAGACCTGTGTATTATCACTCCGATAGAGCGGCAGGTCCGGGAGGAAAGATCAGAGGGAGAAACGTGAGAAAAAGACGAAGAAAACAAGAAAGAAAAAGAAATAAAGAAACCGAATCAACGTAGAGAATCATCGCCAGATATCAACCGTCCAGCTCGTCCTCGGCGTCATGTCCGTCGTCACTTTTTGATCCGTTCGCTCGAAAAGGAGATGGTATCCATACACAAGAAACAGGAGGCACCTCCGCACGCAACCATAACGGAAGACCAGCAAGAAACTCAAGACTGCAATCGCTAGAAATGCATGGAGCCCGGATCTAACACAATACAAGAAAACACACAAAGACAGAAGGAGGAAAGGCAAGGGAGAGAAAGAAAAATGTAAGGTTCAAAGAAAAAGAAAAGGAAAACGTATCAATTCGACAGGAAATAGGACAATGCGGAAGAGTCCACGCGGTGAAAACATACGACGGAGAGATCGTGAAGCTTGAACATGCCAAAAGAACACATGAAATCGCACAGAGACGGAAAGGAAAAGAGTCAGCGAGTGATGATCGAAGGTCAAGGCTCGGGGAATAACCCCGGCGGAGTATCAAAGAAACAAAGAGAGAGAATGTCACAGGGAACGGGAAAAGAACGAAAGTAGAAGAAAAGAAGTCGACGAACAACTAACGAGATGGCTATTGCGTGCCATAATAGGCGGCGCCGCCCGGGCCCGTGGGATAGTAATACGTCGCCCCCGGCGGGGTCATCATCCCGCCCATCCCCACCACCCCACCAGGTCCGGCCCCCGCCGGCACCCCATACTGCGCGTTCGGGTACAGCTGGGCCGCGTCGTAAAAGTAGACCGTACCCCCGGCCTCGTGCGCCACCGTGCCGGGCTGGGACGGCTGGTCGGCGGGCGCGTGCGTCGCCGGTCCCATGTACGGCGCGGCGGGTTGCCCCGGCGCGAAGGGCGGCGGCACCGAGGTGGTGCCCGGTCCCACGCCCGCCTGGTACGGCGGATACTCCGTCCCCGGACCAGGGTAGTAGACACCCCCGCCGGGGTAGCCAGTCGGGTAGTACGGTTGCATCGGCGGGTACGCGTGCGGCTGGAACGGCTGCGCGTGGATCGCCCGCTCAGGGATCTGAGACAGCGGCGTCATCGCGGGCGGAGCCGACGCGTCGGGGCCGTAGCCCGGGCCGCTGGCGGGGGCGGGCACCTGGTGATGGAAGGGCGGCTCCGCCTGCGGCTGGGGCGGGTTGTAGGGGAAACTGGCGGGCGTCTCGATGTCGGCCACTGACACCGTCTTCTGGGGGCGGGGCTGATGCATCGGGATGGGCGCCGGACGGCTCTCGCGGTACGCCGGATGCTGCGGTGGGGGATGCGGGAGCGCCGGAGGACCGACCGGGGCATCGCGCCGGGGCCCGCTGTAGCCGGGGGGAGACCCCCGGGGGGCCGGTGCGGAGGGGGCAGGCGGACCACGGGCTTGTTGCTCTCGGCGGCAGCGGCGGCGGCGGCCACCATCGTCTGCCGCGAGAGCATCGACCCGGCGGGCGAGGGATATCCCTCGTGGGAGGGCGGTTTCCCGAGGGACGAGCGGCGGCTCATGGCCACACTGGGCGCGTAGGTGGACCCGGCATAGAAGCTGGGACGGCGGCCGCCGCCGTAGAACCCACCGCGGCCTCGACCGCGATAGGCCTGCTGGTTGGGACGCAGCGCTCGGGGGATGAAGATGAAGGATCGCTCGGTGGCCGGCAGGATGTACCGGGCGGGTTGGTCGGGGAGCGAGATGCGGACGGGCTTATCGCGACGTAGGGGCGGACGATGCTCCGGGAGACGGGTATACTGCTTCTTCGCGACGGACGCGCACGGGACCGGGGCCGGCATGCCTGGCAGGAAGACCACGACGGGGACATTCCCGATCAACGTGGTACTGGAAAAGGATCGGTTGGGCGGGGCCGACTTGGGGGCGATGGGGATGGGCTTAGGCGGATGGTTGACGGGGCCGTTGACGGCGGGGGGCAACTTCGAGGGCGGTGGACCGGCGCCGGCGACGGTGTCGTGAAGGTCATGTCTCCAAGGCCCTTGGCTGGCATCCGTTCGCGCGGGGTGTCTAAAGCGGTCAGAGACCTATATATAAGGGGTGGGAAAGAGTACATACCGGCGGACGTTGCCGTCCACGATCAAGCCATACGGGCGGGACTTGGGTTTGTTGAACGGCTTGTGGCCGTTGGGAGCCGACTCGGTGGAGCGCTTATCGTGCAGGAAGAAGCTGCCGCGGGTGGGCACGAAAGGAGGATTCTCCTCCTTCTCCTTGGCGGGCTTTTCGGGATCCCGGCGTTTCTTGTCAGCCAACGATTCGCGCCGTTGCTCGATGGGCGGAGCGGACGGGGTCCGCCCGGTCTGGTGGGCGCGGTCTCCCTTGGGACTCCCGATCCGATCGATCTCGGGCCCGTCGGCGGTGTCGTTGGATACCCTGAGGCCGTTCATCATCGCCTCGGTGTCGGATACGGTGGTCGTCAACTGTCGTTTTCCGGGGGAGGCGGAATGACGTCGAGCGGACGGCGGGTGGTGGGGTTTGGAACGGCGACCGCCATTTACCTTCGGGTGATGGTGCTGGCGGTGGTGGTGTTGGTGGGCGTGATGACCGTTGGTGGTGTCCTCCGCCCGAACCGATGTCGACACCTCATCATCACTTTCATCGGTGACCTCCCCGTCCGCATCTTCCCCATCCGGATGACTGGCAACTGACCCCTCGCTCAGGGAATCCTCTTCCAAGCCTCCATCTACCGAACCTTCATCTTCCCCTTCCTCCTCCCTCCTCCGGCGACGACTCGCGCCGATGTTGTGACGGCGGGGAGCCATGACGGTGGTGAGTAATTATGATGTAATGAGGACCGCAGTGGTCGACTCCTCCACAGAGCTCGGTGAGCGACGAAAGACGAGGAGAGAGGGGAGAAAAGCTGTAGTTGGAAGGATCCAATATGGCAAATCAAGATCGTAAGGTCGGTTTACACTGGGGGAGGCACGACGGCGGGTTGACCGCACGGGAGGAAGAATGAGGGGACCGAGATTCCCACAGTCGAGTCAAGCAATAGAAATCAACAACGATACGGCCGTAGAGATATAAGAGGGAAGAAAGAAAAAGAAGAAAAGTAGAAGGAATAAACGACGTGCGTTGAGAATGGAATCAGGATTAAGGAAGAAGGTGGAGAAGAAGGGGAAAAGGAAGAGAAGGAAGAAAGGCACCTCGAGAACGAGGACGACCCAGGAGAGGGACAAAGGGAGAGAGATACGAAGGAAGAGAAGAAGAAAAGAGGATGAAGAGGAGAATTAAAGAAGAGAAGCGAAGGAGGAGAGGAAGAAGAAGTTGAAGAGAAGAGAAGAGAAGAAGAAGAGATGAAGAAGAAGACGAGATGATGGAGGTTGAAAGAGAGTTGGAGAAAGATCATAATAATAATAATGACGATAGGATAATGTTATCCATTGAAGGTGGAGTTAAGCGACTGGAAATATTAATCTGACATCCGTGTCAATCTGCCCGATCGGGTTTAGTCTGGCTGGTGATTCTAGAACTTCTTTTCTTTATCAACAATTCCGTCACTATATAATATAGACTACTATAGTAATAGATCATTCTCTCTTCATCTTCTCTATCCTCCTCTCTCCATCTCACCTCCTGAGTATTCCATGGCTCGGAAGATTTCACCGCTATGCCATTCCATAACAAACCTAATCAACCACAACCGTTCCGTGGTTTTCCTGCGATCATGAAGTGACCATGATGTCGTCCACTGACTAAGCGTGGTCAATCCATCGTCTCCTCTCAGTGCCAATCCAGTATCAATCCAGTATCAATCCCAGTATCAATCCCAGGACCAATCGCAATATCGTCTCTGCCAATCCCTGTGCTAGTTCCGTCCGTTCCACCCCAGTCAACCAATTCTAGTCCAGCGCTGGGTTGGGGTGATCTCGGAGCCGGCATGTGAAACGTCGCCCCGCACACACAGCCTGTTCAATGACGGACAGAAACAATGAAAGTCCCTGATCAGGAGATGGTAAAAGTCTTGATACAGATCGAATATGAGAAGAAAAAGTGACGGGAAAAAGGGAAAATGAAAAAGAATAAGAATGATAAAAGTTACATAAAAAAGGGTAACAGGCAACTCGCGGGTATCAGTGGATGAGAGATGGGCTCATGTCCGCCAACCTCGACGTGGTGAGACAGACAGCCAATACCAAGGCATGATCGGAGAGTCAACGCTGGCCCTGCAAGGAATCCCTCCAGAATCACAGTCATCAGAAAGAATACCGGTCTGTCCAGCAAGGAGGTCCCCTTGCCTTCCATAGCGAGCTTGCACTCTCCCACGCTGTCCTGGTTGTCCGATTGTCTCTTCTGTGCATCTTCTTCTCCCTCCTCCTCTCTTAATCCCCCCTTGTCTCAGACGCACCGGATGGGCTTAGTCAAAGGTGACCTTCTGTCCCTTGGCCTCCACAATGGCACCGCTCAGCTTCTGCACCGTATCCGAATCGTATCTGGTATAATCCGGTTTGTCGCGCTTGGCACGCGCAGGCATCTCCCTAATCGCATCGCCAGTCGCGCCCCCCTCACCATCATTCGTTCTGGTCTTGCTGCCCTTCCCGTAGCGTTTATTATACCGAGTGGTGGCATCTTCCGCAAATTCCATTCGCATGCGTCGCCCTAACAGGTTGTTCACCCACACCCGTCTCTGCTGCGGCTTCTTGGGCTTTCGGCGCTGTTTCGAAGACTCCTTCTCCTCCTTCTCTTCCTTCTCCTCTTCCTTCCCCTCCTCTTCTTCCTCCTCCTCATCCTCGTCATCTTCCTTGACCATCACAAATCCCTTGACCGCGGCTTCCGCCGCCGCCAGATCCTGGAATCTCACCCACGCGTAGCCCTTGCATTTTCCACTGTCCTGGAAGGTAGCCATGTGGACATCGTTAATGGGGCCACACTGGCCCAGGTGCTCCTCCAGCATCTCCTTGGTCGTGTCGAAGCCAAGGTTCCCGACGAATATCCGCTTCGAGGGCGGGGGGCCGGACACCGCCGCCGCGGTGCCAGCCTTCTGGCCGTCCTCTCCCTCCGTCGGCTGAGGCCGACCCGTAAAGCTCTTCGCATCTTTGATCAACACACGGCGACCCGTCAGGAGCTTCTCGCTCAGCGCTATCGCCTCCGTCGCGGCCTTGGCTGTCGAGAAGTCAACGTAGGCGAATCCTCGGTTCTGGGCGCGGGCGTTCTTGTCGGCCGGCCGCGGCATGTGCAGGCGGGTGATGGTGGTCTCCGTAAAGGAGCAATGGGTCGTGAAGAATCGACGGACGTCGTCCTTGGTCGCAGAGAAGGGCAGGTTTCCAATCCAGACTCCGTACTCCGACCGCTTCGCCGCGGCAGGGTCCTCCTTCTTGGGGTCCGTCTCCTCGGTGGGTTTGTCGGTAGTGGCGTCGGATGGGTCCTCGGTACCCTTCTTCTTCGCTTTTCTCAAGGCCTTCTTGGAGGGCGGTTCGGGGGCCGATACATCGATCTCGATCTCCGAGACCTCGGGCAGCTTGCGCTTTTTCTGGATTCCTTCCCCGGCGTCCGTCATTGTGGGAGATGTGTTTGCTGCGGTCTATCGGTTTGAAAAAGATCACTGGAATGGAACAAATCAAATATAACCCTAAACAAATTACAATGCACCTGTAATATCAAATATGAAGCGATTGATTGAATAGACAAATTGATGAGGAATCTGAGACGGCTGATCGCTTTTTTTTTTCTTCTTTTTTTTCCTGGAAAAGACGGGCAGAATACACTCCGCCTTTGACCAGATACCATACCATACGGCACCGCCTTCCGTCTCCCTCACTCATCCCGGATTCCTTCATGGATTGCTTATTGATTGTTCATTCAGCTCCATCCATCCATCGTGTCTCTCGGTGTCGACTCAACGACGATCCCATACTCTATTCGACCTCACTCCTGACTAAACTGGCAGTCATCATGTCTCATTACCCCGAAGAGGCCCATTCCGTGGCCGAGAGCCTCCCCGATGCACCCGCAGCCCCTACCAAGGCGTCCGCCCGGTCCTTCAAGTACGCGCGATTTATTCCTATCCCGGACACGGTTTCAAGAAGCCCAACTAACACGGTATGCTTATAGGAAGAAATTTGCTAAGCTCAAGGTCCAATTCGAGGTGCGCATGCGGGACAGCGAGGCGCTCATCCGCGAGGAATTACGTATCCAAGACATCTCCAAGAGGATCCAGGAGCAGAATGAGTACGCGACGATTTAGCCCCCTTATTAAGCGTTTCGGTGATTGACCCGGATACAGTCAGCTGCTCGAAGTTCTGCTGGAATTCAATGACAGTCTTCATATCGCCCCGGACGTGCGGTACGATCTGACGGCTCCCGGCGACGACGACGAAGGCGACTTTCTGCCCACCCCCCACCGAGAACAATCGCCGGCACACCGAGACCCCACGGCGGCCGCGTCTCGACTGAAGGATGCGAAGGCGGAGCTGGCGGCCGGACGTCTCTCCGTCGACGCGTACCACGACCTGGAGAACACCATCAAGCACGGCAAGGCGTTTGCGCCGCGACTGCACTACCGCTCGTTGATCCAAACCCCTCACACGGACCCCCGGCTCGAAGAGGGCGCCGACGACCGCGCGCCAGGCTCCCAGTTCGAGCAGACTCTGGGCTTCCTCACGCCGGAGCACGAAACCGAGTATTACCTGTCGATGGATGCCAAGCTAGGCGATGAGTCGGCGGCCCTTCAGCTCGGCCGCGCGACTGACAAGCCGTCCTTTGCCGAACGGGAGCGCGATGCGGCACTGCGGAATCCCATCTCCGTGTACAACTGGCTGCGACGGAACCAGCCGCAAATCTTCCTCCAGGACAACGAGAATGCCTCGGAGAAGTCGACCTCGCGGCCGTCGAATCTCCGCGCCTCGAAGAGGGCGCCTCCCCAGCGCAAGGACGACGACACGCATGACGAGGACGGCTCGACGGTTGACACGGGTCCCACGTCAGGGAGTGCGAAGAACAAGCGGAAGCGCGATGACGAGACGGGGCCGAAGAAGGGCGGGGGTGGTAGTAGCCGCGCCAACCGCAAGAAGAAAGAGGATGGGGGTTCGACTTCGAAGCGATCGTCGAAGAGGTCATCGGGGGCGGGAGCGTGAAACATTTCCCTCTACCTCTCTCTCTCTCTCTTTCCTTTTATTCTATTTGAATCGTTTCATTTTCTATCACTGTATTATTAGTCCAGGCGTCGACGATGTGTTTATGATGGAACTCCCTGTTGATGTTCTACTGATCTGTGTACGCATTGCTTTTTGCAGCGATTCTAACACTGTCCATCTATAACTTGTCATCAATAGTAAAGACATCCTACATTCGCATCATCCACAGCATAGATATCTGACTTGTGCTGTACTGTACAACTACAGTGTAGAGTCCGTGTTTGTCCCGTTTGTCCCGTCTGTCCCGTTTGTCCTGTTTGTATACCGCCAAGACTTCCACCAAAGAAGAAAAAAAGATGCTCAAGACGTCACTCTCCCTCACCTTATTCTACTTTTTTCCCACCACGGTCTTAATTTCCCTTCTTAATCTCCCCTGAACAGAGAGAATGGCAATCACGATCCTTCCCCCGGTCACCGACACCGGCGATGTTGCCTACTCCGACTCCGACATGGACTCGATGTCCGTCGACTCCGACGGCGGCGTCAACCTCGAACCCGGGCAGTCCTCCAAACAAGGTCTCCGTATGGCAGGGCTAGACATCAGCACGGGGGTAGTGACGCCCGGCGAGGTCGTCACAGACGATCCGCAGTGGATGAGGTATATCCACCTTTCCCTCCTTACCATCACAGAACCCTCCCTCAGACGGAGAGTGATCAAACGAAATACATACTAACAATCGAAACAGAGGCCACGGCACCTACTCCGCCCCCCTCTCAACATCCATAATCGCCACCGTCGCCGGAACCGTCCAAAAAACCAACAAACTGCTCTCCGTGCAGCCTCTACGCGCACGCTACGCCCCCGAAATCGGCGACCTAGTTGTCGGCCGCATCGTGGAGGTCCAGTCCCGCCGGTGGAAAGTCGACGTCGCGGCGCCGCTGCTCGCCCAGCTGCCTCTGTCTGCGATCAACCTGCCGGGTGGTATCCTGCGCCGCCGGACCAGCGCCGACGAGTTGCAGATCCGTACGTTCTTCAGCGAGGGAGATCTGGTTGTTGCGGAGGTGCAGAATGTGCATCAGGATGGTGCGGCGTCGTTGCATACCCGCTCGCTTAAGTACGGGAAGTTGCGGAATGGTGTGTTCTTGGCTGTTACTGGTGCGGGTGGGAGCGGGGCGTCGAGCTCGAGTGTCAAGGGTGGGGTGGGTGCTGCTGCCGCGGGGGGAGCCGCGGGGAGTGGTGCTGGTGCGGCCAGTGCAGGCGGCGGCGTTGTGCGGTCTCGTCGACAGGTGTGGACGGTGAACACGGCGAACGGCGGCGGCGACGTGGATGTCATCCTGGGCGTGAACGGATACATCTGGATCTCGAAGCACGCGGAAGACACAGCGGCTGCGTCATCGACAACGGAGAACGTGTCGATCACGCGCATGGAAGAGATGGTCTCCAGCTCGGTGTACTCCAGCCAGAACGACGAGATCGCGCCGCAGACGCGTCGCGAGATCGCGCGGCTGGCGCAGTGTATTCGGGTGTTGGTGCAGGGGGGTGTGCGCGTTGACGAGGAGACCGTCATGGGTGCTTACGAGGCTAGTTTGCAGGTGGATTTGGAGGTTGGTGACGATCATGACGAGGAGGATGATGACCTCAGTCGGGAAGGACGGGAGTACCTCGAGGGCGACAAGTCCCAGCGGATTTTGGAGCAGGTGTTGGCGCAGCAGTAGCCGATGATAACACTGTTTGACATCGACTCAGCACTACACTGTGACAGAAAGCTATGATGATCTCAGACTGACCGTGGACTGTTTGTTTGCATTACAGCCCGGTCGTAAGGCAGTACGGCCGGTCCGACCTGCCTAGCGATTATCGCGAGGAAGCTGGCCACTATAGACAGACGGGCCGGCCACAGAATCACCGGTCCTAGTGTGGCCGACACTACGGAGTGGCCTCAGAAGACTGGAGCCAGACCAACGACTGTCCAGAATTGTGGGCCACAATACGGTCGTCACAGTTCCCCACCCTGGCGACGACATCCTCGACTCCTATCAGATTAACCAGCAACGACAGAGGAATGTATTATGAGCGAATTGGGGGATCAGGGTATACAATGTATCAATCATACTCCCTCTCTCTAGAGAAAGAATACCAAAACAAGTATATCCTAAATACACACCGACCCATACCTACAAAAGAAACCGTAGAGCGAACCAACATCGATCTATTCATCTAATCATTTCACGCGACGCAAATCCAACCAAACAGTTGAGTAAAAGCAAAGCAAAAGCAAAGCAAAAGCAAAGCAAAAGCAAAGCAAAAGCAAAGCAAAAGCAAAAATAAAAAGTCAAAGTAATTACAAAACCAAATGTCTTTTTTTCTCAGAAAATCATAAAGTAAGAAAAGAATATGTATTAAAAAAAAAGCCTACTCAAACACAGGCACCACCCCGGCCCAACTCCCCCTGGCCCTCTCCTCCCAATACCCATCCTTCCCAGCCTTCAACCGCCAGTGCGCCTCGCCATCAGCAGCATTATCGTCCGCGACCTTGGCGAACCAGCGCGGCGTCCACGACTCCCCCGCAGCTTCCATATCGCGACGGCGAGCGCGCTGGCCCTCTTCCAGACGGACCTTGACGGTCTCCGCGCGGTCGACGTCGCCGTCTTCGAGGGCGCGCTGATCGGGTCTCATGCGCGAGTCTGTAACGGGGACGTGGCCGTCTTCGATGGGCGTGATCTCGTTGAGCACGGCTGCGAAGCGGGTTAAACCGTAGTGCTTGGGCGCCTGGGAGACGAGCGGGCCGGCTGTCCAGAGCGGGTTGCCTCCGGCGGGGGTTCCGCCTTGGGTGAGCTGCAGGGAGGTGGTCCATGTGCCGGCGAGCCCGAGGGGCAGGTCGCGGCCGTTGGGGTCGACGACCTTGGTGGTGACTTCTTCGCTGCGGCCAGAGAACATGCCGCCGGCTTTGAAGGTGGAGATGGCCTTGTGGCCGGTGGATTCGTTGAGGACGGTCATCTCGCCGACGGGCTCGACGTACTTTTCGCCGGCGATGATGTTGCGCAGGAAGGAGGTCGCCTGGGACCAGGAGAAGCGCTCGCCGGTTGCGTGCAGCGTCAGGCGGACTTTGCCTTCCGTGATGATTTCGGCGGACTTGCCCCAGAATTTTTGCGTCGGGACAGGCGCCTGCGCCAGGCTCCAGTCGCGCGAGTCGGCTTGGTAGGCGAGCTGCACGGGGCGGTGCGATACCTTTTCGGCGATGAAGCGGAAGCCGAGGTCCTCGCGCACGAGCTCGTAGGTCTCGCCGAGTAGGGGGTTGAAGGGCTTGCGGATGGCGCGCTCGCGCACGCGGTTGCTGGAGAGCGGGGCCAGCGCGAACGCTGTCACGAGGAGCAGCCGCTGCACGGGGTCTGTGGCCGCAGCGGCCTGGTCCAGCAGCGCTGGGTACTCGAGGACCTCGGCGGCGCGCTGCAGCAGGGAGAGCGGCTCGTTGGCCGACACGGGCATCGAGATTTGGGACAGGTCCTTGCCGACGTTCTTGCGCAGGAAGCCGATCAGGCTGGGCGGCATGACCGTGGGCGCCGTGATGTTGGCGCGCCGCGACACGGGACGGAGCGGCAGCGGCGTGAGCGACTTGGGCTTCGGGGGGAACAGGGAGGTGGCGTGGCCGTCGGGGCCGGGGGGTGCGTCGGGCTCGTCGTCCCCGTCGCTGTCTGACGGCACGTCGTCGTCCACCACGTCGTCCTCGGCCTCAGCGGCGGCAGCAGCAGCAGCGGCAGCAGCAGCAGCGGCCGACCCCGCAGCGGGTGCCTCATCGTCGTCGCTGTCGCCGTGGATGGTCAGCAGCGGCGAACGGTCTCCATCGTCGACGGCGTCAAAGAACTCGTCCTCCGACTCCATGCTGGACCGCGGCTGGGTGTGCAGGGTGGGCAGCTGGCGACGTCGCTGCTGGCTGGCGGTCATCAGGCCGGAGAAGTCGTGGACGACCGCATCGAGGTCCCGCAGCAGGCTCATCAGGTGCCGGTGGACCTCGTCGGAGCCCTCCGCGGGCACGGCGTCTGGCGTGGCCAGCTGGGTGGACGAGGCAGCGGCGGCGGAGGAGGAGGAGGCGACGGGAGTCCGCCGCCCGCTTGGGGGAGCGGGGTTGATAGCGGTGGAGGGAGGGCCCGCACCGGGCGGTCCCTGGGTGCGCCGCTTCCAGAACGGACGACGGTCCCGCGTCTCCGCCGACTCGTCGCCGGCACCTTCGGGCGGCGTCACGGGGTGCGGGCTCGGGGAGCGGCCGCGCGGGCGCTCCGAGGCGGCACCGGGGACGGTCAAGTACTTGGGGTCGGTCTCCTGAGCCAGGCGGCGCACGGCGTCGCGGGACCCGCGCACACGGCGGACCAAATTCTCGACCTGAGACCACTCGCGCTCCTCGGCCGCCGTGGACGGGGTCGGGGCGTGGGGCATGGACGGGACACGCAGCAATGGCTCGGACGGGGCGTGGGATTGGTGAGTGAACTCAGCGGCGGCGGTCTTGGTGGACGCGCCTTTCTCCAGGGCGCGCTTCCAGGCGACGAAATCCTCATCGCTGTGGGCGCGCAGGTGCCAGACCTCAGTGCCCGAGTCGATAGAGATCTCGCGGGAGTTCTCGTTGCAAGCGACAGCAGCCAGGGACAGGGGGATGGACCCGCGCAGGGCGGAGGCGTTGCGATCGTGGTAGTAGGACAGCGTGGCGGTCGCAAAGTCTAGGGCGAAGAAGCGACGGGCCCAGCCCTGGTGACGCTTGCGGCGGCGCTTGTGCAAGATGCCCGTGTGAGCGTGCGAGCCATCGTGGGAGGCCGCTCCAGGCTGGGGGAGGACGTGGGCGACGCTGTTGCCGCGGCGGCGGGTGGTCGGGGGGCGGCCATCGACGGCGGCGGAGTCCCCGCTGTCGGGACCGGCACCCCGGGCGGCGGCGGCATGGGGCACGGGGACAGCCTGCGGGGGCAGGGCGCTGGGATAGGTCAACAGCACGAGGGTGACGGTCTTGGAGATCTGTTTGGAGAAGGTGTTGTCGAAGACGAGGGCGTAGTTGCCCCCCTCATGGGGGGGCACGGCATACGTCCCCTTAACGATCTTATCAGCCTCGCATTTACCGACCCAGTGGATCGTGCGCAGCCCCATCCCAGTCAACTTGTCGACGACTGAGGCGCCAGCCGCGAGATTGCCTCGGGCGGAGGTAGCAGGGAGGTTCTCATTGGAGACGTTGACGGTGTTGTCGGTGGGGAGGCTGGAGGAGGAACTCAAGACGCCGGAGCCGCCGGGATGCTTGAAGATGCCGAAATTGATGGATTTCTTGTGGGGTTGGATACTCCAGGAGATGGTATGATCGGATTGGACATGAACCCAGCGGACGAAGTAGGACTTGGGGGGGGTAATCTTGGTCAGCATGAGGCTATCCAGCGTGAGGCTATCCAAGCGGGGGTTGGGGGAATCACCTTGCTGTGGATCTCCAGCTCCTCCATGGCGGCCATGGTTGATCAAGGGGCAATTGGGGGTTTGGAAACCCGACCAAACATAAGAGCGACAGAAGAAGGTGGATATGGAGGGGAGATGAGGCAGTAGGCGCGATGAGGCTGAAAGGAGAGATGAGGAGAGAGTGAGATGGAGAGCGTAAGATGGAGAAGTGGAGAAAGACTCGGCCAGATTGAGCCGATACGACCGAGGTTCACATGACCTTATTAGTTTCTGAAATTTAGATTGAAATCTATAGTATTTGTATGGATATTCATCTATTGATTTAGATCTATTTATATTTGTATTGATTGTGGTATCCATATTGACGTCTGTCTACATTTCTATCCGCATCGTATATCAACAACACCCTACAATCTACACAACCTACGAGAAAGAATGAACAAATAATCCATATAATACAGAAAGAAAATAACAACTACCGTCGTCGAGTGGCCTGCATGTTGGTAAACAGCAATTTGAACCCATTACACAACGCCCGCATGTCCGGGTACGGATTGCGCTGCAGCTCGTAGCCTTGCGGAATCACCTTGACCGGCCAGCTGTGCAGCGGGGCCTGCTCCCCGGCCTTGAAGCAGAGGAAGAAGTACCCCGGATGTTTGGGATCGATGCAGAACGCGTACGCCGATCGTCGGGGGTTGGCTTTGGTGTAGGTATTCAACCAGGCATCTACTACATTAGCATCATCCAATAGAGAGGGGGTGGAGAGGGGGAAAAGGGAGAGGGAGAGACATACAGGTCGCATCGCGCGTCCCCTCCTGGTACTTCTCGTGCAGCGTCATCTCGTCCACCTTCTTGGCCATCGCCTTGACGTGGTTGAAGATCAGATCGTCCAGATCGCTGTACGTGTAGCGTCCCCCCACCTTGAGCGTTCGGCCCACCGAGAACTCGTTCTCCTTGTCCAGCTCCAGCACGTCCAGGTGCTGGAACACTCCGTCCGCCACCTTCCACGTCACCGCCAGGTGGTCCGGTCCCTTGGACGACGGCCGGATCACCACGTCGCCGCGTGCCTGCGATCCCAAGAACTCCTCCGCCTGCGCCGACCCGAACGGTCGGAACAGCGGGTGCTTGATCACTCGCACCGCCCGCTCCCCGCGCGGCGTCTCCGCCTGCAGCGCGGCTTGATCTCGCTGCTCCTGCCGCTCGTCCCACTCGCCCGGCGCCCGCCGGGAACCAGCACGCCCGGAGCCTCCGGCCGTCGGGCGCTGCACCTGCTCTGCCCGCAGCGACACCGTGCAGGTAAAGGTCTTCCGGTTGAGGAACAGCACCTTGGCCGGAACCGTCTGGTGCGGCGCGTACAGGGCCCGCGCCGGCAGGTCGTACCGGTCCGTCAGCTCCGCCTCGGGCACCAGGGCGTCGACCCCGCAGTCGAGCCGCCCGTCGATGTGGTCGTCGGCGATGCGCTTGAGGGACACCGGCACCACCATGCCCTCAGCCAGCGTCGCCGTCGTCTCGCCCGTCAGCATCGTGAAGATCGCGTCCGTGCCCAGCGGCGCGAACGGCTTCCGCAGCTCCTCGTACGGCTGCTGCAGCTCCGCCCGGATCGTCTCCAGCGTCGCCCGCTTGCGCTGGTTCAGGTTCCGCTCCAGCTGCTCCGCGTACTCCTCGAGGATCAGGTCGTTGACCCGGTCCTGCGCCTCCTCGCGGAACAGCTTGCGCACGATCGCCCCGGCGCCGTTCTCGTCCGTCTCCGCCTTGATGTCCTCCTCGTCCAGCTCGAGCGCGTCCGCCGCCATCTTGCGCGCGATGTCGTAGTCCTCCGGGTGCACCCGCGTGTTGTCCAGCGGGTCGGCGTCCGGGTCGGCCGTCTCGAAGTCGACGTAGAGGAAGCTGGCGCAGTTGTGCCAGACCTTGACGCCCACCGCCGGGTACTGGGTGTGCACGCCCAGCAGGGCGGCGCGGCCCGTCACCACGCCGCCGTTGAGGTGGACGATCTGGAGCAAGTGGGCCGCCTTGCGCGGGCCTAGCCCGCAGACGTAGGGCAGCAGGTTGGCCGTGGCCGGGTCGCCGACCGCCTCGTTCAGGTCGACGCCGACCAGGTTGACCATGTCGACCAGGGCCGTCTCGAGCTGGCGCTGCAGCAGCTCGGGCGCGACCAGCTGCTGGCCGGGCTGGAGCGGCAGCGAGGTGACGTCGCGGCCGAGCGCGGCGTACTCGCGGAGGGGGCTCTGCAGGTAGCGAGCCAAGGCGACGCAGTAGCGGGTCAACGGGGCGAACCCCGGGTGGTCGCGGGCGGCGCGCTCGCTGTGCTGGTAGAGGCGGGCCACCTCGTCGTTGACGATGACGACCTCGAGCCGGTCGGTGATCTCGGCGTCGCGGTCGTCGGTGTAAGGGGCACCGCGCAGGTCGCGGCGGTCGACGGCCTCGGTCAGCAGCTTGTAGAGACGGCGGGTCTCGGGGGTCTGGCCGGAGACGCCGATGACGTCGGGGCGGCGGCGGCGCACCAGCTCGGCGAGGGCGTCCAGGTCGCGCCCGTCGGGCACGTGGCGGTCGGCCGGGTCGCCGCCGACCGACAGGTCCGTGAACCGGCCGTTCTCCAGCACGCGGCCGTCCTCCTCGACGTAGGCCCAGTGAATGGGGTCGCGGCCGACGATGCCGGCTCCGGTGGACAGGGCGAGGACGCGGGGCACGGTCCCCAGCACCATGCCCTTGGGCTTGTAGGGGGCCTGGTCGAGGCGCTGGGAGAAGGCGTCGCGGCACTCGCGGGCGACGTGGTTCTCGCACTCCTGGCGGATGTTCTCCTTGACGCCGCGGTGGATGAGGCGCTCGAGCTTGCCGAGGGCCAGGTCGAGGGACTCGCGGCGCAGGCGGTTCCAGGCGTCGGCCAGCTCGCTGTAGTTGTCGGACTCGAGGTCCGGGTAGAGGCGCTGGCGGAAGTGGTCGAGGCGGTCGAAGCGGACGCGGACGTCGACGAGTCCCTCGGCCTCGGCCTGGAGCATGCGCAAGTAGAGCTCGGGCTGGCGGGCGATGTCGCTGAGCTGCTGGTTGCGCAGGTACTTGAACTCGTAGTAGGGGTGCTGCTCATCGATGCGGCGCAGGCCCTTCTCGGTGCGGATGCAGTCGACGGCGCCGTTCATGTAGTAGGCCTGGCGGACGACCTTGCGCATCTTGGGGCTCATGACCATCTCCTCGGCGAACATGGCGCGGGCGGCCTTGGTGACGTGGTCGGCGGAGGCGAAGTCGGTGTCGCAGAGGCCGTCAGCGACGGCCTCGGGGGACTCGGCGGGATCCTCGGTGTACTGGCGGCGGCCGGCCTTGAGGGCGTTCTGAGCGAAGGCGTCGGCGGTGATGCCGCAGGCGCGCACGAGGCCGTAGGCGCGGGCGTTCCGGACGCGCTCGAAGAACGAGCGGCCGGCGGCGCGGCGGCGGCTGGGGCCGCCGCTCGCATCGTCCGTCCGGGCCAGATCGCGCAGCTGGGCGGCGTACTGGAAGTGAAGGTAGTCCTGGACGTCCTGCAGCTCCTCCATGGTGGAGGCCGCGGGCAGCATCTCGGCGACGACGGGGTCGTCGATCTCGCCGATGGCGTGGAGGTTGTCGACGGTGCGCTGGATGGTGTTGCGCTTGTCGACGAGGGCGCGGAATTTGAGGTCGTGGTCGAAGATGTCCCAGAGGTCGGTCATGTTGAGCAGCTTCTCGGCCTTGGTGGTGTAGGCGGTGCCGGGGTCGCGGTCGGGATCGTCGTCGTCGTCGACGGGAACCTTGACGGCGTGGATCATGTAGTCCTTGCGGTGTTGGAAGATGAAGGGAACCTCCCAATCGTCGGTGACGAGGAATTCAAGGACCTTAGCGACGGCGCGCTGGAAGGGTTCGCGCAGGTCGGGGTCGAGGCGCTTCTTGAGCAGCATGAGGTTGGAGATCCAGGCGGCCTCCTCGCGGAACTGGTCCTCGGTCAGGACGACGTGACGGTAGGGGGCGCGGGCGATCTGGTGGCGCTCGGGCTCGTCGGTGAGGCGGATCTGGTTGTCCTCCTCGGTCAACATCTTCTCGGCCAGCTGGGAAGGCTCGAAGACGTCCTTGAGGTCGAGGTGCTTCTCCTGGACGACTTCCTGCTCTTCCTCCTGATCCTCCATGTCGAGCGCGAAACCGTACTCGTTGCCGTCGCCAAATGCGGCGCGCATGTCCTCGAGAGCGTTCTCGTCCAGGCCGGCGGCGTCGGGGGCGCCGAGGGCGGAGAGACCGGGGCGAGCAGGGCGGGCGACCTCGAGGTCCTCCTGGTCGCGCTGCTCCTCATCGGAGAAGGTGTCCTCCTCGATGAAGTCGCCCATCTCCTCATGCATGTGGCGTCGGTATCGACCGTATTCGGCGGGGGGTTCCTCCTCATCCTCGTCGGAGTTGAAGATGTCATCGATGCCGTGGGAGGGTTGGGGGTGGTCGCGATCTTTGTGGCCACGCTTTAAGCGTTTGAACTTGGACTGGAGGGGATTAGTCTGCATCTTTGCATCTTTTTGAACGACGAGTGAAAAAGTAAGATACCTCTGCGGCGACAGGGGCTTGCATGCCCGGATGGAGCTCCCCGATCAGCTCGAGATCCTCCTCATCCAGATGTTCATCTTCGCGTTCGCGTTCCTGTCGTCTTCGCTTCCGTTTCTCCCGTCTCCGTTCGGCGCGACCTTCGAGCTCTTCGTCGTCGTCATCGATGAAGCCTTCGCGGACCTATTAAAGCTAGATTAGTATATATTTATATGCGTACACACATATATGCCATATATTTGTATGGGGATATATGTATGAAGATATGTGAGCATACGGCGCGTTCGGCCTCTTCATCATCGTCATCCTCCTCCTCCTCACTGGAGTCGTTGTATTGCTCTCGGCGCTTGATGGGAGCGCCTTCGCCCGGTTCGCCTTCATAATCGTCGACCAACTCCTCGTCGTCGTCATCGTCGATCATGGCCTCCCCTTCGACGAGGTCGCGAGCACTCATCCTTTTTCTGTCGTGCCTTCTCTCTGGATTAAGGGACGGGGGATTAGGGAACCAATAGAATTAAGAATCGGAGAAGAGGACCAGATAGATCAAAGAACAAAAGGAATAAGACAGAGAAGAAGAAAGGGCGTGGATGAGAGAAGAAGATGAGGAGAAAGAAGTTGAAGTGAGGAAGAAATGCGGATGGAGTGGGTGACTGAGAATCCAGGCCAACTGTGGCTGGTGTGGCTGGTCACGTGAATATATCTCATTCTTTCAACAATCTTGACATCGATGTCGAGTCAGGTCGATGATATTATGTATGATCTGATATATTTGTCTATTGTATATTTTCTCTTGAGCTATCCTATATACAGTGCTTCAGTAGAAATATCAATATATAAATAGAAATCTGGGAAATCGATAAATATAGACCCAATAACCGCCCACTTCTCCCCACCTCATTTCTCCCCTCATCTTCTTCTTTCTTCTTTCTTTCTTTCTTCTTCACCTCTCTCTCCTTTCTTCTCTTCTCTCCTCTCCATCTTCCTCTTCTGTCTCCCCTCGGTTTCTTCTTTCTCATCCCAGGCTCACCATGGCCGACCAATTCAAAGCCCGTACGCTCAAGCGCAAGAATGTCAAAGGCCTCGCCCTCAATGCCGCTCCCAAGCCCGCCGCCAATGCCTCCGACCAGGATCTTCCAGGAACGGGGGCTCCTGCCGATGCGAATCGCACCGATACCTTGGAGATTGGTCTGGAGTTTCGTCTCGATCTGCGCAGCGAGGATTTGATCACCCTCAAGGAATTGGGTGCGGGCAATGGAGGGACCGTCTCCAAGGTCAAGCATGCCTCCACCAACGTCGTCATGGCCCGAAAGGTATCTTTCTATATCCTCCCGTCTCTTTATATTTGCAGAGATCTTCGCGAGACTGACCGTTCAGATCATTCGCGTCGACGCCAAAGAAAACGTCCGCAAACAGATCCTCCGCGAACTGCAGGTTGGCCATGATTGCAACTCCTCCAGCATCGTCACCTTCTACGGCGCCTTCCAGAACGAAGCCCGCGATATCGTCTTGTGTATGGAATATATGGATTGCGGGTATCTCCTCCTTTTCCTTCTCCTCCAACTCTTTCCCCCCCCGCATCCAACTCATCCCCGTACAGCTCCCTCGATCGCATCTCCAAGGACTTCGGTCCCGTCCGTGTCGATGTCCTAGGCAAGATCACCGAATCCGTTCTGGCCGGCTTGGTCTACCTGTACGAAGCCCACCGCATCATGCACCGCGATATCAAACCCTCCAACATCCTCGTCAACTCCCGCGGCAATATCAAGCTCTGTGATTTTGGTGTCGCTACCGAGACCGTCAACTCCATCGCCGATACCTTCGTCGGTACCTCCACCTACATGGCCCCCGAACGTATCCAGGGTGGCGCCTACACCGTCCGCTCCGACGTCTGGAGCGTCGGCCTGACCGTCATGGAGATGGCCGTCGGCCGCTTCCCCTTCGATTCCTCCGACTCGTCCGCCGGCGACCGCGCCAGTGCCGGCCCCATGGGCATCCTCGACCTACTCCAGCAGATCGTCCACGAACCTGCCCCCAAGCTGCCCAAGAGCGACGCCTTTCCCCCGATCCTGCACGAGTTCGTCGCCAAGTGTCTCCTCAAGAAATCCGACGAGCGTCCCACTCCGCGTGAACTTTATGTATGTCTCCTCCGCCCCCTCTGCTCCTTCGTCTATTAACACTCCCCCAGGACAAAGACGCCTTCTTGCAGGCCGCCAAACGCACCCCCGTCGACCTTCAGGAGTGGGCTATCAGCATGATGGAGCGGCACAACCGGAAATCCTACCTGGCGCCCCCGCCCCCCAAGTCCCTGAAGGAGGAGCAGTCGTCCAAGTCCAAGTCCGGCTCCGGGACCCCCGGGCGCACCCCGCCCCATCCTTCGCCCCGCGCCCCCGAGGAGATCCCGGTCAACATGGTCCCCGACCGGCCCGCCTACCGCCCGTCCACCCAGTCACCACGACCTATGCGGTCGGCGCGCTCCCCGCCCCGCATCGCCCTGGAACACTTGTCCCTAGAGACCCGCGAGGACGACAGTCGCTCCGGCCGCCGCCCCTCGCGCCACGGCCTCGGGGATCCTACCTCAGCCGTGGGTTCGCCCGGACACGTCTCGCGGGGTTCGCGATCTAGCTCGCACAATCCCCACGCGCGTCTACCCCTGCAGACATCGACGCTGCCCGTGCGGGCGGCCCCACCCCCGAGCGGCCCGCCGCCTCCCCCGCCCACCTCATCCGGCAGCGGGTGGCCGCGGGGAATTTAACCTCCTTTCCTATTCTTTTCTTTTATTATTCCCTCCTTCTCTTTTCTTTCATATCTTCTTTTTCATCTCCCTCTCCACACGTTGATGTCGGTATGGATATTAGTATGGATGTGATGTGATGTGATGTGGATATGGACGAATCCCACGTCCCAGCGCTGGACCATGAACTACTTACCATGACATGAAATCCAGACGACTTTTTGCATCAGCAAGGCGTATTCAGATTCGTTCGTTCGTATTCATTGCGAGATGGTCTCTTCACTTTCCCCTTTTCTTTCCCTTTTCTTTCCCTTTTCATCTCTCTACATTTTCATCTCACTACTTTTCTTTTCTTCTTTCTCCCCCTTTGACACCCCACATTGCGGATGGTTTCTCTCTGTCGATAGCAAGCAGCCTACGTCCAGGGCGTACGTGACATTTGCGTATCCTGCCTGTACAGGACAGATGTTAGGGCTGGAACTTTTGCATCTGTCTTTTTTTCTTTTTCTATCTTTTTTCAATTTTTGTCTTTTTCTTTTGACCATATACGATGAGAGAGCTTTTTTCTATACATACCTCTATCCATACATACATATCAGTCGTCTTTCTTTGGTTTTTTTGAAACAGAAAATCAACTTGTTTCTTCGTATCTAAACCGACTTGAGAATATGGGCAGCAGGAAGAAAATGATAATGGTTGGATTGCCAGCAGAGCTATAGTCCATGTCGAAATCAAATCGATATAGCAGACAGGAAGAGAATCGAGCATCACTCCGGCAGATGCGAAGGAAAAGTAACACAAGATGAACGAACGCACCGAACAAAAATCACAGGCCATGGGAGAGAGAAACTATGGAATAAAACATATAGAATGGATGGTAAAATGACACCACAAATAACACGATGGAAACACGCCGGGAAGAGACTGTCTCCTATCGACTGGCGTCCCACCCTCCGGTTTCCCGATGCCGACAACGCCAACATGAAAGAGACAGCACGATCATACAAAGGACGTGGTCGAACACCATCTGTCCAGGAACAATGAGAATGAAATGAAGAAAATGAAGGAAAAAAGATATGCCATTATTTCGACATCACTTCGGATCCGGCCAAAGGACTGGGCCCCGGGGGCGCGGGAGCGATGTTTGGTCGTGGCGCCAGCTCGACCATCGACGGCGTTTTGCTGCTGCGCGACCCTGCTGATCCACCCCCACGGCCCGCCGTGCCCCCGCCCCGACCCTGGGAGGGGGTCGACCCGCCGCCCGACTTGTCCGCATCGTCGGGTTGGGACTTGCGCGGGCGCGGCCGCGGCCGACGCGTCGTGCTGCCACCGCGGGAGCCCGGGCCGCGGAGCGGGAGACCGGTCTCTTGGGAGATGGGGACGGAGGCAGCGGCCAAGGGGACCTGATGCGGCGCCGCCGGTGGTCCGCGACTGCGACCACCACGTCCGCGGCCCCGGCCACGTTTGATGGTGCCATCCGCGCTGGAAGCGTGCGTTAGCAGGAAATTCAAACTTCCCCGTTATAACGTAGAATAAAAAAAGACTAACCGTTCGACTTGCACCTTCTCCCCCTCAGGGACCAGCGGTCCGCTGTAGACGAAGTATCCATCCTTACTGGCGGCGGCACTCTCCTGCCAGGCCAGCTCGCTGTCATCCACAAAGGGATCGTCTCGGTCATACTCCTCCATCTTCTTCCGGCGGCGTTTCTTCTGGCCGTCCGCGGCGTCGGTGCCGTTGGTGCGGGCGGGGGCGGCCGCGGAGCCCGTCTCGCCGTCCAGGTCGCTCTCCCGGTCCATCTCCAGGCTCAGATCTTCGTCGGCGCTCTCACCCGCCGAGAGACCGCTGCGGCCGGGTCGGTCCTGCCGCTCCAGAGCGGCACCGGCAGCGGCTACGCGGGCCAGGCGTTCCTTGTGGGCGGCCAACCGGGGGTGCAGGGCGGCAAAGCCGTACTGCTCCTCCGCCAGGCGGGCAAAATTCACGATGTGGTTGCCCGACCCCGACTGCAGCGGGATATGCAGGACGATGCTGGGGTGGCGCCGCGAGGTGGACTCGTCCGTCGCGCCACCGTCGTCGACCCCGAACAGGGCGTTGGAGATCAGCCCGGACCCTTGGGGCAGGGGCGGGGGCGCTTCCCGCGAGGGGCGGGCGGCCTTGGGGGAGGGCGCGTTGGACGACGGCGCGGTCGCGCTGCCCTTAGGCTCCTTCTTGGGGGCCTTGGACCCCGTCACCGGCTCCGCATCCACATCCATCGGGGTCGGCTCCGGCGAGGCGGGAGCCCGGGGTTCGGACGGCGCGGCCGCAGTTGGGGCCGGGACTGCTGTCGGAGTCGCTGCGGGCGCCGGGGTTGGGGTGGGGGCCGGTTGTTGGGGGGGCGACGGCGCGGGCGCGGGCGTGGGTGCGGGTGCGGGCACGGGGCGCGACTCCGGGGCGGGCGGGGGAGGATGCGGGGGGATCGGACCGTAGGGGGAGCGGTGCGCGTAGGGGGAGGACGCGGTCGTGGTGGTGGTGGTGGAGGGGAACTGGGGCGGCGTGTGGGCGATCGGGGCGGGGGCAGGTGACGGCGGATAGGCGGACGGGCCCCGACCGGGGGAGGCGTAGGGCCGGGGCGCGTAGATGGGCGGGGAGGCGCTGGCCGGCGGCATTGGCGGGTCAATAATGCTGGCAATGGAGGCGAGGCACTGGCGCGGAAGGGGGCGCGCGGGGAGACAGCTCGCGCCGGGGGGCTGAAAGCGGTCATGGGGGCCGGCGTGTGGGTTGGCGTCCGGGCGGGCGACGCGGTGTCGAAGGCGGAGCGGATAGGATCAAAGTTCTGACCGCTGGTGCGAGGGGGTGGCGGCGGCGCGGGTTGGGAGTGTGGGCGCGCGGGGGCGGCGGTTGGGGGGGCCCGGCGGGCGCCATGGTGGTCGGATAGGAGGGCGCGGGATACGACGCCAAGGGGAGGGAGGAGGAGGATAGCAGGGGCGGACGTAGGTGGTGGGGAGGTAGGGACGGGGCGCGCCGGGACCGGGGGGCGCCGGGCTGGCGGACGGAAGGGGACGCGGCGGACTGCGGACGTAGTCGACGACGGCCTCCTCCTCCAACTTGGGTTTTTTGCGAGAATGGGAGGACGCGGCCGGGTTGTTGGCGGAGGTGGAGGTGGAGGTGGCGGCGGATTTGTCCCGGGGACGACGGTGACCGCGTTTGGGTTCCTTGTCGGGATGATTCTCCTTGTCCTCCTTCCGATCGGGATCCCTGTCCTTGGCCTTCTCCTTCTCCTCCTTCTTCTCTTCTCTCCTATCCTTGGGTCGGGTGGACGGCTCGTCGTCCTTCTTGCGACGCGACCGACGGGGCGAGATTCACGGGGGTGGGAGTCGAGAGAGGAGCGCGCCTCAAGATCGTCCTGAGCCGTCAAATTCGACGGCTCCGGGGACATGGTGGACAGGAACCAGCTCAAAGAGGATGATGGCGGAGCAGCATGGAGGGGATTGATGGATCGAGCTCTGGTGGTGGGCTTAGTTCTTTCTTTTTTCTTTCGTTTTCAATTTTTTTGGTATTTTCCAATTTTTTGATTGAGTATTTTTCCGATTATCTTTTGATATTATTCCTTGTCTTGTCGTTTCTTGTTTTGTTGGAATAAAAAGGCTCGGTGTGGTGGATTGGATGGCGTGGGAATGGGGATGGCACGGATGGAAACACCAGTGAAGAAGAAAGGGGGGGAATTGAAAGAAAAGACGAGAGAGAGAACCGGAGATGGAGAGCAGAGGAAAACCCTAGCTCAGGACGGAGAAGCCAAGTAGAAAGGGACCACAGGGACCAAGGGACGAGAGGTGGAGAGAGAGATCGATGGGAAGAATGGGGAGAGAAGGGAGAAGGAAGAGGGAAAAGAAGGAGGAGAAAAAGAGAGGGAGCGAGAGGGAGGAAAGGAAAGAGACCTGTGGGAAGTCATCAATTAGTCCAGTTCTGTATCAATATCGCGTCTCATCGGAGCCAGCCAGCACTGAGCAGAGAGCCAAGTCGATATCAGGACCCGGAGATGAGGGCCCGGCTGATCTACTCTCCGACCATCCTGTCATTACCTTTGCAATCAGTCAATGAAACAGACACTCCCTGCAGTGAAGAGACTGAGATAGAGCGGTAGAGATGAGCCGAGAGACAGAAACAGACAAGAGAATCCGAAGAATAAGAAGAACAAGAGAAGAGGTGAAGATGAAGTGAAGTTGATCGCGGCCTTTCCCGATCGGGCAGTCGGATCATCCCACCTGCCTTGCCTATTCGGGTTAGCGTCATTCAATATACACTAGGCCGTATCTGGACTAGCGTGTGGTTTACCTTTTGAGCCGCATGCTGACTCATCCCTGACGTAATATAGCCCACTCCAGATCGTCATCTTCATCTCACTTGCATCGACAGCTTCATTTTTCATCCGCATCTCCATACACCCCCACCATGGCCTTTCGTGGTGAGCGTTTCGTTATCGACCTCGACTCTGACGATGAGGATGTCCCCGGTTCCTCGTCTGTCGCCATTCCGGGCATGATCGGCGAGATTCGTGAACGCTCCCCTGCGGCAGCTCCGGCCCCGCCGACGCTGAAAGCGCCCTCCACCACGGGGTTCCCCGCCCCACGTCGTCGGGTCAAAACATCTGCCTTTAAACAGCGACAGCAGGGGAAGGAGCAGAAGGCGGAGAAGACCTCAGAGGCTTCCCCGCCACCCGTGTCGGACGAGAAAGCGGCAATCGATGACCAGAACCGACGCCAGCTGCAGGCCATGTCGACGGAGCAGATCGAACGGGAACGAGAGGAACTCATGGAGTCGCTGGACACGGGGCTTCTCGAGAGATTCCTACGCCGGGCGCGCATAGACGACCCCAAGGACTCTCCTGCAGACTCGACGGACCGTCAATCCACCACACCCAACGACAACAAGGAAGAAACACAACCCGCGACAACAGCGACACCCCCCCACGTGGAATCGCTCGCTCCGAAGAACCCTCCCCTCCCTTCTCCCCCTGCAACAGCATCAGTCGCAGCAGCCGCAGCAGCAGCAACAAACACCACATCCAGCCGGGACGATCTACCCCCCTCACAGCTTCCCCCGGACCTACGAGCAGCAGCCGAAGCCGCCCTCCCAGCCGACCTACACTTTCCCACCCCGCCCCAAGCCTCGCAAGCCCCCAATCTCGACCCAAACTCGCCATCATTCCTCACCGACCTCCAAACCCACTACTTCCCCGACATCTCGCACAACCCCTCCGCCCTAGACTGGCTGCAACCGCCACCAGCCGACACCGACAGCCCCGACGTCACCTCCGCCTACCACCCCGCCAGCGAAGCCGAGGCCGTTCACCCCGCCGACCTGCGCTTCTCCCTCCTCGGCACCGTGCTCGCCCCGCGCACCGCCCTAGCACTCCCCACCTCGCTCGGCCTCCACCACCACGGCAAGGACCCCCACGCCGCAGGCTACACCGTCCCGGAGCTAGCCATCCTCGGCCGCTCCTCCTTCCCCGCCCAGCGCTGCATCGCCTGGCAAGTCCTCGGCCGCATCCTCTACCGCCTAGGCAAAGGGCAGCTCGGCGAGCGCGGCACCCCGCTCGTAGAAGGCCTATGGGGCGTGATCGAGAACGAGCGCGTCGTCCCCGCCATGCTGAACGAAGCGGACGGCTCGACGACTGGTCCGACCTCGCGCCGGGGGTCCGACCGCCGTGGGTCCTCGTCAGAGGGGCAAGTCGGTTCCGGCCTGCAAGGCGCCGTCGGGCGTCATGCGAGTGCCGTGGCGTGGGCTGTCGAGGGCGTCTGGTTGTGGCAGATGGGTGGGGCTGGTGATAGGGGGGTTATCAAGGAGAATGCGGTGCGATCGCAGTAATCTTTCTATCTTCCTTCTTTATTTTCCTTTTCTTTCCTCGTCTTTCCCATGTTTATGAATTGATGTACCTTTTCACCCTGGACATAGGAGGGTGTAATGTATAAAACCGACAAGAACAAGAAATAGAAACGACATGCCCACGTTACCTACCAGTGAAAATACCTACCTATTGTAAACCCATCAAACCCGTCATGAACTGCATTCCCATACGAATCTATCAACAAACTAAAAGGTAATATATCGATACACGATGCGCCGAACTCACGACCGCTTCCGATTGTCAAGATAAGAACATATAAAAGGGGGAAAGTGATAAAGAGGGGGCAAAGGAAAAGGAAATGCACAACTCTCAACGCCAGACATCCACACCCGCATCGTTCTCAGAGATAGTAGAGGTAAGAGGTAAAGGTGAAGGTAGGCTAGAGTAAACTAAGCATAATCCCCAATCTGCACCCCCCAAATCTTCCACCGCGCCTCCTCCACAAAATCCCGTCTCAGCCACAGCCCATTCGACGGCCCTGGAGCCAACCCAGCCGGCTCGTCAGGCACAGTCGTCTGCGTATCGTCCTCGTCGTCCGCCACAGGGCTGCTCTCCTCGCCGAGACGGTCGACCCAACTGAAGAGCAGACGGAGCTGCCAGATGCGGTCGCGTACTTCGTCTGTGTTGGTGTCCCCGCTGCGACCCTGCGCTGCCTGCACGATGTTCTGCACGGTGCGTTCGATGACGAGCTTGCTGTCGACGGCGGATTGGCGTAGCCAGGGGGCGTAGGACACGCTGTTGGATCCGGAGGGCTGGGTGCGCGTTGGGAAGGATGAGGGGAGGACGAGGGCTTTCTCGCGGATGTCGAGGCCTCGTAAGGATGTCAGGTGGAAGATCCATTCCCAGATGCTTTGGGAGGGTGATGGGGGGTGGGTGCGCGGTGAGGTGCCCGGGTTGAGGATCGATGCGGATACGCTGGGCCATGCGGCGGGGGGAAGGCCGCGGCCTTGGGTTGAGGCGGGCGTGGAGGTTGGGAGGACGTCTTGCGCCTCGCTTAGCCCGGACAGTGTCGTCACGAACACTGAGGAGCCCGTTGGGTTGTAGGTCGACTTGCGCCGGAGGTAGACCGATTGATCGCCGCGGTGGAATTTCTCCCGCAGGCTTGGGTTCTGCGTGAGGTCCAGCACGAGAGGCCAGTAGTCTGGGCTCTGGACCTCTACCTTGGCGACGTCTCCGAGATCTGGCAGGAGGCAGGGCGCCGTGACGTGCCGGATCTCGCCGCTGGCGCTGGTCACGCTGATGGGGATCGGGATGGGTCGTCGCGTGTCGATATCGCGGGGGACCAGGCAGCGCGGCTCGGCGGCCAGGACCCAGAGGTGTCGGAAGGCTTGCAGGTGGCATTTGTTGTCGAGCACCGTGGTCGGGAAGATGGGATACAGCGCGCAGATCAGCGACGCGACTGCCAGGTCCGACGTGCCCAACGTGTAGCTGCCACCGCCCAGGAACAGCAGCCCCACCGCCATGTGCGCCGCCATATGACTGCCGTACGGTGTGTCGGCGTCCACACGACCGTGGAGGGATCGCAGGCGTCGGAAGAGAGCCAGGTCGCCGGTCCCGGCCATGACGGCAGCAGCGGACAGCGCCACGACGTCTTGGCAGTGCCGTACTGAGTTCCGCGCCAGCTTGCCATCGTAGTTTAATGCCGGAAGCCGGGAGATGCGGATGAACTGATCCAGATAGGAGAGCAGGAGATCCCGCACCGCGATCTGACCCGAGCCAGCATAGCGGAGCCCCAGCGTGAAACAAAGCCCCGCGATGATGTTGAAGAAGGGCATGTCGTCGCTTTTCAATCGTCTCACCCCTGTCAGGCGGTATCGGCGCCGATAGATCTTAGGAAGACTCTGGACGAACCACGCCGCGGTGGGCTGGATGCGGTCCCACATGATGACATGTCGTGCCAGCGTACGCAGGAGGAAGAGGTCGGGCCGCACATAGTCGAACCGGACGGTCGTGTCGGGTATATCGATCTTCTGGGCCAGCACTTCGTCGTTGGTCTTCATGAAGATGATGGCGAACGCAATTGTCGCTCCGGCGGTGGCCCGATCCAGAACATGCGACAGGTCGACGTCCTTGGTCCCCACCGCAACGGCCAGCAGTCTCTCCACGATGTGCATGTCCCTCATGCCTTTCAGATCCTTGCCCTTGCCAAGGTTGATGAGCCCTAGGGCGAATCCCGCGGCCAGTCGGTACCCCTCGTCGCGGAGATCCTCGTGGGACGCCGAGTGCTCCTCGGGCTCCACGCTTTCGATCTCCGACAGCATCACTTCGCTCATGCGCCGGTGCTGAGAATTACAATACAGGAGGCCGATGCCCATGATCCCCGCCGTCTGCGTCAAGGCCGACAGGTTGAGCTCGGCCGCCCCCATGGGGAGCATCCGTGTTACATGCACCGATAAGAGTCGCGTGATCAAGGTATCCATCGTGCCCAGGTAGGAAGCCGAGAGACCGAGCAACAGGCCGATGGAGGTCATTGTGTGCTTGGGGGTCAAGTACTTGAAGGCAACCCACTTGGCCAGCGACTTGAGATGTCCGTTGAGCCCCAAGGCAAGAAGGAAGCCGGCATGCCGATTCGTCAGCTCCTGGGGTTTGTTGAAGAGGATCCAGGAGGTGTCGATCCCTTTGCAGTTTCGGGAGATGGCCAGTCCGGTGGACACGCCGTTGTGGAAGAAGGCCCAGCACACCTTCTCCTCGCTGAAGGATGCTCGGTCTGCACTAATGGTCACATTCGATGGCTTCATAACGCACTGCAAGGAGAAGGACGGGATCGGGAGCTTCTCGGTCAGCAGGGGTAGGCGTCCGCTGAAGGCCAACATGGCACGTCCAGTGGGAATCGACAACGTCCGCAACGTCACCAGCTGCACCACCTCTTTCTGCGCCTCCAAGAGGTCCGAGTCGCTCCATTCCGGCTCGGGAACGCACTCTGCTGCGGGAGCCTTGGACTGGTTCAGCAACTTGGCCGCTTCGACGAACCGTTTATCCTCCCGGAAGAGCAGTCTAGTGACCGAAAATCGGTCGGCCTCCGCAGACGCCTCGAATGAATTGATCGCGTCGATGTCCATTGAGGACGCACCGATGTGGTGGAAGTCGCGAACGGCATCGTGAGACACTGCAGACTGGACGGGGGTGACCGAGGTATCGGTGTTGTTCGTAGTCAGCGATATGCTGAGGTCCTCGCGGTCGATGAGCTCCAAGAGTGTAGGACTCCACGATGTCGAAGCGTGCATTTGCGACTGCATGATGACTTCATACAGGGGCGTGCTGACTC